TCCCTGAGCACTGCCTAGTGTGCCCCCATAATGCTTATATTTATTTTATTTCTTATTTTGGGGCCACATCCTGCGATGCTTAGGGGTTACTTCTGGTTCTGCACTCAGAAATCATTACTAGCAGGGTTCTGGGGACCAAAAGGGGTACCGGGGATCTGCTACATGCAAGGTAAGTGTCCTACCCACTGCGCCGTTGATCTGGACCATCAAAATTGCTTATGTTTAATGAAATTTCATTTATCAATCATTTCCTTATTCTTAGCATTCTTGTAATCTGTTAGAAAATGTTTGTCTACCCAATATACTCAAGGTCCTTTGTTTTCTCTTTCAAAGCTTTGTTGTCTTATTTTTTTTTTTACATTGAATACACTGTCCACCTAAACTCACATTGAAAACTTCAATTCTGGGGGCTGGAGTGATAGCACAGTAGGTAGGGCATTTGCCTTGCACGCGGCCGATCCGGGTTCAATTTCCAGCATCCCATATGGTCCCTGAGCACTGCCAGAGGTAATTCCTGAGTGCAAAGCCAGGAGTAACCCCTGTGCATCGCTGGGTGTGACCCAAAAAGAAAAAAAAAAGATAAGAAAAAAACTTCATCAGGAATTATATTTTTGTGTGTTGATGTTTTTATGTTAAGAATCAAAATGAGGGGCTGGAGAGATAGCACAGCGGGTAGGGCGTTTGCCTTGCACGTGGCCAACCCAGGTTCGATTCCCAACATCCCATATGGTCCCCTGAGCACCACCAGGAGTAATTCCTGAGTGCAGAGCCAGGAGTAACCCCTGTGCATTGCCAGGTGTGATCCAAAAAGCAAAAAAAAAAGAAAAAGAAAGAAAATGAAATTTTTCCAGTATTGGTACTCAAGTGACCCTCACCATTTATTTATTTTGTGTGTGTTTTGTATTTGGGGCCACACCTAGAAGTGCTAGGGCCTTCACCTGGATCAGAGCTCAGGGAGGGTCTGGGATTGGAATCAGGGTTATGGCAACCACAGCTGCATGTTAGGCAAGCACCTTAACTTTTGCTCTATACTTTCAGCCCAAACCCCAACACCAAGAAAAATCATTCTAGATAAAAAAATTTAATAAATAAGTGAAAATACAGATTTTTTTAAAGTAAGGGCCGGAGCAATAGTATAGCAGGTAGGGCGTTTGCCTTGCTCATGGCCAACCTGGGTTCGATCCCAGGCATTGCATATGGTCCCCTGAGCACTGCCAGGAGTAGTTCCTGAGTGCAGAGCCAGGAATAATCCCTGTGCATCACTGAGCCAAACAAAAAGCCAAAAGACAGGGGAACTAGTGGACAATTCAGTGGGAAATACCCACCTTAGGCGCCGGAGTGATAGCACAGTGGGTAGGGCATTTTGCCTTGCACTCAGCTGACTCAGGTTCGATCCCCAGCATCCCATGTAGCCCACCCAGGCAAAGCCAGTAGTAATTCCTGAGTGCAGAGCCAGGAGTAACCACTGAGCATCACCGGTGTGACCCAAAAAGTAAACAAAAAAAAAATCCACCTTAGAAGCATGAGGTTGAGAGTTTGATCTCTGGTGCTGTCACATACCTTGAGCACTGCGCTAGAAACTCTATGTTGTGATCCCCAGCAAGCATCTCAACTACAGTGGGTGCCACAATCAAGTGTGCATATAATCCTCAGCACCATAACAACAACCAACAGGGAAAGGAATTGGGAGAAATAAATAATAAACATTTTTAGATAAAAAAAAACCCTTTTCTTTCATTGTTGTTTTTTGTCATAAAGCAGGAAGGCTGGAAGTCAAAGAGTAGCTCAATGGACTGAAGCACTCCACATGAGGGGAGGCCTGACTTGATGCCTATTTTTGCCTGGCATCAAGCAGAGACGGACATCAAATCCTACAAGTTTATACAGTTTCCATAAGCCTGGTGGTTCTCCTTCAAATGCTCTATGCATTGTCACATAAATGTTCGCATTGGCTTAACATTCCCCTCCCTGCCTATAATTGGGTGGTATTTTTATAGGAATTATATTGAAACTATAAGGCAATACAGTGATAACTAATAACAATATTGAATAATGGCCATAGTATAGTCCAAACAGACAAATAATATTGAATCACAAGCATAGTCTATTCCTTCGTGTATTTACACCTTCTTTAACCTCTTCTTATAAATATATTTATTTTATTTTTGTATTTGTTTATTTTTGAGGGGGAGGGTTAGGGCCACATCTGGCTGTGTTCAGGGCTTACTCCTGGCTTTGGATCACTCCTGGAAGGTTTTGGGGGACCCTTTTGGGTGCCAGGGATCAAACATGCAAGGCAAGTGCCTTACCTCCTGAAATATCTCTCAGACTCTATTCCTCCTAATCTTTGAATTAGATTACTTACCTGATGAAAGTCCCAGGGCACAGAGGCCAGAGCCACATTGGCCAAGTCATGTGTCCATCTGTGCCAAGCTGCAAAACAAGGAGCCTGTGATTGAGGCTCTGGACCAAGTTCAGGTTCCCTGGATGCCAGAAAATCCAACTCTAAACCCTGAGGATCATAGGATGTGGCCCAAAAACCAAGCAAACAAATTACAGAACAAAACAAAACAAAACTCCTTTGGATTCATATGGAACAATAAGCCCCCATAAATAGCTAAAGCAATTTTTGGGGGGAAAATATGGGAGGCATCACCTTCTCCAACTTCAAACTGTCCTACAAAGCAGTAATTATTAAAACAGCATGGTATTGGAGTAAAGATGGACTTGCAAACAATGGAATAGGGTTGAATATCCTTGCATACACTCTCCAATATATGAAATCTTTGATAAGAGAGCAAGAAATATGAAGTGGATCAAGGAAAGCCTCCTTAACAAGTGCTGGCAAAACATGACAGCTACATGCAAAAAAAAAGTGGGGGGAGGGACTCAGACTTCTATCTAACACCATGCACAAAAATTCAGATAAAAAATGGATTAAAGACCTCAACATCAGACCGGAATCCATAAGTTACATTGAAGAAAAGGTAGGCAAAACCTTCCATGATATTGAAGTCAATGGTATCTTCAAAGATGAAATGCCACTAACCACTGTGCTACTGCTCCAGCCCCTGAAGAGTATGTTTTAATATGACTTTTGGCCATTTGAACCTCTTCTTTGAGAAAGTTTCTGTTCATTTCATTGTCCCACTTTTCTAATGGGGTTGGATGTTTGGATAAACAAATGGGACTATCTTAAACTAAGAAGCTTCTGCACCTCAAAAGAAACTGTGACCAGGATACAAAGACAGCCTACGGAATGGAAAGGGTCTTCACCCATACCCTTTTGATAAGGGTTTAATATCAAAGATCTACAAGGCATTGGTTGAACTCCACAAGAAAAAAACATCCAACCCCATTAGAAAAGTGGGACAATGAAATGAACAGAAACTTTCTCAAAGAAGAGGTTCAAATGGCCAAAAGTCATATTAAAACATTCTCTTCAGGGGCTGGAGCAGTAGCACAGTGGTTAGGGCATTTGCCATGCATGTGGCCAACCCGGGTTCGATTCCCAGCATCCTGTATGGTCTCCTGAGCACCGTCAGGGATGATTCCTGAGTGCAGAGCCAGAAGTAACCCCTGTGCATCGCCAGGTGTGACCCAAAAAGCAAAATAAATAAATAAATAAATAAAACCTCTTCATTACTAATCATCAGGGAGATTCGGATTGAAACGAGATGTCATTTCACACCACAGAGACTGGCACACATCCAAAAGAACAAAAGCAACCACTGTTGGCATGGATGTGAAGAGAAAAGGACTCTCCTTTATTGTTGGTGGGAATGCCGACTGGTCCAGCGTTTTGGGAAAACAATAGAGACATTTCTCAAACAACTAGAAATTGGGCTGGAGCAATAGTACAGTGGGTATGGCATTTGCCTTGCAGTGGCTGACTTGGGTTCGATCCCCAGCACCCCTTATTGTTCCCCAAGCACCGCCAGGAGTGATTCCTGAGTGTAGAGTCAGGAGTAACACCTGAGCATCGCCAGGTGTGACTCAAAAAAGCCAAAAAAAAAAAAAAAACAACTTAGAAATTGAGCAAAGCAATACCACCTCTTGGGAATATACCCTGGGGGACCAAAAACACACAGCAGAAACACCATCTGCACCCCTGTGTTCATTGCAGCACTATTCTGCATAGCCAGAATCTGGAAACAACCTGAGTGCCCAAGAACAGACGAATGAATAAAGAAACTCCAGCACATCTACACAGTGGAATACTATGCAGCTGTCAGGAAAAATTAAGTCATGAAATTTGCCTATAAATGGATGGACATTTCATGCTGAGTGAAATGAATCAAAAGGAGAGGGACAGATATAGAATGACTGCATTTGTGGTATATAAAAAAAATTTATAGTAGAAGACTAATATCCATGGCCAGGGAAAATGGGTTAGGAGGACTAGTCAATGGTTGGAACTAACCATAAGTGCGTGTGAGTCTGAGGGTAGGTAAGATAGGGAAGAGACCAGTATGACAATAATAGCTGGGAATGCTGGACAAGATCCGAGTGTTAAAAGTAGGTAAAGAGATATTCTTGAGTCAATATTGCAAACCACAATACCCAAAAGGAGAGACAGAGACAGAGACAGAGAGGGAAGAAAAGCCCCTTCTATAGAGGCAGGCTGGGGGATGGGGTGAGGGTTGGAAGTGATGGAAGGGAACCTGGGGACACTGATGCTGGGAAATGTACACTGGTGGAGGGATGGGTGTTGGAATACTATGTGACTGAAATCTAATCATAAACAGCTTTTTGAGGGTGCATCTCACAGTGATTCAATAAAAAAATTTAAAAAAAAAAACAAAATACTTTGGTCTATTTTAACTAATTTGCAAGACACAGTGTATGTGCTATGTGGGGTACTGGGACTTGAACCTGGGATGCCGGTACGCAAGGCAAGAGCCCTACCTGCTGTACTATTATACTACCTCAGTGGTCTTGACATTACAGGATTTGATGAAATAAAAGCCTTGTCATGGTGCCTCTTTGGTTAAAATGTGTGTCTTGATTCCTCAGGTCTGGCTCCCCTGGTCGCCTTCAATGTGGACGTGTCCCGGACCTGGGTGACTCCCAAGGAAGGCCCTTTTGTGCTCAGCTCCCTCCTGCACCATGACTCCAGCAGCAAGCAGACCTGGTGAGTGGGGGGCAGATAGAAATAGGATGCAGGGTCTCTGGGGCGTGTTAGGCTGGGAGAAGGCCTTGGCACCTCATCTGAATGTCTGTGAAAGCATTCTTTTGCCTTGAGAAGGGAAGGGAAAGCTAGATGGCTGGAGCTAAAGTAAAGTGAGGAGAGCATTTGTCTTGCACGCGGCTTACCTGGGTTTGGTCCCTGGCATCCCATATGGTTTTCCGAGCACTCCAGGAGTAATTCCTGAAAGCAAAGCCAGTTGTAAAAATAACTCCCTGAACTTCACCGGATATGACCCAAAAAGCCATAAAGAGAAAGAAAAAGACAGGGAAAGCTGGAGAGATGTGGAGGTGGGCAGAGAGGATGAGGGCCAATCAGCCAAGCCCCTACCCTTCTCTACTTCGGTCTCTCAAGGGGCAGGTGGGAAATTAAAGTGTACTGGGACTGGGGAGGTGGCTCAAAGGGCTGGGGCACATGTTTTGCATGCAGAGGCCCTGGTTTGAACCCCAGCCTTACACTGTTCCCACGCACTGCCAGGAGGTACCCTCAAGCACAAAGTCAAGGTTAGCCCCCAAGCACCGCCAAGTGTGGTTCAAAACCCCCAAATAGTTCTGATAGTACAGAGGTTAAGGGCTTGCCTTGCATGGGTCAACCCCAGTTCTAACCCTGAGATTGCATATGTTCCCCTGTGCACCACCAGGAGTGACAGCACAGAGCCAGGAGTGGCCCCTGAACACTGCTGGGTATTTCCAATGCTGCCACCTCCTCCAATCCAGAAGCGGGTCAAATGAATGAATCAAGTGTAATGGTTAGACTGAATCAGTCTTGAAGCATATTGTAAGGTGAAAAGAGACAAGTTGTAGAGGCCCAGGAGAGAGTCAAAGGGCTAAAGGATGCGCTTTGTATGCGGGAAGCATGTCTGATCCCCAGCTCCTCATGGTCCCCTGAGAGACTGTCAGCAGCCACGCAGGATCATTGAGCCAAGGGTCGCCCCCAAGGACTACTGAATGTGACCTCAAAATGGGGGCTGGGGTGATGGTATAGCGGGTAGGGCATTTGCCTTTCAGGCAGCCAACCCGGGTTCTATTCCTAGCATCCCATATGGTCACTCGAGCACTTCCAGGAGTAATTCCTGAGTGCAAAGCCAGGAGAACCCCCTGTGCATCACCGGGTGTGACCCCAAAAAATAATAAATAAATAAATAAATAATACAAATACAAAACAAACCAAAATGTAAAAGGAAAGCTGTAGATGGTACTCCCCCAGAAAGATTCATGGGAGCACCTCTCTGGGCTAGGCCCTGAGGAAGCAGCAGTGAGCAAAGCAGGCCAAAATGGCTCCACAGGGAGACAGACAGGGAGGTGAAAGGCTCTGCCCAAGATCCTGGTGGGGCTGATGGAGAGGGTTCTGGTTTTGGAAACTCTGGAGTGTGTCAACATCGCCGGTTGTGACCCAAATAGCCAAAAAAATAATAATAATAATAATAAAACTAAAGAAGTTTTGTCAGGCTAGAGAGATAATTTGGGGGAATAAGGTGCTTGCCTTGCACATTGTGGTCTATCCAGTGCAATCCCTAGAACCCCAAATTGCTCTGTGGGCCCCACCAGGAGTGATCCCTGAGTGCAGAACCAGGAATAAGCTCTGAACACAGCCAGGTGTACCCACCCCTTCTCCCCTACCCCCCAATAAAAGCTTTTGGCTCTGGAAAATGAATTAATGGTCAACATTTGAACGTTGATGTTTTCTTTCCTTTTGGCAACTTTTTAAATACTATTTATTTATACTTTTTACACTTTTTAAAAAAAAATTTCAGTGCTAGGGAACCAAACCTGGGCCTTATATATGCAAAGCAAGTACTCAACAACTAAAGCCCCAGCCCAAGAACTCAACTTTCTTTTTTTTATTTTCTTTTTACCTTCAGGGCTAGGGATTGAATCCTGGGCCCCATAATGTGGTACCTGGAATCAAATCCAGGTCGGCCATGTGCCAGGCCAGCACTTTGACCTGCTGCTGTGCCTTACTCATTGCCACAATTCACCAGTCGCCGCTGGGAGGTTTTCAGTGTGTGACCAGTGCTGGTGGTGGGATTTGGGCAGAATCCTTGGGCTTTTATGAGTGGCACCACTCTGCCTTTTCTTCTGGAAGGGAGGGGTGAACACATTTAGTAGTGCTCAGGGGCCACACCTGGTGGTGCTGGAGGAGGGGCAGATGCAGTCCTGGCATTCTAATCATGGTGGGACCACAGCCACATCCTAGGCAAACGCCTACACCTCTGGATTAACTCTCCAGACCTCTGTTTTCCTTTTCAAACATTTTTGGTCATACCCATCGGTCCTTGGTAGAACGCCCAGCGCTGAGGATCAAACCTGGACCTCCCCCATGCCAAGCACGTACTCCAGTCCTTTGGGCTACCTCCATAGCCCTATGTGTATATATATTTTATGATGAACTGTGCATTTCCTTTTATCAGGCATCTGCCCAGCAATGGAAATACTGGATTGAGATTTATGCTTTGGGTTGACATTGTGGTCCAGACATTGCTGTGCATGTGCTGTCTGATCGCTTCACACACTCAAAAAAGTTGTGTTTAAGTCTGAGTTATTTGTTTTTGGGTTTTTTTTTTGGGGAGGGTCACATGCAACCACGCTCAGGGATTATTCCTGGCTCTGCACTCAGGAATTACTCCTGGTGGTGCTCAGGAGACCATATGGGTTGCTGAAGATTGAACTCGGATCTGCAGTGTGCAAGGCAAATGCCCTATATGCTGTATTAACTCAAGTCTGAGTTCTTTGTGATCCTCATTTTCCCTGTTCTCACACTAATACCTGGACAAAAGTTAGCCCAGCTCCAGGCCCCCTGAACACAAACACCTTCCCCTCCTCAGAAGCCAAGCAGCCATGCTGGGGCCTGGGGATGCACTCACCTTGCATATGTGAAACCCTGGGTTGAACCCCAGCATAGCAGAGCAACAACAAAAAGGTCACACTGAGCCAAAAGAGGGGTATTGAAGGACCCCATCCCCACCCCCACAGGAACAGCAGCCCTGAGCCCACAGATGGTGGGGGAAAAACCACCAGGCTCACAAAAACTTAAATACCACCTGCAGTAGAGGGTTGTGGAGGGGCGTAGGGTTTAATCTGCCTTGGGGGAGGATGTGGTGGGAGGCACTCTGGGTTCCTGCAAAAGAAGGAGCTGAGACCATGGGCCTGCAGCAAGGCAGGAAACCTACTACTGGCTGCTGGCTGCTGGCCACCGCTAGGCCTCCAGAGAAGAACAGGCTGGACACCTGGCACAAGGGCAGGTGGCCTTCACACTCTCCCGCGGCTTCTCCCCAAGATCAGATAAGCGTTGCTTGGCAGCTGCAATGGCCGAGCAGGGGAGGCGGGACACAGTAATGAAGGCCAGTCTGCCAGTCCACGGGGGACTAAGGGGGGGAAGTGGACCAGACACAGGTGAGAGCTGGGGACTTCAAAAGTGAACAGTGTGGGACCGGAGCAATAGGACAGTGGGTAGGGCGTTTGCCTTGCATACTGGGGACCTTGACTGGATCTCTCGCATCCCACATGGTCCCTGAGCACCAACAGGAGTGATTCCTGCACGCAGAGCCAGGAGTAACCCCTGAGCAAAGCATGGTGTGGTCCCAAAACAAACAAACAAAAAAAGGGAACAATGTGTCCCTGAAGTGTGTCTGCTGGTAGAGTCAGTCTTTGGTTACCTCATCCAGCCAGCAAACTTGGAGATGAGGTGGCCACGCCCCACAAGGGGAGTGAAAGGAGGGGACAGCCCAGACCCTAGATCCTGTGACCATGATCATAACTGCAGGGGGTTCCTGGATGGGTGGGGGAGCACCTTGGGGACTCAGTCCAGTGGGAGACAAAAGCTAAGCCTGGCAGTGGCAGCCCAGCACCTCGACAGGGCTCCCTGCAGGATGATGTCAGGATGACTCGGCTCCCAGAAGCACAGGTGAAAGTCAAGGTGAAGCAACTTGGAAAAGCCCTGACAGAGGAAAGAGCCTGTATTGACCACACCAAAAGAGGGTGTGGGTGTAGCCGCGGCTGAGCTGGGGAGCAGAGAACTGGGGGCTCTGCCTGGAGAATTCTGTGGACTGTAGGTAGGTTGTTCAAGAACTGACCTAATTTGGGGGCTCGGCTGCAGAGCCCAGAGAGCTGAGTTGCACCTGACCCTCTGCATCTTAGCCCCAGATGAGCTCCTGACAGAGGTCTGGGCGGTCACTCTGCAGATGTCCCTGTCTTCCAGGCCCTGCCCCAATGTCCCAGGAATAATGCGGTGAACAAGACAGACAGGAACCTGGGGAGATTTGGTGTAGTTGAGGAGGACGATGTAAGCTGGTAGACAGGAACATGTAAAAGAGTGAGCAAGAATCTGCCCGATGGGGACAAGTCCGAAGAAGAAATTGAAAAGGTGAAGTTGGTCGGAGTAGTGGTCGAGGGGTGGGGCTGGTTGCAGGAAGTGCTGGGGAGGAGGCGAAAGGCGGGGGGAGAATGAGTCAGGCTTAGAGAGGCGAGGATGCAGGCTGAGAGCAGGGCAGGAGTGGAGCAGGAAGATCTAGAGACAGAAGTTGTGTCCAGGTGGAGCTGAATGGGAGGTGTCTGAGAGGAAGGGGCTGGAAGGGGCCAAGTGCTGTGAGCTACCACAGGGGACATGGAGCATGCGGGCCTTTATTACTGTTATTGCTGCTGCTATTGTTGTTATCTGGGTGATCGCCTAGGCAAAGGAGTGACACAGTATGAATTGCAAGAGTAAATTTCAAAAGCAAAAACTAAACAGACCAGAAGCGCCTGGCGGGGAAAGTGCCAGGAAGAGATAGAAATAGGAGACAGAAATCAGGAGTAGAGGTGACAGGGTCTTCTTGTTCTGTTTTGGATTTTATTTTATTGAGTAATCCCAGCAGTCCTCAGGGGTTACTCCTGCTTCTGTACCAACAGGGCTTTCCTGATAGCTTTGATGGAGGGGTTGGGAGAAGAGATGAAGAAGGGTGCAACCGTCTTTGGCTCTGGGCACCACGTGGTGGTCACTGGAGCCAGCTGCAATGGCGGGAAATGAACAGGCGCAGGCTCAGGAGCATGATACCTCCAGTTTTGGACATTCTCAGTTTGGGGTGCCTGTCAGGAAATGGGCGATAATAGTCCTGTTACTTTCCTACTGTCACCATAACAACCATGTGGCTCATGGTGACACACACTTACCTTACAGCTCTGTAGGTCAGAAATCCTACTGGATCTTGTTTTTTGTTTTTTTTCTTTTTGGCGTCACCCTGGCGATGCACAGGGTGCTACTCCTGGCTCATGCACTCAGGAATTACTCCTGGCGGTGTTTGGGGAACCATATGGGATGCTGGGAATGAAACCCAGGTCGACAGTGTGCAAGGCAAACACCCTACCTGCTGTGCTATTGCTGCAGCCCCCCTACTGGATCTTACTGAGGTAGAATTGAGATGTCAGTAGGGTGGTGCTCCTCCTGGAAGCTCCTCTTTTTTTTTTTCCTGCCCTGTTACAGCTTCTTGACATGTTCTGTGTTTGTTGGTTTATGGCCCATTCCTCCCTCTTCCCAGCCAGGAGAGCAGCATCTTCAAATCTATTATTTTTTTGGTCGGGTTGTGGGGAGGCCACATTCAGCGATGCTTGGGATTTACTCCTGGCTCTGCACTCAGGAATTATTCCTGGCTGTGCTCAGGAACCACATGGGATGCCGAAGATCAAACCCAGGTTGGTAGCTGGGGCCGGAGGGATAGTACAGTGAGTAGGGCTTTTGCCCTGCACATGGCCTGCATGGGTTCGATCCCCGACATTCCATATAGTCTCCTGAGCACTTCCAGGAGTAATTCCTGCATGCAGAGCCAGGAATAACCCCTGAACATCACTAGGTATGACCCAAAAAGAGACGCGTGCGCACACACACACACACACACACACACACACACACACACACACACACACACACCACTTTGCTGCATGCAAGGCTAATGCCTACCCTGCTGTACTATGGCTCCAGTTCAGCATCTTGCCTCTCCTCCGGACTGTATTTACGCTATTGGGCAGGCTCATATATATCTCCCTATATCTCCCTATATCAAGCTCCTTCATCACATCTCTAGTGTCCCCTTTGCCTATTCAGGCTGGCATAATAGTTTGGTGGTAGAATTAGTAGGGTACATGCTTCCTAGGCCTGGAGTCCTGGGTCTGTAGCATACTCAGAGGGCAGGGGATTCAAATGAGGTAAGTCTGGGCCTGGGGGCAGAGGGTCATTGTTTCATGTCCTATAGCTCTGCTGCTCTGAATTCCACAGCTCTGCTGAAACCACAGGTGAAAAGGTGGGAACAGAGCTTTGACAAGAGTATTGAGGCATGGAATGGATCACCAAGGAGAGTGTGCTGGCCGGGAAAACAAGACCCGAGGCCCAGGACTCTAGAAACCTTGAGAAGTCAGACAATGAAGGAGTCTAAGGAGTTGCGAGACAAGAAAGGAGAGACTCCAGATAGAGAAGGAAGCACCAAATTGTTGGGAGGTTCCTCTCAGGATGGGAGATGCGTGATGAGAGTAGACTATAGACCAAACATGATTGCCATTCAACGTCTCTTTTGCAAACCACAGCACTCAAAAGGAGAGAGATAACAAAAGGGAATGCCCTGCCACAGAGGTAGGGTGGGATGAGGGCGATGGGTGTGGGAGGGATACTGGAATCAGTGGTGGTAGAGAATGGGCACTGGTGGAGGGATGGGTATTTGATCATTGTATAACTGAAACCCAAGCACAAAAATTTGTAAGTCAACAACTGTACCTCATGGTGTTTCACTAATAAAAATTTAAGGGGAAAAAAAAAAAGAAAGGAGAGACTCAAGGGGGTTATAATGCCCTAAACTCAGGGCTCCTGAGAGACTGAAGGAGATGAGGACAGAAATGTGTCCACGTGGGGTAGAGAGAGAGTATAGCGGCAAGGTGCTTGCTTTGCATGTCGCCAATGCAGGTTCAATCCCCAGCGCCGCATATAGTCCCCTGAGAACCCCCAGAGTGATCCCTATCCCTGAACACAGAGCTAGGAATAAGCCCTGAGCGCCCAAAAATAAAACAAAGCAAAACAAACAAAAAAAAAGACCACTGGTCATTCTAACCAGATAGGATACAGAGAGTTTTATTTATTTTAGTATTCTGTGAGGCAGGGCAGTAGGCGGATGAACAAGCAGCCAGGGTTGTGCTTTCGAGTGCTCCATGCAGCCTCCTACCTCAGCTGCCACTGGGACCCGGGCCCCTGTTACCAAGCACAGCCAGAAGCCCCTTCCCCATTTGCCTTATTCATCCCTGAGGATGGGGAGTGCATTCCCTTTCTTGGGGTTTCCCAGTCCACTCAGATGGGGATGGGAGTTGTGGAAAATGAGAACATTTAGGTAGCAAATGTTCTCATATCTTATTTGGGTTCATGATGTGGCTGGGAACCACATGTCCTGAGGCTTTTGGAGTTCATTTGCAATGTCCAGGCCCTAGCCTTCAGTGCTGGCTGACCCAGTGACTGGGGGTGCCAGGCTTCTCTTCTTCAGAAATGCTCTGGAAATGCTTCTTTTCTCCAGAATACTCACTGAGGCATGGCAGGACATGCCCCTGGTGGCCTCTGGGAAGGCTTCATCCCCTTCCCCCCTGCAGTCAGCCATGCTGCAGGCGACTTGCTTCACACCACTGCACCCCTAAGGATGAGCAAATGCCTTCTGTAGATGAGTGTTCTCAGTTTGGCCAATGACCTGCCCTGCCCAGGTGCATGCCTTCTCTGTGAGCCTGTGGCCTGGAACAGAACATCCCGAGGCCAGGGAGGAGAAAGGATCACCAGCAATTTAATGACTGCCACCTTTCCCATTCAGGCTCCTGGTCACCAGCCCCAGGACCAACCAGACAGCCGAGCTCCTGCATCGATGTTCCCTTCACAACAACGCACTCCACTGCCAGCCTGTGGGTAGGTCACCCCACCAGCAAGGGTACTTCCAGGGAGATGCCCAGTTTTCCAGCCCAAACCATCCCCACCATTGTCCCCCCACCCATGACTCTACCCCACCCACCCACCCACCAGCCCTTCCTTCTGCCCAGTCCTGGCCCAAACTAACCTGAACTCATAGCACACCCTCCCTGATGACGAAACTGTTATGCCTGGTTCTCTACTAAGTGCTTTCTTTACTATCCATCCTCAGAATGAAACCAACCAAACCCAGAAATGCACACCATTTTACAGAAGGGGGGGACTGCAATTGGAGTTATCTGTATGACTAACTCACCCTCAGTCATCTAGTCTGGCCTACACAGTCAGCAAAACCAACCCATCTCAACTCAATACACCATAGCAGAATCCAGCCCGAATCCCCCACTCCTGTTCATATTTACCCGCCTAGTATCTAGCACATGGCCTGATATTTATTAGGTGCTCAATAAATGCCATTACAAAATAGTTTGAAATAAGTTTATTTAGGGAAGAAGAAAAATGTAGAGGAAGGAGAAGAAAGAGTCAACTATCTCACCTACAAAGTGGTCTATTGATAGCGACCCCGACCTCCAAGTGCAAGCAGTTTATATAGGTTCCCAGTTTTGAGCAAGCACTATGATAGCAGTGATCAAGCAACAGTTGTCAGCTACTAGTCAACATTTGATAACAGTCAGTTTCTGGTTGTTCAAAAAATGGACATAATAACAGTTAGCCAATTTGTGGTTGTTCTGAAAAATGGACATAGTGACCACTCATGACCAGACAGATGATCTAGCAGTTCCTTACCAGAAATTACAAATTCAGTTTCTGAGAAACAGAAACTTAGGCGTAGTCAAAACTTAATGTTAGCTGCAGGCTTTCATGGCTGCAGTCTGGCTCTAGGTCTGGCTTTTGGGTGCCTAACAGCTGACAGCCCCTCAGATGTGTAAAGCAGAGTCCTTGTCTCTGTGAGAGAGGCGTGGGATTGCCTCAGTCACTGCCTCAGAAGACTACCCAGTCCAACAGGGGGCTTGGGGCCTGTGGTTCAAACATTAGAATTTCCTGAGCCCACACTGGGAAGGAGAAGAAGAGGTTCCCACTTCTGCCCCTGGGGTTGACCCCTGGGGGCTTGGTCCGTTGAGCAGTCCTTTGGCCTCCTGCACACCTCATGGTATTATCCCCCAGCTGATGCCTTTCACTGGTCCTGCACCTCAGACCAGGAGTCCCTGGAAGGAGGGCACCGGGCTCCTTACTTCTGAATCATCCTAATCCACACAAGGTTGGGCACCACACAGGCTTTACAGGCATGAACCAAAGAGTGAAGGCACTCAGGAAGGGCACTGGCCCTGGGTATGGCCAGACCTGTCCTTGAAGGGCCCCATTTGGCTTCTGAAGGCTTCCTGACTGCCCAGGGTGACCCTGACTCCATTCAACAGCCGCCCCCTTTACCTGGTCTTAACCATTTCAGAGCATGTTCGCATCCCAAAGGGTCGGCACCGGGGGGTGACAGTTGTCCGGAGCCACCATGGTGTTTTGGTGAGTGCATGAGGGAAGGGAGGCTGGGAGGTCTTGAGGAGGCTGGGCCAAAGTTCTAGAACTGAATCAACTTGATACCAGTGCTGCTTGGCTGATGGGATGAGCCCGGCTCTTCTCTGTCCCTGATGCTAATCTCAGAGCTGACTACAGATCAGACCCCCCCCCCCCCCCCGTACTGTTGCCAGGGCTGATCCATACTCTCCACATGACCCAGCACCTTTAGTGGGGGGAGGGGGCTAAGCTCAGCTCTGACCAGGCTCTGACTCCTGTCCTCAGTGAGGGGTAGACCAGTTCCTGTGTTTCCAAGAATTGAGGAACTTGGTTCTGGGATAGGGTGTTTGGTTCTGTGACTGGGGCCAAGGGTATAGATGGAGGAGAGACAGATTTTCACTTCCCTTTCTGTCCCTTCCCAGATCTGTATTCAAGTGCTGGCCCGGCGGGCCCACAGCCTCAACTCAGAAGTCACAGGCACCTGCAGTTTACTCAGCTCAAACTTCAGTCTCCAGGCCAAGGCTCACTTCTCCAACATGGGTAAGCTCCATGCACCCACTTGCCTTGAGCAGCTCAGCTGAGATCTTCCTACATCTCAAGAAGAGGCTCCAGGCCCAGGCAGGTGCAGGGATCAACGAGGCCCAGCAGAGTGGCAGGCCCAGACGCCTGTGAGGGGAATCATGGTAGAGCTAGGTCAGGGTTTGCCTGGAGGTGAACATGGAGACTGTCTGAGCCCTTCTGCGTATGTTCATTGAAGAAAATCTCCTGAATCCGGATGTGGACCCTGGAGACTGCCTCGGGAGCCAGCTAGATCACACAGAGAATGCAGCCAGGCGACGCCGGTCTCTGAAGGCACAGGAGGAGATGGAGGATGAGGAGGAAGCTGGTGAGGAGAGGCGGGTCTAGGGCATTCCCGGAGGCTGCCTCTGCTGACCCCAAAGCTGATGACATCTAAAGTGCCCAGGTGTGGGAGATAGGGAGAAGTAGCTGGATTCTATAGGTCTAACCTGTCCCAGCTCTACCCACCCTTACCCTATCTAATGAGGAAACTGAGGCCCAGAGGGCAAAAGTAAGGGGAGTCACTTAGGCCCCAAGTCAGGGTCTGAGCTGTTTCTGACTCTCTCTGCGTCTGAGATAAAGCTCTCCCAGTGATGGGGCTTGGGAAGGCAGGGGCCCTGCTGTGCATAATCTGCTCCCCTAACTTCCACCCCAATTCCAGGCCCATTTTTGACCTGCTCCCTGTCTTGGTTCAGGCACTGAGATCGCCATCGTCCTGGATGGCTCTGGCAGCATTGATGCCCCCGACTTCCAGAGAGCCAAGGACTTCATCTCCAACATGATAAGGAACTTCTCGGACAAATGCTTCGAGGTGGGCTCTCCAGGGCACTGGATGCACGTGGTCTATCAGGTCCCTGTTGCTGTTTAACAAAACACCTCAAAACAGTCAGCCATGTGCTCACAGTCTGCGGATCTGTATTTTGGGCTGAGGCAGCTGAGGCTCTTCTCCAGGTCAGGCCTGGAGTTAGTCATGCAGCTATAGGCAGCTGGGATGGAGTAGCTTGAGAGGGCCCCACTTGTCTGGGCCATTGTGTCTCCAGCAGGCCAGCTCAGCTCTTCATGCTGGAAAATTCCAAGAGGGCAAGCTCCAAAACACTCTCCAGCGCTCTTACCAAATCCCACTGCTGCTACCCCTTTGGCTCATCCTGTAGACCGCTTGGAGCAGGGACTGCCTGGGGACATGAATTCAGGGAGAAGTCTGGGTTTCCTTGGAGCCATTCCAGTCACACCTTCAACCCTTACTCGTTTAGAGGTTTCCCATGTGGGGGTGTGGAGGAGCATCCCAAGAGCAGACTAGCCCTGGCCTTAGTCACTCTCCCAACTTTCTTCCCATCTTGGCCTTCTTCTCCAGTGCCGCTTTGCTGTGGTGCAGTATGGTGAGGTGATCCAGACTGAGTTTGACCTTCAGGACAGTGAGAATGTGACAGCTGCCCTCCTCAGAGTCCAGAACATCACTCAGGTGATGAAAGTCACCAGGACTGCCTCCGCCATGCAGCATGTCCTGTGAGTGTGAGTTGTTGAGACCAAGGACCAAGGACTTGTTGGGTGCTGACTTGGGGCCCCGAGGCGCAGAAGCCGCCTGCCTGGAGAAAGTGGCTGGCAGAGGTGTGAAGAACAGAGGATCAGGGATTCACAGGGAAAGAGGAAAGCATTCCAAGTGTGCTGATAGAGGGCACCCTGGGCTAATCTCTGAAAAGTCTAACAAAGACTCCTTTGGGAGCTACAAAGCTCAGTGCTTAAAAGGGAAGAGCTTAGGGCTCAGGCAGCTTGGTTTTATTTCTCAGCTCCAGTTTTAAGTTGCAGGATCTGGTGTAAGCTGCCTGCCTCTCTGTGCTTCAGTTTCCTCAGATTAAAAAATGAGAATAAGGGGCTGGAGTGATAGCACAGCTGGTAGGGTGTTTGCCTTGCATGCAGCCGACCCAGGTTCAATTCCCAGCATCCCATATGGTCCCCCGAGCACCGCCAGGAGTAATTCCTGAGTGCATGAGCCAGGAATAACCCCCCTGTGCATCGCCAAGTGTGACCCAAAAAGCAAAAAAAAAAAAAGAGAGAGAGAGAGAATAAGAAGCTGGAGAGATAGTACAATGGGTAGAGCATTTGTCTTGCACACAGCCTATTTGGGTTTGATCCCCAGATAGTATAGCAGTTGGGGCACTTGCTTTGCTCATGGCCGACTTGGGTTTGATCCCCAGCACCCCATGTGGGTCCCCTGAGTTCTGCTAGGAGTGATTCCTGAGTATAGTGCCAGGGGTAAGTCCTGGGCACAGCTGAGTATGGACCCAAAACAAGGAGGGGAGAGAGAGAGAGAGAGAGAGAGAGAGAGAGAATGAGAGAATGAGAGATTGAGGGGACAGACAGCTAGCTCAGTGGACTGAAGTGCAAGCTTTGCATGCAAGAGACTTGGGTTTGATCCTCAGTTCTTCATGGTCCCCCAAGTCCTACCCCAGGGTACTTATTCTGGAGTAGCCTTTGAGTAAACAGTAGAGTCACATGAGTACTGTTTGACACAAAAATTTGTGAGAGAAGAAGAATATTTGAAGTGGAGGATTTTTAGAGGATTAAAATGGTTAAAATATATACCAGCAGCATCTGGCACAAAAGTGCTGTGCAAATATTAGCCATTGTTAATTATATTATAATTCCTACACACAGAGAAAGAAAAGAATTCTTTCCTGCCTTCCTTTCTTTTGTGTTTTTGGTTTTCAGGCCATGCTTATAGCTATGCTTATGCACTACTCCTGGTGGTGCCCAAAGGACCATGTTGTGCTAGGGATTCGGACCCAGGGCTCCCACATGCAAAGCATGTGATCAGCCCTTTGAGCCAACTTCATGGCCCTGTCCAGCACTTTCTGTAGGGAGAAGGCTGCTAGTGGACCTCAGGGGCCATTGCCACCTCTCTTTGAGCCTTTGTCCCTCCCATTTCAAAGCAGCTCAGTGAATAACCTCTCCCCTGAGCTTAGTCATCCCTTTGGCCAACGTCTTCCTTCATTTACTGTCTCATACTAGGGACCACATCTTCACGCCAAGCCAAGGCTCCCGGAAACAGGCATCCAAAGTCATGGTGGTGCTCACCGATGGGGATATTTTTGATGATCCCCTTAACCTCACAACAGTCATCAACTCCCCACTCATGGAAGGCGTTGAGCGTTTTGCTATTGGGGTAAGAGTCAGAGCTGGGGAGCACCTGACCCAGTGTCTGGGATAGGGAGGAGCCAGAGGTTCTTGAGGAGCACCTCCAAGCATGCACTCAGCCTGCTCTGTTCACATGCACTCACCATCTTCTGTGCTGCCAACCCTTGTGTCCCCTCCCCTCTCCATCCTGACTTGCCCAGCGATGATGAGTGGGAAGGCACACTGAGTGATGAGAGGGAGCTGGGCATTCGGGAAACACTTGTAGGCTGGGGCTCAGAGTGTGCCTGTTTTTGGTTGGGATGAGGATGAGGTGGGGAAACAGGAACTGGAAAGGAGGAGGTGGGGGGCAGAGGGGCCCTGCCCTCTCTCTGGGCCTGGAGAACTGGGGACTGAAATGCCATCCAGCCCCCATAGTGCTGACCAGCAACCCAGGGCCTCTGTGCAGGTGGGAAGTGCATTTAATAGAAGCAAAGCTGACGCGGAATTGAGGTTGATTGCCTCGGACCCGGATGAGACCCACACCTTCAAGGTGACCAACTACATGGCACTGGATGGGCTCCTGGAGAAACTACAGCAGAAGATTATTCGCATGGAAGGTGAGAGCTCCAGGGCCCAGGCTGTGAGGTGGCAGCCCTATCACAGGAGGCCCAGACCTGCACTGCAGCCCCTCCCTGCCCCTGCACCCCCCCTCCCTACATACTACTACTTCCATGTGGCATTCTGGACAACTCCTGTCAGCTCTCTGAGCCTCAGCTCTTCCAGCTCTGAAAAAGCAACAATATCACCAGTGCTCCTTACTTTTGCCAAATCCCAGAAAGGTCTGAATCAGCGGAGCTGCTGCTGGAAAAATAAGAGTGACTTGGGGTGGACTTCTGCTTCTAGAGCCCAGGGATGAGGAAATGGGTGTTCAGATAAAGGGAGTGAACGGCCCAAGTGATTTTCACCATGACATGGAGCAGGGATCCCTATGGGGGTCAGGCCGGAGGGCCCTTCCCTGGCTTGGGGGGCTCCCCTCTTCTCCCCCATAGCACTGTCCCACTGGACTTCCTGGCTTCCAGGTACCGTTGGCGATGCGCTCGATTACCAGCTGGCACAGATCGGCTTCAGTGCCCAGATCCTGGATGAGGTACGTGGTGCCCCTAGCTTGTACAGGCTCATGGTAGCAGAGTGGCCCAGGCCACCCTGGTCCATGGAACTCCTGGCTGGCTCCCATTTCAGAAGGAGCCATGCAAGAAAGGAAAGGAGAAAGGAAAACACTTGTTTGCACACCCTAATCTGAATCTTTGCCATACACAGAATGTTTTGTTTGTTTGTTTTTTGAGTTTTTTTATTTTTGTTTTTGTTTTGAGGGGGAACATCCAAAAATGCTTAGGTGTTACTCCTGGCTCTGCACTCAGGGATTACTCCTGGCGGGACTCAGGGAGCCATATGGGATTCTGGAGATTGAACCAACTGTAGTCGGCTGTGTGCAAGGCAAACGCCCTACCCTGTATACTGTTGCTCCAGCCCAAGGACAACTATGTTTTTTCCAGAAGGCGATTTTGTTGCGTGTGCCCAACTAAGCAGCTCCTTAACAGATGAGTCACACAGGCCTTGCCTGGGTGAGCCCCCAGCCCCTCACCTGGGGGCAGAGACAGGATCAGGGAAGAAGCCTGCCTTCTGCACAGTTAGCATCTGCACTGAACAGTGGCATGCAGAGGGGTTGGGCATCCTGCAGGGAGCAGCCCTTCCTCAGCCCTTCCTCGGCCCTGCTGCTAACAAAATTCAGGCTCAGAGCCCTGCCCCGTGCTGTGTTCTGGGACTGGCTGCTACTGCAGGGAGCTTGCCCTGCCGGACCTGGGTAGCAGGGAGGAATCCAGGGTTTGTCATCTCAGCTTCCTCCTACATCTCTGGCCAATCGGCTACGACGAAGGCCCTCGGACACCCAACAAAGTTCACTGGGCTGCCAGTCTACTCGGGACCTGGGTCCCTCCTAGCTAAGGTGTCCTCCAACTCTTACTTCCCGCAGAAGCAGGTGCTGCTCGGTGCGGTCGGCGCTTTTGACTGGTCGGGAGGCGCACTGCTCTACGACTTTAAATACGGGGAGGGTCGCTTCCTGAATCAGACGGCCCAGGACGCTAAGGCGGCTCCATACAGCTACCTGGGTGAGGGCGGGGCCTGGCCGTTACCAGGTGGGGCAGGTTCTGGAGCGGGTGGGGGCGGAGCCTGGAAGCTACCGGTGGGGCGGGGCCTGGAGTGGGTGGGGCGGGGCCTGGAGTGGGTGGGCGGGGCTGGAGTGGGTGGGCGGGGCCTGGAGTGGATGGACGGGGGCTGGAGTGGGTGGGCGGGGCCTGGAGTGGGTGGGGCGGAGCTTGAGGGTTACCGGGTGGGCGGGGCCTGAAAGTTACGGGGGTGGGGGGGGCGACGTGGGGGTGGGCTGGGGGCTGCCTGGGTGAGGGTGTGTTCGGACTCGGGCTGCATGTTAGGCTGCACTAGTTTAGTGCGAGCCCTGGTGGGGTAGGATCTGGTTATATAACCCCGAAGCTAAGAATTAGAGTTCCCTGGATGGAAGCAAAGCTTGTCAGTTAGTCCAAGCAGTAGACGGTCCTATGTGCCTGCCTGAGAAGGCTAAGAATGGGAGTAGGGGTCCTGAGCCATCTGAGCATCATCAGGTGTGACACAAAAACCAAAAAATTGGAGGCTGGTGATCCTTCACTCCCCTGTCCAGCTCCTGGGCGTATGGTGACCAGAAGGTGAATGTGACTGAGAGCCGTGTGTGTGTCCCATCTGTGTGGTTGGCTCAGGTGTGTGGCTGGTGTTGGTAGGTAAGTGGGCACAGTCGCTAATGTGGATTTTCAGGAGGAGAACGCCTGCCCCTCCTAATGGGACCCCTGCCCAAGCCCCTTTAAAGGTGTCTAGAGAGGTGGAGGTTGCAAGGAGTCTGAGGGGACCCTCCCCTCTCCATCCCACCAGGTTATTCAGTGGCTGTGCTGCACAAGGCCTGTGGCCTCTCCTATGTGGCAGGGGCCCCGCGGCACCAGCAGCGGGGAGCCGTGTTTGAGCTTCAGAAGAAGGATGGAGAAACCAACTTCCTGCAAGTGCTGGCCGGCAAGCAGGTACCTGCTGGGGAAGGACCCTGTCCCCAATAACTAGATCAGAGACCCAGAAGAGAACTGGATCGGCTCCAGGGCACCCCCAGGGGTAGAAACCCAGTTGGGGCAGAACTCAGTAGCTCTGCTGGGCTCTGAGGTTGGGTTGTGAGTGGTTTCCCCTGTGGGGGCTGTGCTAGTCACATCTCCTCCCTTGTTCTATGGACAATTAGTCTGGGCATCCAGGGAGAGCAGTGATCGGAGGGGGTCCCCTCAGCACCACTGTAGCTGAGTTCCTTCTGGGTCTAGATGGGGTCCTATTTTGGCTCTGAACTGTGCCCTGTGGACATCAACATGAATGGAACCACGGATTTGTTGCTGGTGGCAGCTCCATTTTATCACGTCCATGGAGAGGAAGGCAGAGTCTATGCGTACCGTCTGAATGCACAGGTGGGAGGCTCACCTCACCAGCTTGCTGGGTCCCCATCCAGCTGCTCAGGGTAGATAGCTCTGGGTGCAGCAGCTGTTCCACTCTTTCCCATGCCCATAAACTTTCTCATGTCCCCACCCTGTCACCTCATACCCCCATAGCTGCTCTGTTGACAAAGTGTATTCAGTTTGTGATCTCACTTGTTTTTCACTTGTTTTTGAGGTCACTGTTATTCCCATTGTACAGACAGGTAAGCAGAGGGCTCGGGATGACTGAAGCTTGCCCACATTTACCTAGCAAGTGTTGATAATGCCAGGACTAGACTGCAGGTCTCAATAAACTTCTTTTGTCTCATTTTTAGCAGATTATTTATAACAAGCGGGTAGGGCGTTCGCCTTACAAGCGGCCAAAATGGCCGACCCGAGTTCGATTCCTCCGCCCCTCTCGGAGAGCCCGGCAAGCTACCGAGAGTATTCGATATGCCAGACACAGTAAAAGGTAAAGGTAAAGGCCCTCCCGTTGATCGTCGATTTGCTCGAGCGGGCCCAGTAACGTCTCCATTGGAGACTTTGTTGTTACTGTGTCTGGCATATCGAATACTCTCGGTAGCTTGTCGGGCTCTCCGAGAGGGGCGGAGGAATCAAACTCGGGTCGGCCATGTTGGCCGCGTGTAAGGCGAACACCCTACCCGCTGTGCTATCGCTCCAGACACAGTATAACAAGCAATACAAAATAAATTATTTCAGTTCTACTTGGAGGGCAGGGTTTGGGGTTCAGGATGGAAATGTGGTAGTGGGACAGTGTAATGGTGATGGGATCAGTGTTCGAATATTAAATGTAATCAAATATTGTGAACAATTTTAAGGTAAAAGGTAAAGGCCCTCCCGTTGTTTGTCGATTTGCTCGAGCGGGCCCAGTAACGTCTCCATTGGAGACTTTGTTGTTACTGTGTTTGGCATATCGAATATGTCACGGGGAGCTTGCCAGGCCCTGCCGTGCGGGCGAGATACTCTCGGTAGCTGGCCGGGCTCTCCGAGAGGGGCGGAGGAATCGAACTCGGGTCGGCCATGTTGGCTGTGTGCAAGGCAAACGCCCTACCGCTAAAAATAAATAAAATGCAGGTCGCCCACGTGCTACCAGCCCTCTCAGTGTGGGAGCAGAGGGGCCAGTTCCAGGTCCTTAATTGCACTTTCCCTTGTGCTGACCGTGTGCCCCCAGGGCCAAGTCTCTGCTGGGGATGAGTGAGCAAGTTTCCTGCAGTCGACTCTGTGTTCAGCTGTCCATTTTCTTTACAGGATGGCTCCTTCTCCTTGGCACATGAGCTGAGCGGGTCCCCCGAAGCCACTAGTGCCCGTTTTGGCTTTTCCATGGTGACAGTGGGGGATATAAATCAGGATGGATTCACAGATGTGGCTATCGGGGCCCCCCTGGAGGGCCTGGGGACTGACCCCAGGGCCAGCTTTGGCACTGTTTACATCTACAATGGACGTGAGGATGGTCTCTCTCCCAGCCCCTCACAGGTGACTGCGCTCTCTCCTGCTTCTGCTCTGGGGCTCTGACCTCGCCCAGATGTGAGCCCGCAGCCCTGAGCCAGGTGGTTTCCAGGAGACAGGGGATTAGGCGCTAGGGGTCTTGCCTGTAGGATTCCTTGCCATTGCCTTCCCTGCAGCCTTCTGGTGTGAACTGAGGCTGCAGCAATGACCTTTTACTTCCCTGACCTGGAGTTCCTCTTCCTTTGCCATTCCTGACCGCAGAACCCACTAGCTATCGCCTTCCTCTGTGTCCCTTCTCCAACCGCCCTCCCCCAACCCAGTGCCTCTGCACTTTCTCCCGAGCTCCCCAGCACTCTGGAACTAGCCTCTCATGCTATATCTCTTTTATAGTGGTGCTGGGATTGAGCCCAGGTCCTGACACGTGCAAAGCTCGCACTGTGCCACTGAACCACACCCTCAGTTCCCCCTCCACCTTTCCTGGGCACTGTTCCTACTCCTCTCAGATCCAACCCCATATTTCCAACCTCAGCTGGATGGCCCAGCTGCCTCAGACACCGAGCTGCAATGTCCTTCCCCCTCAGACCTGGCCTCCTCTGGGCCCCCCAGCTGGGATAATCCTAGCACCAACTCTCAGCCCCCTCATCCTAATGATTCTTGTTCTCTCCAATTCACCCTTTTCCTTTGTGCCTTCCTGACTCGTGCCCCTACTCCCACTGTCAGCCTGCCCCTGGCCTGCAGCCTTGCCCAGCTCGTGCCCTGCTGTGCCTCTTCTGCCCTGGTCCTTCAGTGGCATTTCGGCAGCCCTTCTGATCAAACACAAGCACCCCCTGTCCCACTCGAGGTCTCCTAATACCCCCATCACTCCTGTTCGGCCACACTGGCCCCTGGCTGTTCTCTCCTCCCTTTTTTCTTCCCCAGCCACTGCCTGCCTCACTTTTCCCACCTGCCACCTGGGCTCCAACGAAATGCCACTTCATCCAGAAAAACTTGTCTTTTCTCCCTCAGTCCCACCCGAGGACTGAGGGCTCCTTGAATATTGGCTGATTTGAATAAAATTAAGTAGATTGTAATCTTCTTCTCTCCATTTCCTTCCACAGCGGATCCAGGCCTCAGCAGTGGCCTCAGGACTCCACTACTTCGGCGCATCAGTGTCTGGTGGCTTCGATTTCAGTGGCGATGGCCTGGTGGACATCACTGTGGGCACACTGGGCCGGGCAGCTGTATTCCGGTAAGGGCTTGCCCTACCTTCTATGGTTCTGGGTCCCAGCCTCTCCCAGTGATCCTATCTTAAGTGACCCTGTGTCACACTTCCCCAGCTGAGGGGAGGAAGGTCAGCCAGGAAGGTCACCAGATGGGGTGTCAGCCCATTGGGGTTCCAGTGATCTTGAATAATATTAATTGAATTTTAAGCCTCCTGGAGCTGGAGATATAGTACAGTAGGTAGGGTGCTTGCCTTGCATAGCTGACCTGGACCTGGGTTTAATTCCCAGCATCTGGTTCCTAGAGCCACCCCAGCAGTCATCCCTGAGCATTACCAACCCCCCAAAAACACAAAACAATGAAGAATTCTATCTGAATTCTAAGCCCCAGTTTTCTCATCTGTAAATGGAAGAAATAATATTTGTTATTGTCACTGTCTGTCCACTGTCACTGTCCTCCCATTGTTCATCGATTTGCTCGAGTGGGCCCAATAACGTCTCCATTGGAGACTTTGTTGTTACTGTGTCTGGCATATCCAATACGTCACAGGGAGCTTGCCAGGCTCTGCTGTGCGGGCGAGATACTCTCGGTAGCTTGCCGGGCTCTCCAAGAGGAGCGGAGGAATCAAACTCGAGTCGGCCATGTTGGCTGTGTGCAAGGCAAATGCCCTACCGCTGTGCTATCGCTCCAGCCTGTTATTAAGTGATTAGTGAGAATTCATTGAGAAATTAGATGTGAATTATTTGGCACAGTGCTTAGTGATGATGGCTATTATCCTTATTTTTCTGTCTCAGAGTCTCTGTGTTCCTAGTGAATGATCAAGTCCATAGCTCTATAGGAGCCAACCTCTCACCCCTCTGTCCCTGAAAGTCCACACTTGGCTGTACCGCCTCTCAGAGGCATCTCTGTGTCCACCTGCTTCAGGACCTCCCGTCCCCCTTCCTCAGCGCCCTCAATCTTGCCCTCCACGCCCCTCCCCAGCCCCACCTCAGCAGACAGTCCCTTGGGCTTCCTGGAGACCTCTTTCCTTCTCTCCCACTCTGCCTCCCAGACTGAGTCACTCCCACATCTCACCTGGGCCTTGCCCCCACATTCTGCTTCCTCTCTCTCTGCCCCTTCTCTGGACGGCAGCCTCCATTCCTGTGCTTACAGCCCCATCCACGGCCCTCTTAGAGGTCTTCCTTCTCCGTGGTGGGACCAGCCTGCCTGCTCTCTCTGTCATCCTCTATTACTGCCTGTGTCTGGCTGACAAACTTCTGGCGTGTGCTCCTCACACCCACTCAGGCCCTGTGGCTGGCCCTGCCTGCTCTCTGCCTGACTCGCGGTTCCCCCGGAGTTCCTCCTAGCTGTCTCATTCTTGTTTGCAAATCTCAACCTGCATGACTCTGTAGCAGTGAAGCTATCCTTCACCACCTGACCTAAATAGCCCATCTTTATTTTCTGCTCCCATTTATTTATTTTGGTTTTGGGGTCAGACCTGACAATTCTCAGGACTTACTCCTGGCTCTGGGCTCAGGGATCAGTCTTGGCAGGGTTATGAGGACTGTGTGAGGTGCTGGGCATTGAAACCAGGTCAGCTGCAAGGCAAAGTGCCCTGACTGCTGTCCTATCTGGCCCAGCCTGTTCCTGTTGTAGAAACATTATGTGCATGTGGCATTATCATCACATGGCATTTTCCTGTTTCTCATTTGTTTGCTGTCTGATTTTCTACCAGAGCATCTTCCCTCCCTTGTCACTTTCCCTCCTAAATCCTGAAGATTCAGAACAGCACTTGACTTGTTAGAGATATTCAGTAAATATTCACTGAATGAATGGATCCTCCAGGCATGAGCCCAGATGTCCTCTGATCACTTCTCATGGGCATTTTCCCTGTCTTGCTTAAGCACCAGACCCGTGGTTCGTCTCCGGGTGTCCATGGCCTTCAGCCCCCAGACTCTGCCCATCGGCTTCAACAGCAGCGTGCATGTGGACCTGTGCTTTGAGCTCAGCCCTGAAACTCCAGCTGCCCAGACAGGTACCCAACCACCAGGCCGCCACACCCAGCATCTGGGCAATTCCCTCTTGACATCAACAAGGGCCAGGAGAGAGGACTAGGCTGGGGAGTGAGTTGGGGTGCTACTCCTTGAAGTCTCTCTTTTAGCTTAGCTCCTTTGACATGTCCTTTTCATTCAGGTGAGCACCTCAGGAAAATGGTGATCTGCTAAGTGCACACCCTCAAAGGGATTCTCTGCCCAGCCAGGGAGGAAGGGAATTGGAAAGCTGGCTCAGAGGGAGGTGGTGTTTCTGAAGGTGACTCAGGAAATGTCACTGTCCCCCATCTCAGCTATAGTGTTTCTGTTGTGACTGGTGGGGCTCCTGGAAGTGGCCTCTCTTTCTCTCTCTCTCTCTCTCTCTCTCTGATTTGCATCTTTTCTCCCCTTATTCCCTTGCTTTGTCTCCTGGCCTGGCCGGGATGGCATCACCTGCCCAAGGCCTACCTGCTCTTTTCTCTCAGCAGGCACTGACTAAGGGACCTTCTCCAGAAGGCAGAGGGTGGGCATGGCTTTCCCAGCCCAAGCACATAGGCCAGCCCAAGAGCTCCCTCCCAGAAGAATCCCTCTGCCAAGTCCCTCGAGCTTTAATCTTTTTTTCTTTTTTCTTTTTTTTTTTCTTTTTGGGTCACACCCAGCTTTGCACAGGGGTTTCTCCTGGCTCATGCACTCAGGAATTACTCCTGGCGGTGCTCAGGGGACCATATGGGATGCTAGGAATCGAACCCAAGGCAAACACCCTACCTGCTGTGCTACACTCTAGCCCCTTGAGCTTTAATCTTGCCCGCCCTCCTGGAGCTGTCTCTGCTACTACAGGCCAGAAAGCTGTCTCTCAGCTGAGTGACTCTTCCGCTGAAGAAGACCATTATCCAACCTGGGGGTTGGAAGTGACAGGCCTGGCCTCTCCTGCAGAAGAAGCTGAAAGGATCAGGCCACAGGGCCTAGATACAGTTGCTGAGGAGCTGTGTGCCACTGGGCCAGTGTCTTTCACTCTCTGGACTCTGTGCTGACAGTAAAGGAGTCCACAAAACCTACATGGGGCCAGTATCTCTATTATCCTCAGGCATTACTCTCTGGTCTGTATTTTCTTTCCTGTATTCTCCTTCTCCCAAGTTCCTCCATCTCCCTCAGGCTCTTCTCTGAGCCCCTTCTTCCCTCCTGGGGGAGTGCCTGGCCCCCAGGAGCCTGCTGTTCTTGGCTGAGTCACCCGGGGACCCAGGAGAATGAGTGCCTTTGACATGAAGAGGAAACTCCTCCTCCATCTCCAGGGAGAGGGACAGGACTCAGGAGCGTCAGGCAGGCTGCGGAGCCTCAGTCTGGGCTTTGCCCCTCTTGGGCTCATCGGCCTGGTCTGCCCTTGATTGCCAGACCTCAGAGAGACGTCTGTGAACTTCACATTGGACGTGGATGTGATGAAGGAGAGGAAAAGGCTTCAGTGTTCGGACAAGAGAGCTTGTCAGAGCTTCCTTAGGGAGTGGGGCCCGGAGCCCCGTCTCTGTGAGTCCCTCCTGCTCACTCCCATGGACACAGAGGTGAGTGGCATTACAAGAGTGTGTGGATAAGAGTTGGGCAGCTGCAGGAGGCAGGTAGCTCTGCATTGTGAGAAAAGATAGGCAGCAAACTCACACACACAAATTAGACAAGTGCAATAGACCAACAACAGCATAATGTCATGGCAGGAAGAGCTAATTCTGATGCCGGAAATCTAAAATTTCTCTCTCAGAGACTCTCCCTTTGTGGTGTGTGACCAGGGGTGACACACAAGCCTCATTGTGGTGCTTGTTGGATGTCGCACACTTTTAGTTGTGGTGCTCACACACGTGCTCAATAGGAATCCAACTCCTGACTGCAGTGCGTGCACATCTTTCATCTGTAGTGTTTGCCAGGCATTATGCGGTTTATTTATTTATTTATTTATTCATTTTTTGCTTTTTGGGTCACACCTGGCGATGCTCAGGGGTTACTCCTGGCTCTGCACTCAGGAATTACTCCTGGCGGTGCTCAGGGGACCATATGGGATGCTGGGGATCGAACCCGGGTCGGCCGCGTGCAAGGCAAATGCCCTACCCGCAGTGCTATCGCTCCAGCCCCAATATATTTTAATTATTAACTGAATTCAGCAAGAGGTATTTTCAGTTTTATTTTTGCCACACCTGGCAGTGCTTAGGGCTAGCTCCTCTGCATTCAGGCATCATTCCCGGCAGTGCTCAGTGGTTCCGGGGATTGAACCTGGTTTGGCTCTATACAAGACAAATACCTTAACCCCTGGACTAGCTCTCTGGCCTAAGAACAATCTTTGTAAATACAGCTGTTTACATTTTTCCCTTGGAAGAAAGTCTGAGCATGTTTTTCACTTCGATGGCCAGAACCCCTTGGTTACTGGGGCTGAAACTCCAAGGTGCTCTCGGAGGCCTGAGACCAGAGTGGATTGAAGGAAATTCTTCCAGTGTTTTTGGTAGCTTGGCAGGAGAAGCTGCCTCTCAGAGAGCACTCTCCTTGTCATCTTACCACCCCTGCCACCCTCTCAACCCTGCGCTTGTGGGCTTGCAGCTCTCAGAAGAGGACCACTTCTCCAACATCAGTGTCAAGGTCAGCTACCAACTCCATGCCACTGAGGACTCCTGGGACTCTGCCCGCCCCATGCTGGACCTCCTCACGGAGCACACTGCCCTCTTCCAGGTGACTACCCACAACCAGGCCCTCCTGGGTAGCCAGACTCCCCGGGAAGACCTGTTCCCTAACTTCTTAGAATGGAAGTGGCGAGAGGGCATCTGACAGCTTCTGGGTCGCTCACCCTAGAAAGGGGAGGGAGGGTTGGGAGATAGTGGATGTTCTCCCAGGCCCTCGAAGCTAGCCAACACCACTCTCCACCCTGTGTGTGCCATTCTGCCGGTGAAGCATGCAAACATGTACTCTTGGCAAGCGTCTCTGATGGTGCGTGGCAGGGACAGGACTGGAATTCACCTGTCAGGTACTCTGCCTGCCACATCTGCACCTGAACCAGGCAGAGGGACATTTAATCAGGGGAGGAAGGACATAGTCACAGTTCCTGACTCTTTGGGGATTCATACAAGCTGGGGAGAGCTAATAGAATAAGGTTGCATCAATGAGTAGATTATTAATTAATTAGATATACTCTTTTTCTTACCAGCACAACACTGTAATGAGCTGAGCTTAATTAAATTAATTAAGGCCCTCCCGTTGATCATCGATTTGCTCGAGCGGGCCCAGTAACGGAGACTTTGTTGTTACTGTGTCTGGCATATCGAATACGTCACGGGGAGCTTGCCAGGCTCTGCCGTGCGGGCGAGATACTCTCCGTAGCTTGCCGGGCTCTCCGAGAGGGGCGGAGGAATCGAACTCGGGTCGGCCATGTTGGCCACGTGCAAGGCAAACGCCCTACCCACTGTGCTATCGCTCCAGCCCTGGCCATAATATATATATATATATATATATATATATATATATATATATATTTTTTTTTTGGTTTTTGGATTTTTTTTTGGTTGTCTGTGGCTAGGATATGCTTGGTAGCACTGTCCTCAAGAGTGACCCCGGGCAGTACTGGGGATGCTGGGGAAGTGATCCAGATTCAAGGTATACAAAGCAACCACCTTACCTCCTATACTATATCTCTGGCCTCACTTAATTGTTTTATTTTTATTTTTTTTGCCTTTTGGGTCACACCCAGTGATGTTTAGGGTTACTCCTGGCTCTGCACTCAGTTACTCCTGGCAGTACTGGGGGGACCATATAGGATGCTGGGGATAGAACCCGAGTTGGCCACTTACAAGGCAAATGCCCTACTCGCTATACTATTGCTCTGGCCCTGGCCTCACTTATTTTTTAAATTGAATTACAGTGATATGCACAGTTACAAAGTTCTTCATGATTGGATTTCAGTCACACAGTGTTCCAACACGTGTCCCTTCGCCAGTGTCCATTTCCCACCACCAGTGGTCCCAGTTTCTCTTCCCAACACCCTTGCCTCTATGGCAGGCACTTTCCTTCTCCCCCTCCCCCTCCTTTTCTCTCTCCCTCTCTCTCCCCCTCCCCCCCTTCCTCTCCCCTGCCCCTTTTTCCCTCTCCCTCTCTCTCTCCTCCTTCCCCTCTCCTCCTCACCTCCTCCTCTCCTCTCCCCCTCTCCCTTCCCTCTCCCTCTTTGTCTCTTGTCTGTTTTTGAGCCATAGCTGGCGATGCTGAGGGGTTACTCCTGCCTCTGTACTCAGGGATAACTCCTGGTGGTGCTCAGAGAATTATATATGGGATGTTGAGGATCAAATCCAGATCAGCTGGATTATATTTGGGATGTTGAGATCAAATCCAGGACCCTCCCACTCCAGCCTCACTTTTTTTTGGTGTGTGAATAAAAGTGTTTGTGGGGGGAGAGGGGGTTCTGGGCAGTGAACCCAAGATCACAGGCCACACATTTGCCCCTCCCACTGGCCATACCCTGGCCACATTCTTCTTAAAAGACTTTTTATTTGGAAGTATTTGGCTTACTAAAAAGTTCTAAGAATAATTCAAGGAATTCCCATGTGTCCTTTACACTGATTCTCCACATGTATCTATATTCCAGAACCACCTGGAGTAACTTACAGATATGATGCTCTAATTCAGTATTGCAGGATCTTTTCTAGAGAGCAAGCAAAAGGTGCTTAACAAGAACATGGTGTTATTTTAGTTCGCATCTCTTTTTGTTTGTTTTTGCTTTTGGGTCACACCTGGTGGTGCTTAGGAACTACTCCTGACTGTGTTCTGGGGTCACTTCTGGCATTGCTGAGGTGAGCAGCAGTCCTAGAGATAGAGCCCAGGCCTCTCCTGGGTGTCATGCTCTCGCATCTGAGCTCTCTCTCTGGCCCCTGTAATTAAATCTCTTACAGGGAGTTGTTTTGAGATTATTCACATATCCTGCGTATCAAGATTCTGATCTTAATCAAGTGTTTCTTTGACAGTTTGTCAAAGATCTAAAAATGTTCCACCAATAAAAAGGGGTAAGGAGAAGTTATTTTGTGTTAGTTAAGACACATAGATTTTTTTCCCCCCAGAGAGTTTTTTCGAGCTCGAACATATGGTGGTTTCACCCCAATCCTCTTTCACTGGGTCTGGGTGAAAAAAGAGCAGTAAGTGATGGGGCTATATTAATAACAAAACTAAATAAAACTTCTCCAAACTGTTAACCCAGTCGTAGGTCATTTATGACTTCTGAAAATTCATCTTCCTTTTCTAGCAAGTGGGGTTCCTGTCTAGCTCTGCATTCCCGTTCCAATTTAAGCCATGGTAAAAGACTGTATAAATAAAATTGCTGAGGTGATCACGTCTGTGGGAAAGAGATGTATAGAGAATCCCCAACTGAGGAGGTGCCTGTCTATTCTTCATAATAAAAACAGACCCAGCTCTTTTCAATCTTTCCAACCTTTACTGGGTCTTTTGGACTTAGCGTGACTTTTTTTCTTTTTCTTTGGTTTTGGATCACACCCAGCAATGCTCAGGGCTTACTCCTGGCTCTGTACTCAGGAATTACTCCTGGTGGTGCTCGGGGGAACTTATGGGATGCTGGGGATTGAACCCAAGGTCTACTGAACCCTACTGCTGTCCTCTCTCTCCAGTCCCTCAACGTGACTTTCTAAATTTGTCTGCTTTAGTGTGGGCCCAAGTATAAGGGGGAAAGTTAGCCTACAGCCAATGGTAACTGAGGGCTTGGCAGGCCTATACCTGGACGATATTTCATTAGGTATCCTCCGTTCATGTTTGTGTGCCAAGGGGTGAGGCGGGCAGGAATGATGGGTGCCTCGGCTGATCCTGCCTTCTTTGTCTATTCACAGCTGTCTTATGAGAAGGACTGTGAAAATAAGCTGTTTTGCATCGCTGACTTACAGTTGGTCACCACCATATCTCAGTAAGTTGGATCCAGTCAATACAGTTTTGGCAATTCACTTTCTCCTGGGCTTACTTAGGCAAATCCTCATCTGGGTCCATTACTCACTCGTTCCCTTTCCCTCAATCACCCAAAAAGGGCTTTTGTACTATTTCACTAGAGAACAGACTCAGTAAGTGAGGGCCTGCAGGGGTCACGGTGGTCACCTGGTCTACTGTGCTGAGTCTTACTCCTGACTCTGTGCTCAGGGAATACTCTGCACTGGAGATGAAACCAGGGTTGGCCATGTGCAAGGCAAGCCCCTTATCCCCTGTATTATCTCTCTGGCCTGCTAGATCCCAAGTCTTTTAAGAACTTAGACAATACTATTTCTCCATTTTCTTGGGTTATTTTTGGTTCTTCCGGTATTCAGGGGCCACAGTCACTCCCTGGGTTGCTGTGCTGGAGGGTCCTTGGGGCCACCTCAGTGGTGCTTGGAGGACCATGCAGTGCTAGTAACTGACCCATATTCCAGGCATGCACTCCTACCCTTTTTGCTTTCTCTTGGACTACTGACAATATTTGCAGGTTCTTGCTCTGATAGCTTCCTCAGAAGTTATAGTTCCCTGGTTTAGCTCTTTGCCGTATGATTTATTTAAGTCATGAAACATCTGCTGAGTATCTACTCTCTGCCATGCACTCTAGGTGCTAGAGATTTGTGAGCGAATAACACAAACACAATATCTGCCTTCCCTGTGCTTTTAAGGGACAGAGATTCTAAATTCTCTGTCAATGAGATACACTCTGAAGAAAAACGAGGCAGGGAGGTGGCAGGGAGTTCAGTTAAACTGAGGGCTCAGGAAGGGCTTGCTGAGGGTTACATTTTGGCACAACGAAGAGAAAACAGAGGGATGAACTGTTTGGGTTTCTTTTTTCCTTTTCTAAAGACCATAATAGCCACTTAATTTAATTTCTGGTTTGGGGTTATACCTGTCAATGCTCAAGGCTTACTCCTGGCTCTGTGCTCATGAATCACTCCTGGCAAAGTTTGGGAAACCATATGTGATGCCAGGAATTAAACCCAGGACAGTGTGGCCAAGGCACTAAACGGCCAGCCCTAACCACTAAACTGTCTCTCTGGCCCCTGCATGGGATTTTGAAAGGGAAAACAACTCCAAATTCCTTACGACGGGCAAATGCCAGCAGGTGGAGGAACAAATGCCAGCAGGTGGAGGAACGATCAGCGTTTTCTGTGGGAGGTGGGGGGGTGGGGAGAGACGGAAGCAGCCCTCCATAAGGGCTTTTACAGTGAACTGCAAGGGCAGAGGGATGACATGATATTGTACTGGGGCATGATTAGGCTTGTTGCTGTGTTAAGAAAAGACCGCAGGAGCTCCAGAAGAACAGGAGGAATGTAAGGAGCTGGTAGGATAACTCGGTGGAGGGGGCCAAAGCGGAAGCCTTGCCTTAAAGGCTCAATCCTCAGCACCCCATAGCTCAGAGCCAGGAGTAAGCCCTCAGCACAGTCTGGTGTGATCCCAAAATAAAATAATAATAATAATAATAATAATTCAGTGGGAAAGTGATGGCAACTTGGCCAAACCTGAAGGAGGTTGTATTTTGATGCATCTGCAGGATGGGATTATGATTGCACTGGGGAAGTAAAAGAAAGGGTTTCAAGGGGCTGGAGCAATAGTACAGTGGATAGGGCATTTACCTTGCACGTGGATGACCCAGGTTCGACTCCTAGCATCCCATATGGTCCCCCGAGCACTGCCGGGAGTAATTCCTGAGTGCAGAGCCAGGAGTAACCCCCAAGTATCACTGGGTAAGACCCAAAAAGCAAAGAAAAAAAAAAGAAAGAAAGAAAGGGTTTCAGAAGCCTTCTGTAATGCCTGCCTGTCAGGACTCTCAGGATATGGACATTCAAGTTGTTTTCAGTGACTTGACTCCTTTGGCAAAGATAATAACCGCCACCACCAAATGCGACTACATCACATTAAAAAGGATTTATTTTTTTTTGCAAAAGGACTTCTTTGGTCAAAAGAAAAAGACACCCTGCTGAATGGTAGAAAATGTTTGCACAGAAAACATCAGAGAAAGGGCTAATATATGTTAAGGCTAGTGGGAAAATATTTGTACATACAACATCAGATAAAGGGCAATAAAGAGAGAGTGCTCAGAAAGTTCAACAACAACAAACTAATAAGCCCATTAAAATGGAGAAAGTAGATGAACAAACACTTTCACAGAGGACATTTGGATGGCCAGTGGGCATATGAAAGTGCTCATAGTCACTTATTATCCAGGAAATGCAAATCAAAACAAGGACTTAATACCTCACACTAGTGAGAATGACATATATCAAAAAGACCAGAAACAACCGGTGTTGGCAGAGACATAGTGAAAAAGGACCCTCATTTACTCTTGGTGGGGTGTCCTCTGGTTTACTCTCTATGGAAAACAATATGGAGATTCCTCATAAAAGTATATAAAAGAATAGAGAGGCCAGAGAGAGAATACAGAGAGTAGGGCTCTTGCCTTGCATGATGCCAAACTGTGTTTGATTCTTGGTTTCCTGGTACTCCATATGGTCCCCTAGTCCTCATCCCCCTCCGAGTGGGATCCAGGGGGAGTGTGAAGAGCCAGAAGTAAGCCCTGAGTATAGCCAGTGTGGCCCCCAAATAAAAATAAAAAGATAAGAACAGAGGACTAGAGAGATTGTACAAATGTTAAGATGTTTCCCTAACATGTGGCTGTGACCCAGCACCAAATATGGTCCCTGGCCACCATAAGGTGTGGCCCAGGGTGTGACCTAAACCTCCAACCCCACAAAAATACAGAACTTTCCTATGATCAAATCACTTGACATCTAACACAAAAACAGTAATTTGAAAAGATACATATGTGCACACCTGTGTTCATTGTATTGAACACAGTACAATACACTGTTAGTACAATAGCCAGGATATGTAAATAACCCAAATGTCCAATAAAAGATAAGTGGATAAAGAAGTGGAATATATATGTGCAATGGACATATGCAGTCTATAAGTGGGGTTCATTCCCCAGAACCCCATATGTTCTCTCAAGCTTGCCTGGAATTATTCCTGAGTGCAGAGCCAGGAGTAAGCACTATCTGATGTGGCCAAAATATAACAAACAAAAGAAACCAAGCAAGGGCATGAGAGAGAGAGAGAGTGTGTGTGTGTGTGTGTGAGTGAGGGGGTGGTGAGACCGCTCGGGAGAGGAGGTAAAGAGGTATTCTGTAAGTAACATAAGGACACTGGTGGAGGGTATTTTGGTGGTAGTAGAATGTGATAACCATGTATATCAAAATCATAAATATTAACACTAAGCATATGATCTAAACTTTAATAATTTTTAAACTGTCACTGTCACTGTCCTCTTGTTGTTCATCAATGTCCTCGAGCGGGCCCAGTAACGTCTCCATTGTGACAGTTGTTACTGTGTTTGGCATATCAAATATGACACGGGTAGCTTGCCAGGCTTTGCCGTGTGGGCGAGACTCTCTCGGTAGCTTGCCAGGCTCTTAGAGGGGCAGAGGAATCGAACTCAGGGCGGCCATGTTGGCCGCTTGCAAGGCAAATACCCTACCCACTGTGCTATTGCTCCAGCCCAATTTTTAAGCATATAAAAAAATTTATTTCCACATTATCTAAAACTGTGCTGTCTAGTACAGCAGCACTATTCACATGTGGCTCTTTAAGTTAATTAAAGTGAAGTAAAATGAGAAACTATTTCTTCAATTGAAGTAGGCAAATTTCAAGTGCTCAATACTCATATATGGCTAATGATATCCAACAGCACAGATAAGACCTTTTCTGTTACTAAAAATGTCCTATAGGACTACACTGAATTCTAGAGTTGCCAAGAACTGAGTGGGGGAAGATATAGGGGAAGAATGTTTTGCTGGCTGTCTTTTTTATTGTTTGGATTTTGGGAGGGCCAAACTTGGTGGGTGCTCAGGGTTTACTCCTGGCTCTGTGCTGAGAGATCACTCTTAATGGTGCTTGGTGACCATGTGTTGCTAGGGTTTGAACCCAAGCCAGGTGGGTGCAAATCAAGTTCCCTACCCATGCTGAGAGATCACTCTTAATGGTGCTTGGTGACCATGTGTTGCTAGGGTTTGAACCCAAGCCAGGTGGGTGCAAATCAAGTTCCCTACCCACTGTACCATATCTTCAGCTCTGGGAAGAATGGGTTTTGGAAGACGGTGTAGGGAAGAAGAGATCTTATTTGGTTTTGAACACATGGTGTGTTTAAATGTCTTCCTAGCTACTAGCATGGAGTGTGTTAAAATGGTTCTGATGGCCAATTGGCATCTGTGGGAAAGTTGACTGTTCTCTGAGTACGGTAAATCTGCTCAGAGGCATTTGCAGCACTTGTGTTTCCGTTGTGGCCAGCATAGCACTGCTCATCTGACTCACTAAGGATCCAATTCAAGACTTCAATCCAATTCAAGAGTGCTCTGGCACCCGCCTAACAAGCAGACACAGCTGCTTCCAACAGGGAATTAATTACATCCCAGAACGGCTTGCAGCCCTGTGAAACAGTTCCAGCATCCACAGCTGGCCCTCTATCTCCCCTTAGTGGACAAAGGATAGGTTCTTTTTTCAAAAGTATTGAGCCTAATCATTAATATCCAATTGCCTCGCTGATTTTTCAACTCTTTGTGGACATAAGCCTCCTAAGGTCACTGTCACTGTCACTGTCCTCCCATTGTTCATTGGTTTGCTCGAGCAGGCCCAGTAACATTGTGAGATTTGCTGTTATTGTGTTTGGCATATCGTATATGTCACGGGGAGCTTGCCAGGCTTTGCTGTGTGGGCAAGATACTCTCGGGTAGCTTGCTGGGCTCTCCGAGAGGGGCGGAGGAATCGAACTTGGGTCGGCCATGTTGGCTGTGTGCAAGGGTCGGAGCGATAGCACAGCAGTAGGGCATTTGCCTTGTACGTGGCCTACATGGCCAACCTGAGTTCGATTCCTTTGCCCCTCTCAGAGAGCCCGGCAAGCTACCAAGAGTATCTCACCCGCACGGCAAAGCCTGGCAAGCTCCCCGTGACGTATTCAATATGCCAAACACAGTAACAGGTCTCATAATGGAGACGTTACTGGGCCCACTCAAGCAAATCGATGAACAACGGGAGGACAGTGCTACAGTGCCTCCTAAGGTATTTAAGGAAAATGACAGCCCCTTCTCTGAGAACATTACACATGCATACATCAGTTTTTGCATTCAGGGCTCTCCAAAATCATGTTCAGTTCTTGGGTTCAGCACCCTGTTAAATATCTGGCAATTCTTGGTCTCTTCTGGGCCCTAGAACAGGATGACCCACTGACAGTGCAGATCTCGACTCATTGACCTGTCAGCTTGTCATGTCCCAAACTGAAGTCATCGGCTACCCTCTGCCCTTGCTCCTGAGCCTCCTCTTTCATGAAAAGTGCTACTTGGTCACCTATGCTGGAAACTTGGCTCCCCACTGACTCCACTGTCTTTTTTCAGCTCTGCCAGCAAGTGCAGCTGAACTACCTCTGATGTCTCTCCTTCCTTTCCTGTCTCATCATGACTGTCTTATTTCAAGCGTGTGCCATCTCGTTGATGGATTTCACCACAGCTCTGACTGCTTCATGGGTACTCTGAACAGTCTGTCCACTTCACATCTGTGAGAAAAAAACACAACCAACTGCATCCCGTTTTTTTTCCAGAGCTGCACATGCCATCTTTGAACATTTTGTAAGAATAGGAAGTAATTTGTCTGGTTAATATGCTTTCCTGTAGATGTCAGTATTGGGAGTGCGTCTTCATTCAGGAACCAGAGTATCAGCCTGTCCGCAGAGGGTGTTTCTTCTCTTGTTTGAGCAGATTCATATTTTAAACCACAGCTTTTGTTGTTTTTGTTATGGGAGTGGCTGTGTAGCAGTGCTTGGTAACACCCAGAGTTGCTTAAACCACAGTTTTCAAATGGAAGGGCTTGGGGCTGGAGTGATAGCACAGTGCATAGGGCCTTTGACTTACATAGGGCAGATCTGAGTTGCATCCATGACCCCATGTATGGACCCTAAGTCTGCCAGGAGTAACTTCTGAGTGGCAGAGTCAGGAGTAATCCTTGAGTATGGCTGGGTGTGGCCCAAAACAAACAAAAAAATAAATAAAAGGAAAAGCCTGAAGTTTTTTGTGTGTTTCTGTTTCGTTTGGGGGCCTTCCCAAGCAGTGGCCAGCAGGTCCTGAGACCTCTCACAGCAACTGGCCAATCTCAATGTAAGGGCCTGAACATGCAGCGCTACTTGGGCCTTGCAGTGTTGGGAATAATCCAGGCCACCATGCCAGTGCTTGGGGAACCCCTGGGGTTATACTTGGCATACTTGAGGGACCATGTGGTGCTGGTGTTCAAACTAGGGTCGGCAACTTACAGGTTCCTGAACCCTTGTACTATCTCTCTAGCTTGAATTTCAAGGGGAATAAAGAGGTTGAGGGGGCAGGGGCAGCCCAAAGGCCATAGAAACCAAGAGCATGAGAATTGGATTTCATTAGCTTGCCACTGGAAGGTGGGGAGGAGAGGATTCAGACAGGGAATGCAACACAGGTAGAGGGAAGTGGTCAATCTGGCGGGGGTCAGGAGCAGAGAGATGGTAAAGTGTTATACACGAAACCCTATCAGTAGTAGTATTGTACAGTGCTGAAAGGAAAATAAAATAATAAAGTGCCTGTCAAAGAGGTAGACTGGGGGTAGGAAGGCAACGGGGGATATAGGTAGAGGGAAGTGGACAATGGTGAAGGGCTTGGTGTTGGAACAGCGTATGCCTGAAACTTAATCATGAATAACTTTGTAAATCATGGTGCCTCAATTAAAAAAAGTAAAACAGAAAGAATTGATATATTTCTTCCAACTCCTTTTGGAGGCTTCAAGACTCCAAATAATCAGCTCCTCTTAACTTCTGTTTTCCTTCTCTTTGAAACGAAGAGTAACCAGGGGCCAGAGAGATAGTACCATGGGTAGGGCACTTGCCTTGCACACAGTTGACCTGGGTTCAATCTGTCACTGCATTGATCCCCCAAGTCTGGCAGAAATGATCCGTGAGCACAGAACCAGGAGTATGAAAATGCCAGGTGTGGCCCCCAAGCCCCTCCCTGCCAAATGAGGAATAATCATTTCAAATGATTATTATGAAAATTGAGCCCAAGAAGCATTTAGCACAGTCCCTGGCACATGGTAAGCAGGAGGGCGGGGGGCGGGGGGGTATTACTGGCATATCGCATAGTAGCTGAGATAAGTGTGACAATCTAGAGGTTGCTGAGTTGAGGGAAAGCAAATCTGGGCTAAATGTGTTCTTTCAGCAACTTATCTAAGAAGTTAGTGAAGAGTGTGCTACTGCTTTGCATCAAGGTTTTTTATAGATGAAATCAAGCAGTAACATGTGTCTGTTTATCTACTCTATGCAGGCAGAAATTGGTGGTGGGTCTCACAAAGGAGCTGACCATGAATATCACTCTAACCAACTCTGGGGAAGATTCCTACATGACAAACATGGCTTTGAATTATCCCGCAACTTTACAGTTTAAGAGGATACAAAAGGTAACCAAGCTTTCTACCTCCTACCTGCCTTTTGTTTCCCTCCCTCCCTCCCTCCCTCCCTCCCTCCCTCCCTCCCTCCCTCCCTCCCTCCCTCCCTCCCTCCCTTCCTTCCTTCCTTCCTTCCTTCCTTCCTTCCTTCCTATGCTCAGGAGTTACTCTTGGTTCTGCACTCAGGAATCACACTTGGTGGACCATTTGGGATGTGAGGGATCAAACCCAGGCTAACTGCATATAAGGCAAATACCCTACCCACTGTACTATTATTCCCTTTCCACCCCTCCCCTTGCCTTTTTGAGGTTTCCCTCCAACTGGTCCCTACCTCCAGCCTCATTTTGGTCTGTTCAATAAATGCACATTAACTACACATTAACTACATGAATTCCTTCCAGTCCCAACTCTGTGCTGTTGATCCACTTGTGCCAGTCACAGACAACTTCAGAGGGATCGATCGTTTTGCTGCAAACTTTTTTTTTGCTTTTGGGCCACATACAGCTTTTCTTGGGGCACTCACAGTGCCAGGGATAGAACTAAGGTCTCTTGCTTCCAGAGCATGAGCTCTAGTCCGTTGAGCACTCTCTGGTCCCAGTGGCTTTGTATTTAAATCCAAGCTGTGAGTACAGCAGGAACCAAGTTTGATTTATTTGTGCCCCAGCAGTGTTTCTGGTATTTGAAAAAAAAAAAATCAATGAATATTTGCTGAACTGTGTGTATAAAATGCCCCCGGCTCTTTTGAAGAGCTGTCTTCTTTGTTAACCACTTTCTTTGTTAGCCACCTTCTCCAGGCATTCAGTGTGATGATCCTAAGCCCGCTGCATCTCTCCTGGTCATGAACTGCAAGATCGGTCACCCTGTACTCAAGAAGTCATCTGTGAGTATGTATTTTATTTGGGTGAACACATCCAGTGGTACTCGGGAACTCTTCTTGGCTCTGTTCGAAGTGGATCACATGTGGTACTGGGGATTGGAACCAGGGTTGGCCACATGCAAGGCAAGCACGCTGACCTCTGTGCTATCTGACCCCTGTTAGCCTATTTTGATGACCTGCTCTTCTCATTACCAAGGAGTCAGTGTCTTCTCCATCCATCTCACTGAATCTCTTGAGTTGGGGTCTACATGTTTCCATTTACTGTATAGTCACTCCATAACTGCTTGGAGCTGCCATGTGTGCCCTGCAGGTAGGGGATGGCAGTGTGAGCAGCAGCCCTAAGCACACTGCTAGCTCTCTCCAAGGGAACAGTGCAGTGAACGGGTGTGTGGAAGGAGCATTAGGTCGAGCCTTTATTCCCAAGGTGAGTCCCTAACCTGCCAGGGATGATCTTTGTGCAACGGGGTATCCCAAGTCTAGAAGGGGGAAAATGTCATCTGCCCTGCTTACCGGATATGGACATCCTGACCCTTGGCATGGAATGAACGGATATGGAAGCATGCTTTTACAGAAATGTCAGGAATATGAATCATGTTTCCTAGGCCCATGTAGCTAGTGAAGAAGTTTGAATTTGAAGTGGAATCAAGTGATCTTTTTTATTTTTTGTTAACAGACAGACATCTCAGTAGTCTGGCAGTTAGAGGAAAAACCCTTTTCAAACAGGACTGCTGACATCACAGTGACAATTACCAAGTAAGTAGTGCTTCATTTCATTTCATTTACATACAAGTAAAAATATGATGAAACCTGGTAGCATTGGGCTGAAATTGTAATTCTGATCCAATCTGTAAAAGCAGCTTTGTCATCTGCAAAAACTGTATTTGGGAGGATAGGGGATGGTTTTGGAGAAAGGTTCTCAAATCTTATCTCCTGGGGGCAGTACCTAGACTTTTTAGTGGGGAGAGGTTTCTGGGCCATACTAAGTGGGGCAGGGGCAGGACACAATAGGACTAATTTAAAGCTCAGTGCCCAGGGGTTATTCCTGGCAGTGCTTGAGGGACAACACAATGGGGGCGGGGAGTATGTGAATCCAGGGACGGGAGCTCAGCCCTTTTAGTTAACCTCCTGGAGACCTTCGATCTTGAGAAGAGCTACTACAGGCGAGTGGGGAGATGTCAGGTAAGTTGCTAAACAAAACAGTTTACAATATAAAGGACAAAGAATTATCTGACCCTAAAGCTCTTGTTGAAGCTCAAAAATCTTTTAAAGACTTTTTTGTGGTTGTTTTGGGGCCACACCCAGAGATGTTCAGTGCTTACTCCTTGCTCAGGGATCACTTGTGGTAGGGTTCAGGGGTCTAGACATCAAATCCAGGTAGGCTGCATTCAAGGCAAGCACACTACAAGGTTGTACTATCTTCAGCCCTGAAGAACCCTTTCTAAAGTCAATTATTTCTCCAAGTGTGACCTAGTAATTTTTCCGCATTCTAACTGATTATCTTCAAGATTCCTTTATTATTATTTTTAAAAGATAAGTTTTGTTTTTAACATTTTAATTCAACAAAATACAATCGCTATCCAAAATCTAAATTCTATCCATTCTATACAGTTGGCTCCCTATACCCATTTCACTCTGCCCCCACGAACAATCTCTAAAAGGTTTTGGGTCACACCCAGTAGTGCTCAGAAGCCAATTCTAGCGCTGTGCTCAGGGGCAGACTTGTAGGACCAGGTGGTACCTCTTGATGCAAAGCCTGTACCCTGCCCATTGAGCTGTATTTCCAGGCCCCCAGTAGTCCTTTCTCATCTGACTGCTGATGATCCTGGCTAGCCAGTGGCTGTGCTGTGAATTGATACTCTTGTTTCCCAGTTCCAACGAAAGAAAGTCTTTGACCAGAAAGACCCATAGCCTTCAAGTCAAGCATTCCTTTGTTGCAGTTCTTCCCAAGTAAGTACCTTCAAGGGCAAACACCTGGGGGCAGCTTCAGGAGTTCTCTTCTGGGTAGAACTAATGGTTGGGTGGATGGAACATCTCTGAGAGGAGCTTCCCATTGGTTTCTAAGCACTCTTCCCACATGGCATCCACCAAAGGAGAAATAGTGCCACCAGTCTAACTATAAAGGGGTGCTAATATGATGCTAAGGCACAAGGAGAGGGGCCCAGGGATGGAAAAGAGGGAAGTAAGGCTATTCTGAGGAGTAATTAATGGACATAATAACCAGCCCAAGTATACAGAATTCAGATATCCCACCTGATCACAACTGCCATTCCAATACTTTACATTTTGATACTCAGTTCTGATTCCTCTTAAGGATCTGGTGCTTGTTCTAATGTATATAATGGACAGCATTCAGTTTTTCTTTCTTTGGTTTTTGGGCCACATTCAGCTGCGTTCAGGGCTTACTCCTGGCTCTGCACTCAGGGATCACTACTGGCGATGCTCAGGGGATCATATAGGATGACAGGGACTGAACAGGTTGGATCTGTGCAAACGCCCTTCCCTCTATACCATCACTCAGGCCTGACAGCACTATCTGATTTAAAACAAAGCAGCTTTGGTCCCCAATGTGTTTCTCAATTACAGAAAAACAAAGATGTACATGAACACAAGCCAGGGGCTTTCCGAGCACAAAGAATTCCTTTTCAATGTAAGTGCTTATTGCATATATCTTTTTCTTTTTTGGGGGGGGAGAGGGAGGATGGGACCACACCCAGCAGTGCTCAGGGATCACGCCTGGTGGGGCAGGGGAGAAGGGTGGAACCATAAGTGGTGCCAAGGATTGAACCTGGGTTGGCTGCATGTGGGGCAAGTGCCCTGCCTCTGGTATTGCTCTGTGCCTATCAATGCAGGGGTTCCAGGTGGCAAGACATCAGTGGCTTTGACTCCCCACTCTGATCTTCTTTTGCAGATACAAGGGGAAAATCCCTTTGGGGTCCAATTCCACCTGCAAATTTGTGTTCCAATCATATTATATGGCTTCCAGATTGTAAAAGTGAAGAACCTGACAAAGACACAGGTACTTAAAGGTGTTTCTTTCTTTCTCTTTTTAAAAGGCGTTTTTTTCCCTAGATTCACAATTCCCTCTTTCCAACTGACTGGATTCTCAAAGGCATAGAGAACTAACATTCCAGAAAAGCTGTAAAGTCAAGATTATTTAGAGACACATTAGAAGTAAATAATCAAAGTCACGTTTAGAAGAAATTACCAACCACCCTATATTTAAAGCAATATCAACCATTCTGTATTTAAAGCAGCTTTTCCTTCCCTTGAGAAAAAAGACCAACAAAGCGAAAATTCAAATCTTTTCAGCAGCCATGGAAACATTTATTTTTCCCATTGAAACTGGATATATTCTGCTTCTCTCTGTGATTGGCAAAGAAGCTCGATAAACACATGGCATTTCTCCAACTTCTCCCTGTAAACTGTCTGCCATCATCCTTCCCTCTCTTCCCTATAATCTACCTTGGCTTCTGCTTTGCTCTTTGTTGACTCTTCAGTCTCATTACCTACAGCTTCAGGTTCTAATTAATTACTCTGACAGCTGAGGCCTCGGGCTTTATTTTCGTGAATTTTGCTAATATAACATAAATGCCAAGGCTCAAAACTGAAAATGCGTAAAGAGATTTGTGGACTGGATTCTGCAAACAGGAAGAGGGCTTAGAAGTTGTACACCTTTGTTGTAACCATTTTTTTTCCATGTGAAACTAGTTGACTTGTTAAGAACATGTCAACAGTTGGTTTAAACATCTTACCAAACATCTCAGTTTCCACTTGGAAGCAAAATTCCTGTTCAAAAAATGGGAATTCCATCCTGCTGTGGGGAGAGTGAAAACGGGCACCCGGGCTTTGGGACCAGTGTGTGCTCTTCAGTTTGCGGCAGTAAGGTCCTTTCCTCTTATTGAAACAGGCAGTGCTGGCAGAGCAGGTCAGTGGCAGAGCTGAAGTTCAACATTGTCCTATGAAAATGCTGGATCTTCTTCTTCATTTGCTTCATAGTAGAGCTATTACTCTTGCTTTTGTAGGTCATTTCATTCAGAATCTTGTCTGTGAGGTAATGCAGCCAGAGTACATTATTATACGGGTGATATTCACCCCAGCGGTTGTTGTTCTCCTTCCTCATTAGCCTATAGATCTCAAACTGGTAGTCACCTTGCCCTGTAAATAGCTCCTCGTCCTTGGAAATGTCACAGAAAATCACAATGCCATCTCTCTCTAAGCGTGACAGGGTATAGTCAATGATGTTGACCTGCAGTCCCTGACTGGGGATTGACCTCGTCTCCCCATTCAGGGTGTAGTGGAGTTCTTTCAGCGGGGTTTTCTTTAAAAGCACATTCCCCCAATGTAAGTCTCGGTGTTCAAAGTGCAGCGAGGCCTCTGCCACCGCGAGGGAAGCAGTGATCTGGTGGAGAATGCTCTTGGCAGTAGCCAGGGAGGATAACTTTGACTTCATTCGCTCTAAGTCTGTTCCCCCAAACTCAAATTCCAGCACAATGAAGAGCTGATCTGCCTCAAAGAAGTCAGGTCGATCATTTGCAGACCCTTTGGTTGAGTCGTACTTATCCCAGGCATTAAGGAGCAAGGGTGGGTAAGACCCCTGAACGCAGTGCACTGAGTTCAGCCCAATAAAGCCTTCCGTGCGGTTGACTAGCTCATCAGACAAGAGGCTCAACTCCTTGGAGATGATGATCTCTGGCAGAATTTCCTCAAAAGTTTTCTGATGGGCTCCATTCACTAGACATGGTCCTTCGATAGCGATGATTTTCAGGGCGACCGGCGTGTGATTAACAGTTACTTCAAACACCTCGCCAAACACCCCCTCCCCAATCTTCTGACAGCATTTCAATTTTTCTGTGTAATAGCAAAAGGGGACCGGGCCTTCCTGGTTGCATTCGCTATACACCTTTTCAGCATCTGATGCCTTTTTGTCTGCAACAAACAGCATCTTTATGGGGGAGAGCAAATATATGGAAGAGGAGCGCCAAGAGGCCCGAGCACTGGTTCTTCCACTTGAGACAGGAGGGCTGGAGTATTCCGACAGGAGGGTGTTAGAAGGAGAACTGGCGGCAGTACTGCTGCTGCACACTTCGGACGCAGCAGCCACGATCTTCTTCTTGTGGAAACTGAAGGACGCCCGCGTTTTGACCCATGAGCAAGCATTCTGCAAAGGAGTGAGGTCCCGGGTGGAGCGGGGCCCCTTTTCCATACCTCGTCCAGGCGGCCGGCAGTGCAGAGGCGGTGAGGTTTCCGCGGCCTCCGGTTTCCTTTTCCGGCAGGACCCATGTCTCCGGGGCACAGTGCAGTTCCTGGGACCACTGGACTCCGCGCAGTCCCTTAGGGCAGCCCCCCGAGAGTCCTCCTTGGCCCTTTTCTTACGGACGCTCGACAAACCCGGGCTTCTCGGCCTTTTGCGCGACGGCTGTCGCCTGGCGCCCCCCATGGTCTTCCGCGCAGCCCCCGGCTCGGAGTCCGACCCAGAGCCCGCGGTGCTTTCCGAGTCCCTGGGAGTCCCAGAGCGGGCCGCCCCGAGGTCGCCCCGGCGTTGCCGGTCCAACCTGGCCTCCGGGGGGCCGGGGAGAGGCGGCGACAGGTCCGCGGCGGCCGCTGCGGCTCCGGGAAGGTCGGGGGCGGCATCCGGCGCGGCGGACGGGGTGGCCGCTGCTGGGGTCCTCTCTCCCGGCGCTGGCGATGGGCGGCCAGGGCCCGGAGAGGCGGGCGGGCTGAACAGGGAGGTGCTGGTGCCCAGCTCGCTGGCGTCCCGGGGCTGCCCCCACCCGCCGAGGCCCGGGCCGGGGGAGGGCGGCGGTCGGCGCGGGCCGGCGGGGGTGCTGCACCTGAGCGGCGGCCGCGCCCGCAGCCTCGCGCGCCGCGGGGTGCCGGCGGGGCTCGGCGTCTCCCTGGCCCGCCGGCGCCGCGCCCTGGCCGGGCTGCCGAGGAAGTCGGGGTCCGCGTCCGGGTCGTCCGCCGCGCCCGCCGGCGAGGAGCCGCTGCCGCTGGTGTCGCTGCCGCCGCTGCTGCTGAAGGCGAGGCCGCGGCCCTTCGGCCGGAACCACCGCGCCGCCGTCCGGCCCGGCAGCCGCCGCGGCTCCCGGCCGCCCGCCGCGCCGTAGGTCCGGAAGAGCCGGCTCGCGGGGCGCGGGGCCGCCGCCGCCATGGCCGCCGCCCGCCGCCCGCCGCGCCGTTCGAGCGCAAACACCGCGAGAGCCGCGCGGCGTCCGCGAGCGCGGCGCCGCCCGCCCGCCGGGTCCTAGCGCCGGCCGCGCGCCTGCGCCGGCCGTCCCCGCGGGCGCCGCCCCGGCTCGGACGCGCTTTCTCCCCGCAGGAGCTCACCGAGTGCGAGCAGACGGTCCGGACGGCGTGCGGGAGCCCCGGCGTCTCGGTGAGCGCGCGGCGCGAGGGGCGGGGGCAGGAGGAGGGCCCCGCGGGCCCGCGCTCCCCCGGAACGCGCTTGCGGGACGGCCCGGGGCGCTTCGGGGTTTCCGCGCGGCCCGCCGTGCCCACCTCTGCGGCCTGGCTTGAGCCCCGAGGAGCGCCGAAGGTGCCCACGGAAGGCCGTTTCGGACTTCCAGGGGCGCCGTGTGCCGGGCTAACGCTAGAGCGCGTTCGCACGGAAGGGCAACCAGGCTTTCCCTCTCTAGCTCGTGGAGAAATGGCATTCAGTGAACTGCAGAATCGCGACGGCTAAAGAAAACGTGACCGTGGCGGCAGAGATCAACTTGGGTCCCTCAAAACAGGTACTGGAGACCCGAGTGCTGTGTGCCCGGTCGCTCGCGGGCAGCTCCCTCGACGAAGGATAACCGCATCTCGGAAATAACGCCCGAATCTCAGAAATAACGCGTCCAAATCCTGACCCACCTGGGGCTGGGGCAATAGCACAGCGGGTAGGGCGCATTCCTTGCGCACGGCCAACTCGGGTTCAATTCCCAGCATCCCACATGGTCCCCTGAGCACCGCCCGGGGTGATTCCTGAGTGCAGAGCCAGGAGTAACCCGTGTGCATCGCCAGTTGTGACCCCAAGAAAAAAAAGTATCCTGACCCACCTTCTGCCCAGTATGCCCCTTACCAGATTCGATTCCTCAGGCTAATTTTCTCCATTCACTCACTCGGGATTACCTGTGACTCCCCCTTCCTGCATCCCTGTATCTGGCCTAGCATTAAGCCTTCACATTTCCCACCCTCACCCCTCACCAATACATCCGAAATCCATTCACTTCTTGCCATGGCTCCTGTTACACTTCAGGCTGCCATCTCTAATTTGAGCTGTTGCTGTAATCTAGCCACCTACACACATTGTTCACAGCCAACTTTTGGGAGCAGGGGCCTCCCCTGTGGTTTAGAGGACCACCCCAAGGCCATTTCCAGTGTTCTCAGCCAATCAGTCAACCAGACTGGCGATGACCTGGACCACCAGAATGTTGATTAAGGGCCACCAGGACCTCACCTATGGATCCTGGCTGGGAATGGGGGCCCTACAGGGTTGCACCTGGTGGTATTCAGGGTTTGAGGGCCCATGTGGTGCTGCTAGGCATGCACTCTCACCTCTATGCTATCTCTCCTGCCCACAGTCGGCTTTTAAAAGTTATAGCACAGCGGGTAGGGCGTTCGCCTTACACGCGGCCAACATGGCCGACCCGAGTTCGATTCCTCCGCCCCTCTCGGAGAGCCCGGCAAGCTACCGAGAGTATTCTATATGCCAGACACAGTAACAACAAAGTCTCCAATGGAGACGTTACTGGGCCCGCTCGAGCAAATCAACGATCAACGGGAGGGCCTTTAAATTAAAAAAAAATAAAAACACCCCGAGTGATTACACAGGGACTAAGACACTTGCCTTGCATGTGGTTGCCTGTAGTTCATTCTCCAGCAGCACATATGGTCCTCCTGAGGACAGCCAGAAGTGATCCCTGAGAGGGGTCTCCTGTGGGTGTGCCCCCTCAAGCAAATAAATCCCCCCCAACAAAAAAAATCACAACAAATTGTCAGGAACTGATTTATGAGAGGCAGGTGAGTTTGGGATGTGGCACGAGGCATATAAAGGGTAGGGAAGAGAAGTTGCTTGGTTCTTGCAGGTTCTTTAAGGTTCTTGCTTGAATAATTGAGCTTGGTGAAGTGAGTAAGTAGGTTAAGTAAGGAATACAGGAACGAACACAGGTTTAAAGGGAAAATCGGGCTGGAGCAATAGCACAGCGGGTAGGGCGTTTTCCTTGCACGTGGCCAACCCGGGTTCGATCCCCAGCATCCCATATGGTCCCCTGAGCACCGCCAGGGGTGATTCCTGAGTGCAGAGCCAGGAGTAACCCCTGTGCATCGCCAGGTGTGACCCAAAAAGCAAAAATAAATAAAGAGAAAGGGAAAATCAATGGTAAATGAATGAAAGGGGAGGCGGGGAGATGGTGAGTACCCTCCAGAAACAGTAAGTTCTATCTAAAATATGTTTCATTCCCCTTCCCCCCACCCGTAGATACTAGCACATATAACTGAACTTGAAGTCCTGGGTGAAATATCCTTCAACGAATTTCTGTATGAGGAACGGAACAAGGAGAACCACAAAACTAACAAGGAGAACCACAAAACTAAGGTAACTCCTTGGGCTAGAGCAATAGTACAGTGGGTAGGGCATTTGCCTTGCACGCGGCCGACCCGGGTTCGATTTCCAGCATCCCATATGTTCCCCTGAGCAACATCAGGAGTAATTCCTGAGTGCAAAATCAGGAGTAACCCCTGTGCATCGCTGGGTGTGACCCCAAAAGAAAAAAAACAAAACAAGAACAACTAAGGTAACTCCTGGCTGTGTTTGGGGTGGTATCCTGGGAAAACTGCCTAACCCCTGAACAGACACACAGTCTGCTCTTGCCCTTTTCTGTTCCCCATTCCTGTTCCAGTCTTACCACCTCTGATCTTCACTCTGCCACCTGTGACCTGGAAGTAATCTTCTCCTACCTCAGTTTTTCCCCTATCTGAAATGAGGCCATAGATTAAGAGGCTGAACTGAAAGAACTAGGTGGATTTGAGATTAAAAAAATTTTTTTTATAGTGAGATAATTTTTCCTTTTATATGAACTCTTCTCCTAGAATATAAAATCAGTGCTAAACAGTTGTTTAGGACTTGCGGGGGTTGAAAGGGGTAAGGTGCTTGCTTTATATATGTCTGACTCTGGTTTGATCCTTGGTACCTCATATGGTCCACCAGAGGTGATCCCTGAGTACAGAGCCAGGAGTCTGTACAGAGCCCTGAGTGTACAGAGCCCTGAACACTTATGGGTATGGCCCCAACTTCCCCCCTCCCCACCCCCAGGCATATGTAGGAATGGTGTGTGTTGGATAGTATTAATATCCGCAGGGACCTTAGGTTTATTGAGTTATTCCCACCAACACTGCTCCTGAGGCACACCCAATTCCATCAGACACTGATAATCCTATGTTGCTTTTCTCTTTCCTTTATGTTCTCAGCATGGTTTAGCAATGTCCTTTTTGTATAGACACAGGAAGACAGTTAATGCTATGCTTTTGTAGCATGGGAGTTAATTGACTCCAAATAATATTTACTCCTGGGCATCCATCATATTTACTTGACTTAAACCTCAGTTGCTCTTACTTCCTAATACCACCAAGAAGAGGGTTCTGGTGAGATACAAGGACAGACCCAGGGCAAGCTGTAAGCTACCCTGGCATCAAAAAGGATAGCTTTTTTTTTTTTTTATAAAGTTCTTATCATAAGAAATATAATAAGTTAAGAGCATGGTCTTGGAACAAATTCTGTCATGACTCCAAAAGAAATAACTGAATAAGAACCCTGCTGGGGTAAGGAAAGACTCACCTGGCCTGAGGACTATAGTCTGATATGTATAGCAGAATGATCCCTTAAAGTGGATCCTCTTAAAGAAGAGCCACTCTTTAAGCTTAATATATCTCTTACTGTGTTTATACAAAATGACTAGAAGTATTACTAAGAAGTAAATTTACTTGTTTAAATGGATTACTAGCTAAGGAAAGGAGAAGGCAGTAAGCCCTAGATGGGATCCCACCCTTGAGCAGATCTCCTAGTAATCTAGGAGATTTTGTGCTGACAAAAGATGAGATTTTGTCCCTGAGTTAATCTCCTAGAAGAACTTCCCCTGAAAGAGTGCCTTTACATCTGTTTGTTGTTATGATGATGTTCAACCCCACCTGTGTATACTCCCACCCTTCATGATTTCTAAATAGCTACTCTGTAAGAGAAAAGGAAAGGAGAAAGAAATGACTAGCTGTAAGAAAGTAGTAGGGAGAAGAGGAGGAAGGAAAATAAACAGTCACTGATTACCGACCAGCCTGGGACCCTGCTCCTCCATTCCTTCATTCCTCCTCCTGTTGCCTCTGCAGGCCCTGGGAGGCGGTTCTTGGCCACTGAATGCACGCCCATGCTTTGTGAACTCACAGCAAGGATGTTGTGGGGCTGTCCTTAGTGGTGCTCATATTGGTGACTCTATGCTTAGGAGTGACCTCTAGCAGTGCTTGGGATTTGAACCAGTATCAAGCGCCTTACCTCCTGTACTATCTCTCCACCCCCTGCATGCTTCTTTTGTCTTACTAAATATTGGAACCGGGTGCATTTTTTAGAAGCATAGAAAGTGAAAATGTCATCAGTGATCTATGGATGAAAGAGATCGCTTTTGTATTTGCTAAGTGAATTCACATCCTTGTGCTTTCTCTTTTCTGGGGAGGATGTTTTTCCTAAACTTGCCAACATCTTATTAGGGAGAGCTGATCTTCTATGTCAGTCACTGGCAAAAGGGGAGCTAGCTTGATCGTGATTAGCTTAGAATAGTCATGATTCCTAAGCAGAACTGTTTTTCCCCCCCTTTTTTGGGCCACACCTGTGGCAGTGTTCAAGGATTTCCTGGTTCTGTACTCAGGGCTTGGGATATGATATGGGGTACCAGGAATTGAACCCAGGTTAGCTGAATGCAAGGCAAGCTCCTTATCTTAGGTCATTTAAAACGTTGCACTCAGAAATGCTAACTTTTCACTTTTAATGTCATAGGTCTTAATCAACACACAGAATGTGGCCAAGTTCTTCTACTTTGCTCCTGAAAATTATGTGGAAGTTTTACTGAATGGTCTCTTTGTCTTGTTCTAGATTTGTGTCGAATTCCTGACAGATGAAGTACAGCTCTCTCTGTCTCTCATCATCGGAAGCAGTGTTGGTGGCCTTCTGGTTTTGATCGTGATTATAATCATCCTGTTCAAGGTTAGTTCCACTCCAGCCCTCAAGCTGAGAGGTCAGGCTCTGAGTTGGACACTGAGATTCCCAAGCAGCTGCCCTGGCCTTGAGGCCACTTTTCCCTCTTTATGCACCCACTTCCTGTTTAGGTAGGCAAATGGTCTGTCTGAGAAAAGATAAAAATCAAATTGAGGGGCCGGAGCAACAGTATACCGGGTATGGTGTTTGCCTTGCACATGCCAACTTGGATTTGATCCCTGGCATCCCATATGGTTCTCTGAGTACTACCTGGAGTTATTCCTGAGTACAGAGCCAGGAGTATCGCTGGATGTATTTCTGGCCCCCAAACAAACAAAAAATCAGATCGAGGTATTGGAGTACAGAGACCTTTTCCTGAAACAGATCTCATTGTTGTTCTCCTATTTAAATTCTTTCCTTCCCCTGCTTTAATATTCAAACTGTAATTTTACTGTTTTTCAAAATTCTATACGCTCTGATCTCTAACACTCTAACTTTTAAGTCTTGTCCCCCACCTGCCAGTCCATGCACTTTGAACTGTTTCCTGACTTGTCTACATCCTCCACCAGTCAAATGTCCTTCCCCACTGTTTTATCTTGCCTACCACAATTCCTTTCAAACCCAGTGCAGAGATTGCTGAGTTGACTGAACTGAGTTTTGTGCTTTTCCTCTGTGGTCCTTCTGCAAACCCTTCTGTAAAAACTTCTCTTCCTGCTGGACTGTGAGTTTCTTGGTGTTGATCTTGATCTCTCTAACCTCAGCTAGTTGGCTGGGGACTGGAAGGATCTGGTAGAGCCCAAAGTCCAGCTTGCTCAGGCTCAGGGATTAGTGAAGTTGGAGGGAGGACTCTGCCTTGGGAATTCAGAGGAAAATGGAAAGTAGCTTCAGAGTGCTCCTCGGGAGAGGCTCAGAGAAAGGCAGTGTGCCATCGGCTTATCAGGAGACCTTCAGGGGAGCTTGAAAAGCAGGAATGGAGGGCTGTTTCCACAACATGGGAATAAAGAGTTTTCTGAGACAGATGGATGTTTTGTGCCTGTATTTGGAACTTACCTTCCTTTATTTCAGTGTGGCTTTTTTAAAAGAAAATACCAACAGTTGAATGTGGACAGCATACGGAAGACTTCGACGGGGGTGGAGACGCTGATTGCTGAGAACCCTCAGGATGAGCTTTGTCTTCCAGTGGAAGAGAAGAGCAACCAGGCCTCAGAGCTCTAGAGCACTGTATACTGATCACTTCTTCCTTTAGAATGATCCAGAGCAGAATCTAACGGTTGTAATATCTTAAAAACACACAAAACAATATGCATTGTCCCCAAACTATCTCTCCATTGGGCAAAAAAATAAATGTGTTAAGTAGTTGGTAATAGAGGGCAAGTGGTTTTCTTTACAGAAGTGCCTTTGTACTCAAACCCTTCTGAAACTTTATAGGCAAATATCATAGACGCGGATTCTCCCTTCCCAAGAGATCATACAGCATTTTCCAGAACCTTCTTTACCTAGTTGCCTTTTTCTTGAAATTTCTCTAAGCATCTGCTAACATGATGTTCTGAGAAATTTATTTATGGGGACAGTGTGTCAAAAATGCTGCCTAGGCGCTGGAACAATAGCACAGTGGGTAGGGTGTTTGCCAACCCAGGTTCGATTCCCAGCATCCCATATGGTCCCCCAAGCACTGCCAGGAGTAATTTCTGAGTGCATGAGCCAGGAGTAAACCCTGGGCATCGCCGGGTGTGACCCAAAAAGCAAAATAATAATAATAATAATAATGACATTTTTAGCATTTTAATATTTCATATCAGGCCACAAAATAGTGTCCACCCCCACCCCAGAGCAAATGTAAAAAGTAGGGAAATAAGAAAGTCACCAGCACAGGATGTAGGAAGGCGAGAAGACCAGGGCTAGGCGCTGTCGCTTCATTTCTATGCGTATGTGTGCACCTGTCTGTGTGTTTATGTGCCATGTGAGACTGCTGGGGCGCTGTGTTGATTGTAACCCCTAGCATCACACCTGACTTTTTGGTCCTCTTCTAGCCCTGAGGGTCTAACCCTGCTGGGCCTGAGAATCTGCTTTTTGGCAAGCACTGAGAGCTTTTGACATGGAGCCCATGGTGTGAGATACTGATTATGAGTTTAGGGTTTGCTTATCTGATACAGCTGTCGGTATCTTGCACAGACTTGGAGTCAGAAATGATGGATAGGTTGTAGCAATTAAGTTAATGCTCTGGTATATGATCCTGGAAATCTGATGATGCGTAGGCAGAGAGAGAGAGAGGGGGGGGGGGGGAGAGTCTTCCTTTTCTCCCCTTTCCACCTCGCCCCAGATGACCACCTGAGGGCGCTGTGGTGCCAGGAGCAGTAAAGTTCTTTTCTGCCTTGTGGTAAAGCCCTGCAGAACCTTGTCTCCCATTGTAACCCCCTAAATGGTACACATCCCATCCCACGAGGGTCTAAGGAGAGGGATCCGGGCGGCTTCCATTAAACATATCTGTAAACTGGGACTGGAGCGATAGCACAGCAGGTAGGGCATTTGTCTTGCACGTGACTGACCCGGGTTCGATTCCCAGCATCCCATATAGTCCCCTGAGCACTGCCAGGAGTAATTCCTGAGTGCTGAGCCAGGAGTAACCCCTGAGCATTGCCGGGTGTGACCCCCCCCAAAAAAAGATCTGTAAACTGACCTCTGAGCACAGAGGGCTGAGCAGAGATTGGCCTGGGCAAAGAGCTTGGAAAATGGACATAGTAAAGCTTTTGTGCCCAGGTGACTGGAGCTTAGTGTGTGTGATGGGGCGCTGAAGCCAGACAGGTCAGTGGAATTCCAGAAGAATTGAGTCCATGGAAGAGTTAAGCACCTGGAACCATGGGAAGACAGTCATTTCTGGTATTTTTATTTATTTATTTATTTGCCACATCCAGTGGTGCTCAGGCTGGGAGAGCCGTATGTGGACCAGAGCAGATCAAGACGGCTCCAAGAAGGGCTCCATGCAAATTCATGCAGAGCAATAGACTGAAAATGATGACAAGTCTTACAGGAGCAAGTGAGATCATGTAAAATTATAAATTCTTGTTAGAGTTTGCCATCGCTTCACTGCAGCTCCCTTAAACCACTCCACGAGACAGTCTTGGAGCCAAATAAGAGTATTCATTTGTGAAGCTGGAGATGTGGCGCAGTGGGAAAGAGATTTGCCTTGTATGCGGCCGACCCATGTTTGATTCCCAGCACCCCATATGGTCCCCCAAGTCCTGACCAGGAGTGATCCCTGAGTGCAAAGCCAGAAGTAAATCCTGAGCACAAGGTGGGTGTGTTTTCTTGGAGGACAAAATGGAATATTTGGTAGAGGGGGCCCGTACCTGATGCTTAGGGCTTACTCCTGGCTCTGTGATCAGGGATTACTCCTGGCCAGATACCTGTGATTTTGTCTTGTTGGCATCGTCATTCAATCTCTGAGGTTATCACTGTAAGTTGCTGTGACATGTGTTAAGATGAAATCATGCAATTTGCTGCTACATAGGTGGATTTGGAAAGTGTTATGCTGACTGAAATAAGAAAGAGAAGGATAGAGCTGAATGACCTCTCTCACTGTGGGATGTAAAGATACATAGTAAGGCCGTACAAATGGCCAAAGGCAACAGAGCCTGAAAACTGAGGCTACAGAACTGAACTTTCTGAGGTTGCAGGAGTAGGTGGACTGTGAGGTGAGGGGGGGGACACTGGTTGAGTGTGTGATGTTGAAATATTGTATGCATGAAACTTTGTCATTAATGGTATGGTAAATAATGGTGACTACAACAATTTTTTTAAATTTTTCTTCTTATATTTATTTATTGAATCACTGTGGGAAAAGTTACTAAGCTTTCAGGTTTAAGTCTCCGTCATACAACGATCAAACACCTCTCCCTTCACCAGTACTCATTTTTTCACCACCAAGAACCCCAATATACCCCCCCTCCCACCCCTCCCAATGCCTGTGAGGCAGATGATTTCCACTTAACTCTTCTCTACATTGATTACATTCATTATTTCGACAAAAGAAGCACCATTATTGTTTAGAATTTCCCCCCAAATAATCAGAATTGCTGAAAAGGCATTGTGAAATACTTTGTTTTCTATAGCTGGTTATGAGAATCATATAATGTCGCGCAGGATTTTGGATTTCTGCAAAGAGCCAGATAATTATGAGATTGGTTTCTGTACTTCTGGTGTTATGGCTGTGCCAGAGAGCCACTCGTGCGGGGCAACTCGTGACCTCAGTAGGGCGTGAAGGATGAGTCGGTACCGCCCCCCTTCCCATGAGACTGCAGTTGCCCTGTCACCACCAGCTCATACCTGGCTTTCCTTTAAGTTCTGAGGCAGCGGCCATCTTGCTGCGGGGGGGGGGTGGGGGGGAGGGGTGAAGGCGGAAGGGAGCAACACCCTTTCCCTCCCTGGGAGGCATGACGCTATAGTTTAACGCATGGTCCATTCATTTTTCTGCCACAAGCTGCCGGGCTCTGGACGAAGTCCTTTTGCCTCTGGAGCCATGGCCGTGCCAGAGAGCCACTTGTGGGGGGCAACTCGTGACCTCGGTAGGGCGTGAAGGACGAGCCGGTACCATCCCCCTTCCCATGAGACTGCAGTTGCCCCGTCACCGCTGGCTCATACCTGACTTCAATAAGTTCCGAGGTGGCAGCCACTTTGTATGTGGTCCAGATGCATTTCTGCCAGAAGCCGCTGGGTTTTGAGATTTGTTTCTGAGTCTCTGGGATCATGGCCGTTAATCAGCCCAATCAGGAGCCAGAGAGGCCATTTGTGGACGGCGACTTGGGGTCTCATTGGGATGGGGAGAAAAGGGCCGGTCCCACCCCCATCTGGTGAGGCCCCGCTTGTCTCGTCACTGCAGGCCCAAACCTGACTGTCCAGTGGCCTCTGGAGGATGGCAGTCACTGGGCCGCCAAGGGGAACAGGCCAAGACTTGAAACCTATTCCCACCTGGAGTGGCCCAGTGCCAGTAACCTACTGCAGGAACAGGAAGCATTTCTGCCAAAAGCCTTTGGGTTCCAAGATTCGTTTCTGAGTCTCTGGGATCATGGCTGTTCAGCAATCGATCAGGAACCAGAGAGGCATGCCTCCAATTATATAGCTGAGCCAGAGGTGGTTTGTGGGTATGTCTCCCACATACCTAACTTTTAGTCATTTACTTTCTTGGTAAACTTTGCCCCAAGTTTTTGGGGTCTGGCCAAAGGCACAGCAGCAATTTTGGGGTATCTGAGAGTCTGACGGTGCCATCAGGCTGCTGATGCACTCACCTCACAGGTACAGATTGACCTGCTGGCGGCACCATACCCCCGACCTACAACATTTTTTAATCCTCAAATAAAAAAGCACCACAGGACAAGAACTGGCATGAGACCGGAGATGCCGTGAGCATCAAACATATGCAGATTTCTACAGAAACCATGATTTCAAGAAAAATTTTCAAAGTGAAAGCTGGTATCTTGCAGTGTGTAAAGTGTTTGTGGAATATAAGGAATTTCGTGTTTTTTTGAGGCCACACCTACTTTTGTTTTGACCTCACACACAATTGTTCCACAATTCCCAGGACCCTGCTTCTTGGACTGTCATGCTGTTAGTTTCATCTGGCAAATCCTGTCTCGTCCCTCATGGACCACACTGTGAGGGTCTCTCCGAGACTAGCTCTGGTCTCTCCTTGCTTTGGGACCATGTCAAACAGCTGGTGCACATCTTCTCTCCAGGTAAAATAACACCAGGACAGCCATCTTGTCCTCAGACCATCATTTTGCTCGTTCATTTTTTGCCTTAGAGCAGACTCCAGAAATAGCCACTCACAGACACATCCTGTGATTGTGACCAGTAACCTACACTGCATGAGAAATGTAACTAAAACTGTAACACTTAAGTCATCTTTAAGACCAGTGACAGGGATTTCATGAGACAGTTGACTCCAAAAATAAACCCTATTGATTAAGACCAGAGACAACTATTTCCCAAATTGCTGACTGAAGAAAATAATCACGCGGTTGCAGCTATATTTCCCAGCATTGGTTGTTCTTTGTTTTTTGACAGGGGTTGGGGGCAGGGAGCTGGGGGCAAGGTGGTGCTTGGTGATGCTCAGAGGTTGCTCCTGACTCCTATTTAGGAATCACTCCTGGTGTTTGGGAGACCATATGGGGTGCCAGGGTCAGTCACACACAAGGTGAACACCCTACCCATTGTACTATTGCTCCAGCCCCCAGATTTTCCACTATTGTGTAAAATCAAACTGTAACTCTGACCAAATCACTTATCTGTGCCTCTGCTACTCAACTGCCTGACTTCCTGATAAAGGATAGACAAAACCCTTTAAAAGACTGGGAAAAACTGTTCAGGGCTGCAGGATTTGGGTCTGTGACCGGTGCAGCCATGGACTAATAAACTCCTCAAAATTTCTTTGTTCTGAGTCTGAATCGTTGACCCCCACAATGCAAGTATGATCACTATCCAGAGCCCCCACCCCCCAACCTATCCCAGTCCAGGGACAGGTAATTCTTCCTGGTGGCGAGAAGTTTGACCCCCAGCTCTGCAGCGTGCAGTTGCAAATGCAAACCTGCCCCAGTGTCATGCGGGAACTCTCAGTGTTAGCAGCTGACTTGGGATACTGTGACCACAGAAATCTAGGTCTTTTGTGTTTTTCTGAAGTCAAAAGATATAAATAAATAAAAACTTGTATAGATGGCCTATGGATGCATTTTTGTTTGGGGTGAGGATGACACACCCGCCTGCGCGTGCTCAGGACTTAACTCCTGGCTCAGGGATCACTCCTGGTCGGACCATATGGGTGCCTGGGATGGAACCTGGGAAGATCACGTGCAAACAAGGGCCCTACCCGCTCTGCCATCCCTCCAGCCCTCTAAGGATGCTGTTCGCTGCTCTTCACCTCCACTCCAGGCTGTAGGTGTCACCTCCAGAAACCTATCCCCCTGTATTCACTAGGAGGAATTCCCGGGAATTTCCCGAGGAGCAGGGAAGGAGTGGGTGCAGGGAGGGCTTTCAAAGGAGCGGGTCATCCCTCCCCCTTTCCATCTGCTGCTCCTTGGGGCAGCGATCTCCCTGCGGAGGCGGCCACACTCGTGCCCCAGCGGGCTCCGGGGCGCCCTGGCCCGGCAGGAGGAGGAGGTGACGGCAAGGTCGCTGGCGGACGCTGAGCCGCGGCTGTGGTCGGAGCCCGCGGAGAACCCGTCGCCGGCCACCTCCCGCGCGCCCCGGAGCCGCGCCCCGCAGCGCCCCGCAGGCCCCAGGCGGGAGCGCGGGCTGGCGGCGCGGCGCGGGGGCGGCGGGCCGGGCCGGTGCCCATGCGGCACCACCCCTGCCGCGAGTGCGCGCCGGCCAGGGCAGCAGCATGGGGCAGGGGGCCGCCAAGCAGACGAGGGCTCTGCTGGACTACACCACCGAGAAGTACGTGGTCACCAAGAACAGGAAGGTGGGCCTGATCCACCGGCTCCTGCAGCTTGGCATCCTGCTCTACATGCTGGTGTGAGTGCTCGGGGCTGCGGCCGGTTGGCGCTGCGGGGGTGCGAGTGGCCTTGTGGTTGGGATCACCTTATTTGGGGAAGACAGCCTCCCCGCCACCATCCCGACTCGGCCCTTGGGGTTAAGGGTGGGTGGGGTGCAAGGGTGAGCCCTCTACTCACTCTCCAATCTTCTGGCGATGAGTCGTGGAAGGGTCTTTTGGCTTCCTTCGCCTTCCATTGAGGCTTTCTGCGGGCAGCCCCTTCCTCCGGTGGATCCCCAGAGTTGGGGCCCGGGGTCCGTAGGCCCTGGCCTGGCACTGGCTGGCCCAGGCACTTCACAGGTTATTTATAATCACTGAGTTCAGTGCCAAGATCCGGGACTGGTGCGATGCAGTAAATCCTGCACGTCCTAGGGCTCTCTCTCCGGCTCACTTGGACCGCTCCCCACGCTGGAGGCTTGCCCCGCTGATACCCAGCTGGGGTTCCTGTTCAAGGGCCCTTACCCTGAAGCCCACTTTCCCACTGACTTGCTCTTTCCTATCCAGTCTGACAGGACTTGGGGTTGCTCTCCCGTGAGGAGAGGGAACAACGAGTTGACCAGAATTTCCTCTCCCTCACTCTCTCTGCCTTTTGAGGGGATCAGGTGCATTATTTTTGAGTCAGATTCAGTCATTTTTGGGAACCTAAGAGGGGAGGGCCTGGCATCACCTAAATGCATAAGGAATCAGTATGAAATGCACGAGGGAATGACTGTTATCCCTTCCCTACTTGCCAGATGTTTCTGTCCAGGTCCCCCTGGTTTGTGCTAAAATGGCTAATGGCCCACAATCCTTTCTGAGTTCCTTAGAGATGGGCAGCCTCAGCCCAGGATGTGCCCGCAGAGACTGAGAGTGGGTGTACCTACTCTACAGAGAACCACTTCTGGTGCCCCGGGAGATGCAGCTGCACACGACTACTGCATGACACCTTGCCTGCCTGTTTCCCCGGGGGAGTTAAACTGGGCCAACTCCAACACTAGCAGCATCATCACAGCAAATGAATGAGAGTTGTATTCACTGAGCTCTTCCTCTGTGTCAGGCACTCACTGTGTTAAGGAATTTACATGCACCATCTCATTTAAATTTTAGAGTGGGTTGTGTGAACTTGGGGGCCCTGGGTCTCATCTCCAAGCACTGCCAGGAGTAGCCCTCAAGCATCTCTGGGTACAGCTCAAAAACAAACAAATATATATATATATTATGCTTTGTTTTGACATAGTTTTGGTCATATAAAAAAACTTTCAGGGGGCTGGAGAGATAATACAGAGAGTATATCCACATTTCCAACTCAAAGGGGAGTCTTTAAAAGCAGATTTGGGCCAGAAACATAGTGCAGTGGGTGGGGTTCTTGCCTTGCATGGGATTCGATCCCTGGTACCAAAAATGGTCCTGAGTCTGCCAGGAGTAATCCTTGGCACAGAACTGGGAGAAGCCCTGAACACTTCCAGGTATGGCCCCAAAGCAAAACAACAACAAAAAACCCTTTCAGGAGTAGTACAAGAGCTTTTTTATTCCTTTTGCCTCTACTTCCCAAATATTAATAGTTTGGGTTTTTTAATTATAGTTTAAGTAACTTGGTTACAATAATGTTTACATTTATAGTATTGCTATACAAAGTCACTGCCCACCACCACCACCATCAGCTGTACCAGATACTCCCCCACTGTCCTTTTATCACCTTATATCTCCATTCTCTTGACTGCTCCTCTCCAAACATGAACACTCTGGTAGTATTATCCTCCCTGGAGCGATAGCACAGCGGGTAGGGCGTTCGCCTTACAAGCGGCCAACATGGCCGACCCGAGTTCGATTCCTCTGCCCCTCTCGGAGAGCCCGGCAAGCTACCGAGAGTATTCGATATGCCAAACACAGTAACAACAAAGTCTCCAATGGAGACGTTACTGGGCCCACTCGAGCAAATCGACGATCAACGGGAGGGCCCTTACCTTTACCTTTACCTTTCTTCACATTGTGTGTGTGTGTGTGTGTGTGTGTGTGTGTGTACTAAACCTAGGTCTCATACATGCATGTATATTGACATTTATGAAGACTATGGCATTTATTTTTTACCATTTCTAAATTGAGGTAAAATTAACACAGTATGTATCTCACAATTTTTAAGTATATGATTTAAAAAAATATGTTCATAATGTCACACAACTATCTCCATTGTTCAATTCCAAAACAATTCTATCACCACTTCAAAAATCTGCATTTACTAACAACCATAATTCACCCCTATCAGACATTAATTTCTTTTTTGTCTTTGGATTCGCCTGTTCTGGACAATTCATATAAACCATATCATCCAATATGTGGCATTTGCAGGGTCTGTTTTTTTCCCCTTAGTATAATGTTTTCAAGGTCCATTCATTTTGTAGCATGGACCAGTCTACTTCATTTCTTTCAGTTTTGTTTTTGTTTCAGGGCCATGCCTGGCAGTGCTCAGGGGCTACTATTGGCCCAGTGCTCATGCTTCCATCAGTGCAGCTCAGGGCACCCAGAGTCATCATAACTGACGCCCCAGATGCCTGTGCAAAACCTGTACTACAGTCCTTTGAGTTCTCTGGCCCTTATTGCTGTTTTCATGGAATAATATCTCAATTGTGTGAACAGGTCACATTTCATTTATCTATTTTGTCTGTTGACGGGCATTTGATCCATTTCCTTTTGCCTGTTATGAATAATGCTGCTAAAAACATTTCTGTACAGATTTGAGGTTATGTTTTCAATCCTCTTGGTATGTACTTTGATGTGGGACTGTAGGGTGACATAATTTTTTGAGGAATCACCAAACCATTTTCCACAGCAGTTTATTTCCATCAGCAACAATTCTCCATAACCTCACCAATTGTTTTTTCTTTCCTTTGTTTCTTTATTACTTTTTTTGGTTTCTTACTGTGGTCTTTAGACATGACTAATGATGTTGAATATCTTTTATTTATTTATTTATTTATTTATTTATTTATTTATTTATTTTTAAGTCACACCCAGCAGTGTGTTTAGGGGCTATTCCCAGTGTTTCTTGGAGGTTATTCACAGATCCATCCCAATGGTGTTCAGAGGACCAAGAGGTGCTGGAGGCACAATCCAGGCCTCCTGCATGCAAAGCATGTGGACTGGTCCCTTTGAGCTATCTCCTTGGTCCAATGTTGAACTTTCCCCCCATGTATTGGTCACTTATGTATTTTTTGAGAAATATCTTCAAATCCTTGCTCAATTTAAACATTGGATTATTTGGGACAGGGATGTAGCTCAGTAGCAGATGACTTGCCTTGCATGTATGAGTTTCTGGGTTGATTCCCAATACTGCCCCTCTTAATGTTATCAGTTTGAAAACCCTCAAATTGGATCATCTGTTTTTTCTAGTTATATGGGTTTATTGTATTTCCTGGGTATTTTATTTAGAAATATTTTCTCCTAGCCTCTGGATTATCTTTTCACTTTTTTGTTTCTTTTTGGGTCACACCTGGCAATGCACAGGAGTTACTCCTGGTTCATGCACTCAGGAATTACTCCTGGCAGTGCTTGGGGGACCATATGGGATGCTGGGAATCGAACCTCGGTCGGCTGCGTGCAAGGCAAATGTCCTATCTGCTGTGCTATTGCTCCATCCCCAATCTTTTCACTTTTTAAATTTGTGTGTGTGTGTGTGTGTGTGTGTGTATGTGTGTGTGAAATAGGGCTTAGGGAGTCTGCAGCCACTCCCAATAACACTCAGACAATGAGACCAGATTATGTTTTGGGCCAGTTGGGATTGGGGCCAGCAGGACCACACCTGGCAGTAATTGAGATCTATGTGGTTCTGGAACTGAACTTGACGTACCCCTGGCCCCTGAGCCATCTCCTTGGACCCTCTTTTCACTTTTTTTTAAATATGTGTTGGGTACTTTTGGAGGGGAGAGAAGTTTGGGCAACACCCAATGGCACTCAGGGACTATTCCTGACTTTGTGCTCAGGAGTGAGCCTTGAGGTGCTCATGGGACCATGTATGGTACCAGAGATTTGAGCTTGATGCAGGTACATGCAATGCACATGCCTACTTCTTGTACTCTCTCTCCAGCCCCACTTTCACTTTTTAAATAGTACCCTTCTTTTGTGCACAAAAGTTCTTTTTAAAACGTTTTTTATTAAAACACTGTGATTTAAAAAGTTGTTCATAATTGAGTTGTTTCAGGCATATAATGTACCAACACCAATCCCACCACCAATGTCCCCTTCCCTTTACCAATGTCCCCAGGTTCCCTCACAGCCTCTAACCTTCTCCCTTCATAGGCGTATAACAAATTTATTTCACCTTACTTGCTCCAAAAACACATAAAGAATAGCAAGTAGAATTATCAGAAAATAAATCAATAAAAGTCAATTCGTGATGACTGATTACTATGTTTTTAACCTTTCTTAATCTAATAGAGAACAACCATGTGGTGTGCAAAAGTTCTTAATTCTGATGAAGTTCAGCTAATCTATTAATTTTTGGGGGATGGGATACACCTAGCAATGCTCAGGGGATACTCCTGCCTCTACACTCAGGAATCATTTCTAGCAGGCTCAGGGGACAATATGGGATGCCCAGGATTGAACCTAGGTCTGCTGCATGCAAGGCAAGCACCCTACCCACTGGACTATCTCTCTGGCCCCATCTATTTTTAACTTTTGTTGCTTGTGTTTTGAGTTTCAGTGAGAATAGGATGTTGTTCTCAACTTTTGAAGAATGGGTTGGCCTCTCCTGATGAGTTTCAGCTTCTGCCCCTCTCCTTTAACTTTCCTCCCAGGGAGGGAGGCATGAGTGAGCCTGTCAATCCCAGGAGTTCACTGGCTCCTGCGGTCACATGGCCAGTTGATGGGTGAGCCGTTTTAGGCCAGGATGCTGACAAGGGCCGCAACCCCAAAGACACAACTTATCCTCTTTGCCACTGGTGGGGCTGGTTTCAGGATTTCAGTAGTTGGAGAATTGTGACCTTGCCCAGACGCTGGTGGAAAGGCGGTGCCCCAAGTCCGCGCCCACTCCCTCCCTGCACACTTCCTCACCTGCTAAAACATCCCTGCAGCAATAACCTTGATGACCTTCCCCACAGTTGGGTCTTCCTGGTGAAGAAGGGCTACCAGGAAACGGACACCACCCTGCAGAGCAGCGTCATCACCAAAGTCAAGGGCGTGGTGTTCACCAACACCTCAGAGCTGGGGGCCAGGCTCTGGGATATTGTGGACTTTGTCATCCCACCTCAGGTTTGAGCCCCACCCAGCATGGGGGTCTAGGCTCTCAGGGGCTGGTGGAGGGGGCGGCAAACAAGGGAGGTTGCTTGGGGCCTGGGGACTTTGGCATGCATGTTTTCCTTGCCTGAGCTCCTGCCTGCGCCTTGTGCTTCCACTCCGTTCCCTGCCAACCTGGAGCTTTCGAGACCCACTGGCGCTGAGAATCTGCAGGGTATAGGAGTCCGGGGGGCTGGTGCAGACCACCCTCAATTTAGCCCCAGGGCTCTTCACAGTTACTGTTCCTTCTACATCTGGGCCAGGACCTGGGCCTGAGGTCAGAGTAAGGACTCTGTGTGTGTGTGTGTTTATAGGGGGGGTGGGGATTGGGGGGTGGGGGCAGGTGGGCATTTGGGGTTCTGGACCTGGCCTTTTGCTCCAGGACTCTAAGGTTGGCAGATGGATGGCATCCACCAGCTTTGTGCCCCATGTCCCAGCATGCTTTTGCAACTCTGCCTTTTCTAACATCTGTAGGAAAGCAGGTTCGCAAGAGGGCCCGAGGAGGCACCTCACCTTTCTCTGTCTGGCCCCTCAGGGAGAGAACATGTTCTTCATCACCACCAACCTCATCGCGACCCCCAACCAGCGGCAACAAACCTGTGCTGAGGTTTGGTTTGGTGTAGAGAGCTGGGGGTGGGGGTGAGGCCCAGGAAGGCTGGGCCCCCTGGGTCCCTGCAGCAGGGTTTCCAACCCTTCAAGGCCACAGATGAGTGGAGGGAAAAAATGGCTCTCAAAGATTGTGTGGCCCCATCTTGGGTGGGACTGGCTCCGAGATGGGCCTGCACGGGGACATCTTTACCTCAGTGTCCTTCCTCTGTAGAGTTCTAGCATCGAGGAAGCTAAGTGCCACGAGGACAGTGACTGCCCTCCTGGGGAACCTGTGCTGACTGGCCACGGTGAGGCTGGCGGTGGTTCTGCTTTGGGGAGAGGGGCCTTGAAACAAAAGGTTTCTGGCCTGACCCCTGTTCCACCCTGCAGGAGTGAGGACTGGCCGCTGCCTGCCCACAAAGAACGAGACTGGGGGCACGTGTGAGATCTTCGGCTGGTGCCCACTGGAGTCGGAGTGTGCGCCAGAGTGAGTGGTTATGGTCTCAGGGTCCTCAGGAGGTGCCCAGTTCTAGGCCCATGCCAGACCCTCATTCTGAGGCCACCTAAATACAGCCAAATGAGTGGCCTTGAAAGAGACCCATGTGCAGGGGGAATGCAGGATGCAGCCTTGGGGGGCTGGAGGAGAGGGCTGGGGCTCCCAGACAGGCTGACCTGGCTTGATTTTTCAGGAAGCCACTCCTGAGCAACGCTGAAAACTTCACTGTTTACATAAAGAACTACATTCATTTCCCTAAATTCAACTTCTCCAAGTATGTGACGCTTCACTGCTAGGGGCTTAAGCTGTGCAAGCATGTGCATAGGGTGTGTGTGCATGTGACCTTGGTGTGAGGCACCTCTGGGGGATGGCACAGGGCACGGTCAAGACTTGGCCCCAGCTGGGTGAGGGGCCAGTGGTTGTGGGGTAAAGCCCAGTGTCTGGGCAGGGACAATGTCTCTCCCCTTCATTTCACTGGATGTGATGGCCTCTACCCAGGAGCAATGTGTTAAACACCCAAGACACACGATTCCTGAGGACCTGTCGCTTTAATCCTGCTAACCCCTACTGTCCCATCTTCCGACTGGGGTCTCTGGTCAGCTGGACGGGGAACGACTTCAATGAGCTGGCAGTGAAGGTAGGTAGTGTGCAGGCCTCTGCAGTGAGGCAGGTTCGGGGGACTCCTGGAGTGGGCTGAACCTGCCTAGTCACCTGCTTCTACTACTCTTTCCAGAAAGATCGGTGACCTGGTGAGAGATGCACTCAGCACTATCTTGTTCTTAGTCCTTGGGGTGTCAGCGAACGTTCAGCGCCCCTACATTTTCACTGCTGTGGAAGGTGCCCGGTCCATGGCAGGTGCTCCCACACTGGCCCCTTCTCCCCAGAACATGAAGGCAGGCCAACCCAGGCTGGGTAGGGATTGCTGGAGAGGTACTTTTTCAGTCTCTCAGACATGAGGCTAGGAACCTGGGCCTTCCACTGTCCTCCAAGGACCCCCCTCCAGCCGGGCATCTCCTTGCATCAGCACCGATTCTGTCCTGTAGTGCTGTGACAAAATGACTGTCCTCAGAAAGTACTGATTCTTGTCTTCTTCTTCATCCAGGGTGGTGTGATAAGAATTGAGATTCAATGGGACTGTGATCTTGATAAAGGGCCATCTAAATGCAAACCTCAGTATTATTTTAGCCGCCTGGATAAGGTTACTTCAGAAAACACCATCTCCAGTGGGTACAGCTTCAGGTAACCAGGGCTGAGCCTGCTGCACTGAGCCCCCAATGCCCCCAATTCTGCTATTTCTTTTCCTGGGTTCCAGCAATGTGGCATGTGCGTGAGAGGCACGGGAGAGAAGGCTGAGGAGAGGGGAGTGGGCACTGAGAGGGCCTCTGGGTACCCTGACCTCGCTGTCTGACTTCATTCTGGGTCTGTTCCTCTGGTGGGTTCCGGTTGGCCTGGTGATGGTGGCAGCGTCCTTGCCTCTTGGGGAGTGGCTATGATGATTTCAAAGATCTAGATGAATCTTTAATAAGGGTATCAGCAGGAGACTCTGCAAGCACTCGAGGGTTGCTGAGTCTTGGGTCCTATAAATCTCCAGAGTCAGATCTGTGGCCAAAAGGAAGGCCCAGGCTGTCAAGTTCCCTCAGGGCCGTGTCTCCTCAGGTATGCCAGGTATTACCGTGATGAAGATGGGGTGGAGTTCCGCACCATGATGAAAGCCTATGGGATCCGCTTTCACGTGATTGTGAGTGGCAAGGTACGAGAGACCTTTCCTTCCTCTTCCTTTCCCCAGGCTGGGCAGGTGGGAGCTCGGGGAGCCCGCCTCTACCTTGTCCTGCTTCACTCACCTTTGTCTCTGTGCTCCAGGCAGGGAAGTTCAGCATTATCCCCACAGTCATAAACGTGGGCTCTGGACTGGCCATCTTGGGTGCTGTAAGTATCTTTCCCGTCCTCCTCTTTCCTCCTGAGCTGGCAGCAGTGTGGCAGGGTAGAGGGAAAGGCCCAGGGGAGAGGGCCTGTCTCAGAGCAGAGCTGGTGAGATGAGCCTGGAAGCGGCTCAAGAAAGCCCTCGACTCCCACAGGCCCATGGTCTTGTCTGGGGCTGGGGGCTCGGGGGCAGTGACTGACCGGTGGAGTTCCTCTTTCCAAAGTCAGAGAAGCATTTGCCTGGAGCTCTAGAGCTGCACCCAGAGGGGCTCCCAGGGGAGGGAGGGGTGCTTGGAGGGAAGTTTCCTCCAATCTCTTCCATGCCATTGTTTTCTTTTGAAAATGCTTTAGGGTCATCAGTGGGGGATGTGCTCCAGGCAAGTCCCAAGCCAAGCCAAGATATCTGGCAGCCTCTTTTCTTATTCCGGTGCCTTGGAGCCATGACTCTATTGGAAGCATAAGGCAGGACCTAGGATAGCCTTTTTTTTTAGAGGATGATGTTTTATTTTTTATTTTTATGTATTTAATTTTTTTAGATTTTTATTAGTGAAACACCATAAGGTACAGTTGTAGATTTACAGATTTTTGTGCTTGGACCAAATAAAGGGTGTTGGTAGGATAGACTTTTGATTGAGATCAAAAACTGTTAGTAGGAGTCCATGCACCTGAGTGGTGGCAGAGGAAAGTGAGTCCCAAATAATTCCTTCAACTGCAAATAATCACTGTTAGATAACCCTGTAGATATGCATATGCATCTTTTCCAGAGGTGGCATCTTTAGCCACCACCTTTTTGGGGGTGGGTGGGGTGGTACTGTGGTGGCTGGGAATTGAATCTGGGGCTCCTGCATGTTGAGCGTGTACTCCAGCCCTCTAGCCGTCCCCTTGACCTGGAGCAATCACTTTTGCTTTTGGGCCACACTTTTTTTTTGGGGGGGGGGGAATTAAACTAACTCATTTTATTTATTTATTTGGTTTTTTAGATTTTTATTAGTGAAACACCATGAGGTACAGTTGTAGATTTACAAATTTTTGTGCTTGGGTTTCAGATATACAATGATCGAGTACCCATTGCTCCACCAGTGCCCATTCTCTACCACCACTAATCCCAGTATCCCTCTCACTTCCCATCCCCCCGCCCCACCCCCTCACCCCCCCATCCTACCCTGCCTCTGTGGCAGGGCACTCCCCTTTGTTCTCTCTCTCCTTTTGGGTGCTGTGGTTTGCGTTGAGTGGCAATCATGTTTGGTCTATAGTCCACTTTCAGCATGCATCTCCCATCCTGGGAGGATCCTCCCAACACCCTTTATTTGGTGCTCCCTTCTCTGTCTGAGCTGCCTTTTCCCCTAGCATATGCGGCTGGCCTCCAAGTCATGGAGTAAACCTCCTGGTACTTATCTCTGCTATTCTTGGGTGTTAGTCTCCTATTTTGTTATTTTATGTTCCCCAGAAGAGTGCAGTCTTTCTATGTCTGAGCCATCTCCTTGACCTGGGGCAATCACTTTTGCTTTTGGGCCACACTTGATGATGCTCAGTAATCACTCCTGACTCTGCACTCCGAAATTACTCCTGGCAGTGCTTGGGGGACTCTATGGGAAGCTGGGGATAAAACCTGGGTCAGCCTTGTGCAAGGCCAAGTGTCCCACTGCTGTACTATCTCTCTGGTACTGGGAGCCATCACTTTTTAATGTGGGTAGCTTTGAAAAACAAGCGCAACAGGGGGCTATGCCTGTGAGATGAGGGTCATAGAAAATATGGTGGGTGGCCATGGAAAGAATGCTTACTGTGGAGCAAGGAATTGAAGTGAGAATTTGGGGATCAAGGGAATAAAAGGCATGAATGGGCCAGTGGCAGAGGGCCTGGTTGATCTGTAGACAGATTATCAATTCCCTGCGGTGTGCACCCCACCCACTCCAGAGTCTGGGTTGGAAACCCAGAGGGAAACCTCTCCTCCTCGCATCTGAGGTGGGTGAAATCGCCCTCTGGTGGAGAGCTGCATTTACACAAGGCAGTGAGTTTAATATAGGCTGGGCCCCAGGCGCTGCGATAATATCATAGTCCACTCTAGTGCCTCTCACTCTCACTCTCTCTGGAAGGACCTTCCTAAACTGCCTCAATTCCATGTCTAGTGCGAAGCCCGTCAACACCTCCCCTTAAAGGACCGGAGCCAATGCTTAGAAGACATTCTAAAGTTATAGGTCAGTGCTTCCTGCAAGTGTCTGATTCTCCACCACATGCCACATGGAATTTCCCAGGCACAGCAAGTCTGTGGTGTCTTTCTTGTTTTATGTTTTCTTCTTCCCCCACCCCCAAGCTGTAGGGTGGGCTGGGCAGCCTATCAGTGATCTCACAGGCTGGCCATTGATTCAATACAATATTGCCCCCCACCTGGGCTCCCAAATGTCACCTGTGGAGGACTCCAGGGCGCAGGAAAACAAGCAGAAATGAAGCTCAAAAAAATCAGAACGTACCTAACATTCAAGAACATCTATCTTTTGGGGCTAGAGTGATAGTACAGAGGGTAGGGCGTTTGCCTTGCATGTGGCCGACCCGGGTTCAATCCCCAGTATCCCATATGGTCCCCTGAGCACTGCCAGAATTAATTCCCGAGTGCAGAGCCAGGAGTAACCCCTGTGCATCACCAGGTGGACTCCCACCCACCAAAAAAAGGACATCTATTTTTTAATTTTTAGCCTGGCAAGCTCCCCGGGGCGTATTCAACATGCCAAAAACAGTAACAAGTCTCACAATGGAGATGTTACTGGTGCCTGCTTGAGCAAATCGATGAACAACGGGAGGGCAGTGCTGCAGCAGTTTTGGGAACAGTGTTGCTCAGGGCTTACTCCTTGCTTTGTGCTCAGGAATCACCCCTGGTGGTGCTTGGGGGGCCACATGGGGTGCTGGGGGATCAAACCTGTGTCACAAGGCAAAAGGCCCTACCCGCTGGCTGTACTATTGCTCCAGTCTCAGAACATCTATTTTTACCCACGGTAGTATTATACTTCCCTTTTTGTTTTGTCTCATGTCAGCTCCTTCTTATCCCTCAGCACTCAGCCTGGGTGTTACTCTGGAGGATTTGGTTGGCTTCAGTATCTCTGCTCCTCTCCCCATCACAGGACATGTAACTCTGTAAGATGCTTGTCCCCAGATGATAATCTCAACCTCCAAGCACTCAAGTGCAGCATGCACTCTGTTGAAAAGGTGGTTCAGTGGGGTCAGACAGGGTGAGTGTTTGACCTGCCCGAGCTGGTGGGCTCTATAGGCTAACTCTGCCGTGGACCAGGATGTGCTCTTAGACAAAGGCACCTCTTTCTGTGCCATTTTCCCAACTGTAAACTGGGGTTAATGAAGTCCTCAGAGGTTGCTGCAGGATCACACAGGAAGTTACATATCAGTGCTCAGATACTTCTGCAAGAGTAAGATTCTGAGCCAGGGACCCCAACTCTTTTGCAGGCATCTTTCTTCTGTGACCTGATACTCATGTACTTAATTAAAAGACGTCACTTCTATCGCAACCAGAAGTACGAGAAAATGAGGTTAGTTATGTCTCTCCCCCTGCAGCTGAGGGGCTCTGTGGACATCCCCCACCCTAGTCAACATCCCCCTTCTTGGCTTGGGACCTTTACCCAGATCTTCCTAGCACTTAAATTTTAGGATTTTTTTTTGGGGGGGAGGTGTTGTGGGGGTGTCACACCCAGTATGCTCATAAATTACTCCTGGTAGTGCTTGGGGATATGGGATACCATGGATTGAACCCAGGTTGGGTGCATGCTAAGCAAATGCCTTACCTGCTATAGTATTTCTCCAGTCTCATGTTGAGGATTCTTGAATTTGGGAATTCCTGGTAGTGGGTTAGGGTTGAGGGAAGCTGAGATGGAAGGGAAAGCAAAAATGAATTTGGCTCTGGGCCATGATATGGTTCAAAACATTTGTCTTGCACATGTGTGGCCCTCAACTCTCAACACCTCCAGGAAACAAGCTAGACCAACTAACCAACCAAAAAACAAGGAACAGATTTGTTTTCATTATGGCAACTAATTTTCAGGCTCTTTTAGGCTGGGTGTGTTTATGTATGTGCTGTGTGTAAATATGTATATTCAAAGCAGAACACAGTATGAGCGGCAAATTCTGATTGTTGTGGGTGGACAGCAAGGGAAAAGCCCTTGGAAGTTTTCTGAAGTTAGGACAAGGATGGAGAATTACTATGGTGTACTCCAGGGTACCCCAACCCCTGTGCCTAAGAGTAACTTGGGGGTTACTCTTGGCTATGCACCCTGGAGGGCTTGAAGGACCATCTGGGATGCCAGGGGTCAAACGTGCATGGGCCTTGTACAAGACCACTGAACTGTCTCTCTGGCTCCAATCCCAGGAATATGAGACAGTGGGCTGAGGGTCAGCCCGAATTATCTCTGGCCTGCACTGAACCCCAGCCCTGACCTCACGTACTGGAGAACTAAGCTGCTGGTGGTAGAGGGGCACCCCCTGCGAGGCCTGGCCTTCTAATTTTGAGGGAGGCTGACCAAGGCTAACAGGGTGGTGTCCTATTCAGGTTTCAAGATAAAAAATCCTTGAAGGGAAGGGAGGCCACGGTCAAGTCTGCAGAGCAGCCCAAGATGCAGGACCGGCATGGCGGCAAGAAGGAGCTACTAGATCTGTCAAGCACAGGGCAGCAAGGCAGCGGTCCTGACCCGGAACCTCTCAGTCAGCCAACAACTCTGGATGCCAGAGTGACGTGGCCACAAGACAATCTGTCAAGGTTCCTAGATCGTAATGAATCTTCCACTACGCTCTGAGGGGGGAGGGATCCGGTGGTGATCTACACCCCTACACTCCCGATTTAATCCTGAGTGACCACAATGCAGTCGTCCTGCTGTGCTATCCCAGCTTAAGACAGCATAACTAGCATCATTTACTCAGTCTTACTCCTGGCACTGCTCCGAGTTCAGTGGCTGTAGAGCTCTGCAACTCCAAGTGAAGTCTGTGGACCAGCAGAACCTGCACTGCCTGGGAGCTTTAGTTAGACAGGCACACTCAGGTCCCTTCCATGTTCCCCTAAATTGGAACTGGTGTCTCAACATTCCCTGGTGGCTCATTGTGCATGTTCAAGTTTGAAAAATACTGGTTTGAGATATGCAAAGCCCTGCTTCAGAGGTTGACAATTTCGAAGGCAAGCTGACAGACACATGCCTTGAGGAGAGGACCCTTCCATCCTCTCCACCTCAACCCTAGGAAAATGGCATTATATTCAATGTATTAAAATGAAAATATTTTTGTTTAGGCAATATTTAAGATTCAAAATTTACAGGTTGGACATTTGCCTTGTCTGCAGCTAACTTGGGTTCAATTCCCAGTATACCGTTATGGTCCCCAGAGCCCGCCAGGAGTGATCCCTGAGTGTAGACCAGGAGAAAGTCCTGAACATTGTCTGACATGGTCCTCAAACCAATTGCACTGAAAATAATCTCACTAACCTTTTTCCTGAGGCTATCTGTGCTACCAATTCTAGAGGTTCCCTTGTTGAGATTTCAGTTGTTGTGTCCCACCTCACGAAATTAATGTTTCCTGATGACTCCAAGTCAGACCATGTCTCCTCAATAAGAAAAGAACAAAACGGAATATGCTTTCAGACTGGCGTGTAGGAACCATCTCACCAGTTCTGGTAAATATTAGATAAGTATGTTCCTCAGAACAGAATTCCTTATACAGCAACCCATGAGCAAATCCAGTCTTCAATTCTAATTGAACTTGGGTAATCTACTGTGGCATTTCACTTTCTCTTTTTTAAATTTTTTATTATTAGTGAATCACTGTTACATATTTACAAATGTTCCTGTTTGTGTTTCAGTCATACAATGATCTGTTACCCATCCCGCCACCAGTGCTCATTCTCCACTACTAATGATCTCAGTATTCTTCCCACCCCCCACCTCCTCCCCCTCCCCACCCTGCCTCTGTGGCAGGGCATTCCCTTTTGTTCTCTCTCCTTTTGGCTATTGTGGTTTTCAATAGAGGTATTGAGTGGCCTTCATGTTCAGTCTAGTCTATTTTCAGCAGCTCCCAAGGCATTTCACTTTGTCACTAAAGGAAACCTTTGAATTTTTAAAATCTTTTTAGGTGTTTGGGCCACACTTGGTGGTGCTCAGGGCTTACTCCCAACTGTGCTCAGGATCACTCCTGGCTGGGTCCCATAAAACTGCACCTCTGCAACATTTACCAAATTGATTTTTCAAGTCCAGAAAAGCCTTCAAGATAGCCTCTCTACATGTAAGGACCATGCTCAGGAAACCCACCTAATATGACTTTTAGATAGTGCACGTACTGTCCAAGTTTTCTTGGGAAGAGTTGGTTACACCTGGTAGTACTCAGGAGTGACCCCTGGAAGTACTCAGAGGAACCACAGGTGATACGGAGGATTTAACTGTGTCTGCTTGCAAGGCAAGTGCCTGGACAATCTCTTGTCATTTCCTCGCTTTTATAAACCCCCCTGTGCCTTACCTGCTCTAGTCTCTTCAGCCTTTCCCCTGGCTTTTATAAATCCCCAAGCCTTACTTGCTGTAGATCTCTTTTGCCATTTCTTTGCTTTTATAAATCCCACTTGTTTCTGAGTGGGAAACTCAATAATCTAGAAAATTGGCTGAATGACAAGGGGGCTTAGCTCCTTTAAATGTGGAAAGGAGTGTTTTTCTCTTGGAGTGTTGGCTGTCCCATCAGGAAGATGAGTACATCGGCTTTGTGAGCTCTTCTGTGCTTAGTCTAAGATTACATACATTGTATCTCTGCTTATCCTCAGGCTTAAGCCTATGTTCAGGTCAGGCCAGGGCCTAAACATAAAATTTCCTACTTTTTATTTTCCTCACGAGGGAGTTATTCCATGCCTTGGATAGAGCATGGTGCTGACCACTGAGATATTTGCAAATTAGTTACTATCAATTGAACCAGCTGTGAAAGACCAAATGCCCTGTACTGATGCAGGAATCATCAGTTGCCTTTTTGAGCCGCAACCTGCCTTCTCCTCCCATGTTTCTCAGTGGCTGGCTGCTCCACAGGGAGAACACTGTAAAAGTGCAATGTGACTTCCTCCAGTGCCCTGGAGAGCCCCCAAATTAAACAAACCACTGCAATGTAAGTTTGTATGTTAGGAAAGTCCCCATTGGTTCTAACCTGCCCCCTCCAGGTATTACAGCTTGCCTCTGAATATTATAGCTATGATCAAGGTGTCCCTTTTGTTAAGTGACCAGAACTTTTTCATTAAATAGCTGGAAATCTTTGTTTTCTGGTCCAGTGGTTGAAAATCACTGCTACTAGAAACAAGAATGTTCCTGCTCAAAAAAGGTATACCCCTGTCAGCTATTTCCCCTTAGTCCAATACACAGAATTAAGGGCAGGGGTGGTGGGAGATGAGGACAGATGGCTAAAAGATATCTGGGATCTTTCTAATACATGTATTCTCTGACCTCTTCTCCCCCCACCCTTATTTTTTGGGGGATACATTTGGCTTTGTTCTTAGGAGTCACTCCTAGTGCTGCAGGGATCCAAAGCATGCTTTCAGCCTATTGAGTCATCTCTCTGATCTTTTTGTTTGGTTATAAAATAAAATTTATTAACTTTAAAGGTGTCTTGACTTTCCCCTTTTTATTTTCATTTTCACTGCTTTAATGACATGTATATTTATATATTCACATACATATTAACATATAAGCATATATATGTTATATATGCGATAGCACAGCTATATATATCGCTGGAGCGATAGCACAGCGGTAGGGCGTTTGCCTTGCACGCAGCCAACATGGCCGACCCGAGTTCGATTCCTCCGCCCCTCTCGGAGAGCCCGGCAAGCTACCGGGAGTATCTCGCCCGCACGGCAGAGCCTGGCAAACTCCCCGTGACGTATTCGATATGCCAGACACAGTAACAACAAAGTCTCCAATGGAGATGTTACTGGGCCTGCTCGAGCAAGCATATATAAAATATACATTTATTTTTGTGGTTTGAACCTGGGGTCTCACATATGCAAGGCCACGTGTTCTACTGATAAGCTACTCATCAGTCATTGAGTTGTTTTTTGGGATATACTCGGCTTTGCTCAGGACTTACTCATGGCTCCGCACCCAGGAATCATTCCTGACAGACTCAGAGGGCCATGTGGTGCCAGGGATCAAATGTGGGTTGACCACATGCAAGGCACTACCCACTGTACCTGCCCCTTCCACTGAATTAAAAAAAAAATTAAGACATGACCAAAGTAGGCTGACACAGGAAATAATCAGTGAACAATTTAGGTTCCTTACTATCTTTCATAGAAATTCAAGAGAAACTCTTGTAAAATGAGCAAATACGCCTGAAGAGATACTATACTGGGGAGGGCACTTGTCCTGCACATGTGGCAGACGGGTTCAATCCCTGGTACCCCATTTGGATATGGTCACGAGTCCTGCACGGAATGATTCCTCAGCTCAGCGTCAGAAACACTGCTGGGTATGGCCCCCAAACCTTAAGAATAAGCAAACACTTTCACGAAAGACTAGGAAAGCATGGATAATACTTTTCTGTGTTTTAGTCAACAACCCAGATATGCTCAGGGTTTGCCCCTGGCTCTGCTCTGGAATCACTCTTGGCAGTGTTTGGAGATCATATGTGGTGCCAGGGATTGAATATGGATTGGGTACATGCAAGACAAGTGCCATACCCACTGTACTACCTCTCTAGTTTTAAACTCATTTTCATTAAGTAAATGTAATCTGGGCTGGAGAGATAGCACAGCAGGTAGGGCGTTTGCCTCGCACGCGGCTGACCAGGGTTTGATTCCTCTGTCCCTCTTGGAGAGCCCGGCAAGCTACCGAGAGTATCCTGCCCGCACGGCAAAGCCTGGCAAGCTACCCATGACGTAGTCAACATGCCAAAAACAGTAACAAGTCTCACAATGGAGATGTTACTGGTGCCCGCTCGAGCAAATCGATGAACAACAGGACAGAGCTACAGTGCTATTACTATAGTGGTACTTTACTTAGAAATAACAAGAATGAAAGAAATGTAATCTGATAAAACCCTTCAAAGCTTAAAAATTTAAAAAAATCAAAAAACAAAAACCAAACCAAACAACTAAATTTGATCACCTAACTCCTAAAACTTCTCAAGGTTTCCTCCAGTTGCTCTTAGAACCAAGGACAAATTGCCCTCTGAGGCCCTTCATGATTGTGTGTAGGTTGACACCAGGAACTCTTTTTTTTTTTCTTTCATGGATTATATTTTTAGTTATATCTTAAAACTCACCATCAAATGAAAAATTATGTACATTTCTTCTAGAAGTTTTATGATTTTTTTTCTAAATTAGTGAAACACCATGAGGTACAGTTGTAGATTTACAAATTTTTGTGCTTGGATTTCGGTTATACCATGATCAAATACCCATCCCTCCACCAGTGCCCATTTTCCACCACCAGGATAATATCCCTCCCCCCCAACCCCCCCTGCCACTGTGGCAGGGCATTCCCTTTTGTTCTCTCTCTCCTTTTGGGTGTTGTGTTCAGCAAAAGAGGCATTGAGTGGCAAACATGTTCAGTCCAGTCTACTTTCAACCTGCATCTCCCCTCCTGGGAGGATCCTCCAAATACCCTCCATTTGGTGCTCCCTTGTCTATCTGAACTGTCCTTTCCCCTAGAATACCCGGCTGGCGTCTAAGCTATGGAGTAATCCTCCTGACACCAGGAACTCTTAATGCTCCAAAAAACAGATCAAACTCTTTCCTGCCAGTGGTTCTCACACAGGTTATCTTCTGCAGGTAACCTCTTTCCCCTCCTCAGTCTCTGGGTCTCAAGTGTTATTCTGTCAAAGAAAGTCTCCTTTATCCCACTGCCAAAACTGAGCTAGATTTAGGACTCTATATACTTTCCTTAAAGCATTCCCCTTAATTTAAAATATTTGTAAAATTACACAATTCTATTCTACCCAATTAGACCGCAAATTCTATAAGCAACACGTTCATCACAGCAATTCTAAAGCATTTTTATTTCTTAAGTAATCCCTCACGAGAAAGGATCTAAGATTAGCCAATCAACAGAGGCATTTGCTCTCTATACAAGCCCAATTTTTTTTCTTGGTGTGATATTTTCAAAGATTGAAATAAAAAAATGTATAGTTTAGATTATATTTTTATAACAGTATTAACAATTATGATTTTGATATAGTTTTCACACCTCATGCCCACCAAAGTGCAAATGACCCTCCACCAATGTACCTACGCTACTTCAAGTCCACTTCTTCATTCCATTCCTACCCATTCCACAGGGGGCCTTGCTTGGCGATCTCAGTCCCGTAATCCAGGGTCAAGGGTGTGTTATCATTTGATACTCTCTACTCTCATTTTCTTTCTATACCACAGATGAGTGAGATCATTTGGCATTTGCTCTTCTCCCTCTTATTTTATTCGACACGATACCTTCCAGCTCCCTCCAAATTGCTGGGAACTAGAAGATCTATTTTTTTTCTTACCGTTGCATGGCATTTCACAGTGCATGTATGATACCTGTAAACATACCACAACTTCTTGATCTGTCCATCTGTCACTGGCCACGTATCCTGGTTATTGCAATAAGCGCTGTCATGAATTACGGGTGGATACATAGCTTTTTGAAGGATGTTTTTGTATACATACCCCCCAATTTAACATCCTGTGGGGTTCATCTTCAATAGGATTTTTTTTTTTAATGGAAGACAGCAGTAAATAGTGGAAAAAGACTTGAAGTCGCACCTTTCGGACCTGAAAGTCATGGTTAGTGGGAGGAAAGGCAAGGCTACAAAAGGACACTCCCAACCAAGAATCCCAACTCCTGGAATGGAAGGACAAAAGGGTGAGAAGGACAAGGCGCACTGCCTACCAGACGGGAGCCAGAAGCGCCACACCAGGCCATGTCGGCTTAGGAAGCCCTTCCTGGCTGACCTCTACGTAAATCCCAGGGAAAAATCCCTCGGAGACCCAGTCCCAGCACCCCAGGGGTCAAAGACGTGGCGATACTGCCCTCCTGCCAACGGATGGGGGGCGGGGGGGCAGAAGGGGCGGTCAATGCATTAAGTAGGAAGACCCTCCCACAGCGCCCGACGCTTCGGTTAATCCGAAGCCGATCACAGAATCGTCGTCCTCTGGCAGAACTGACGAGGTGCCGGGTGGAGCGGCGAGGCGGGGCCTGAAGACTCCGAGGGCACGGGGGCTCCCTGGGCGGGCGCAGCCGGTCAGTAGACGTGCACCATGCCGTAGAGGAAGGTCCAGAAGAGGACGTAGGTGAAGAGGCCGCCGACGAGTCCCCCGGTGAAGAGCGGCCTCCGAGACTTGAAATACTTGTTCCACCTCCTGCCCGCCTTGAGCACGAGGAGCAGGGAGAGCAGGATGGAGGCGAGCAGGTAGAAGATGAAGCCGTACAGGCCCGTGAGGCCCAGGATGCCGGCCGTGGCCCCCGACAGCGCCGACACGGAGGTCCGGCAGTAATCCAGGACGGCGGCGTTGCCGCGCACGGCCGGCTCGCTGATGAACGGCGGCCCTTCCCGCTTGGCCGCCACCGCGGCCATGGCCCCCGCTGGGCTCGCGCTCGGCGTCGGCGCGGAACCACGCGAAGCTGCGGAGAGAGGCGAGTCACCCGCGGCGCCCGGCCAGCCGGCTCCACGCTGACCCTCCCTGGCGCTGCCGCGACCTCGCGCCGCTCCGGGACCTTCAAAGAGACGCCGAGGAGGACTCGGGCATTCCGCGCCACGCCGCCCGGTTACCTGGAGCTCGGCGGCGGCCGGTCGCTCGCGTCCCCTCACGCAGCCCGGCGCGGAGAAACCTGCGGCGCCATCTTGCACTGGAGGCTGCTGGGAGGCGCGCGGCTGCGCAGGCGCCGAGCTCGCGCTCCCGCAGAGCGGCGCACGCGCTGTCGGCCCGCCGAGCGAGACGCCACGCCCTCCCCGCGCTCGGACGCACGCACGGAGACTTCCGAAAGCCGGCCGGCGCTCCGGCCGCTGATTGGCTGGAAGCATTTACTTATTCATGAAGGGGCGGGCCGAGCCGGACAGCCTTTGTTAACCGGGGAGGGCGCGGCCGGGGGGATCTTCGTTGCGGGCTTCGCAGGCTCTGCTAGCTCACCAGCTTGGGGTCGAGATGTCCTACATCCCGGGCCAGCCTGTCACCGCCGTGGTGGTGAGTGCGCTCGCGCGGGCTCCCCTTCTAGACTTGCTTCCACTTTGCACACTGACACCCGAAGCAGGTTGATTAAGTGCAGCACCTGGCGCTCCCGCGACGCGGCATCCCGGGCTCGCCCGGTCCGGTTCTGCGGGAGCGAGGCCGCGGTCTCCCCCGAAGAATCAACAGATGGCCGCGACTCTCCGGAACCTCCCGCGACCGTGCACTCTCGCCCTGCCGCCGCTCTCAGCTGCTGTCGGCGGGGTGGGGCGCGGCGGACTGCGGAGGAAGGCCGGGCCGCGGGAGTCGGGGCCAGCGCCCCCTTCCTGGCCTGTGTTCCCGGCTGGGCAGCCGCGGGGGGTGGGCGCCGGCCCCGCGGCCGCCGGTGAGTCGCCGCTTCAGGAATGAGGAAGTGCTTCCTCGCTTCGGCCGCCGCCGCCCCGAGCGAGATTTGAGGGGTGGCCGTGGCCCGGGGTCCCGTCGAGCAGCCGCTCACCATTCTTGTCCAGTCTTGCCTCTTCGGACCTTTCCCCTCCCCCCTCTCCCTCCTCCTTCCCGCCGCCTGGTTCAGAGTAAAGGCTAGAATAGCTGACTCGGTTCTGCTCCAAACTTTTTCTTTCCCCCAGCCTTTCAGGCAAAGTTCAGGTTCCCCGTCTGATACTTGGGCCCCTTTGGTGCCACTCTGGCTTGCAGATGCAATAGATAACGGGAATTTCTTTTTTGTGTGCGGTGCTGGTGTTGGGAACCTAATCAGGATCTCACACATGCAAGGCAAGGGAGCCATATCCCTGTCCAGGTTATAGGACGGCAGGGACATTAGACCTGGATACCAGTGGCACAGCTGGATGGGCCCAGCAGGAAAATTTCCTTGTTGGAAGTAGGAAAACTGAGTCTCAAAGAGCACCTCCACGAAGTCCTAGTCCTTGGGAAGAAATGCCTGCTGGACATGGCTTTCCTGTGGGAAACACTGGGTTTGATCCCAGGTGTCCCCAAGCACCACTGGGCGTAGCTGGGTAATAAGGAAAAGGAAAAAGAAATGCCTGTGGGGCAGGCAGTGTTGAGATGGCAGTGCTGGGTTGGCAGGATGTCAGCCAGGCACTCCTGCAGTGGGTGGAGGTGGTGCCAGGCACTGATAAAGGCGGCATGTGAGGGCGTGCTTGCAGCAACAGCTCACGCCTGGGCGGGCATTCGTTGCTGGACCTGCTGACATCTGTCAGGTTTTACCCTGGCTGTCTGAGCCTGGCCTTTCCAGATTCCTGGCCTCCCCAGAGAGGAGGGCCAGATTTGCTCCTTAACAGTAAAAAGGGAGCGGGGTCTTTAGTTGGAGAATCAGAGGGATACCAGGACTTAATGCATGAGGCAGTGATAGGACCTTGCCTGCTCCCTAAGGCCTGAACTCTGTGACCTTGAGGGTGGGGCAGAGGGAGTGGAAGGGCTGTGTTACAGAAGGGGAGGACTGGAGGAGCCCACACTTTGGGTCGAGGGACATTGAGCCTTGGGGTCCCTTTCTCTCCTCGCATCTCATGGCTGACCTGTGCAGCCTGTCATGACCAGAGAACTCTGATCTCTCAATTCTTCTCCGAGTAGGATTCAGTCTGAACATGGGCATGGTCTGGCCTCTCCCCCTGGAGTCAATTGGGTATGGGGTTATTTTCCTCCAGAGCTCCTGCTCTCTCCCAGCTACTGAAGATGAAATCATTCTCTGAACTCGGGCCGCATCCAGCCAATTGCCCATGTGCCTGTATGGCTCCTGGAACTCCACTCAAAATGCTCCTCCTCCTTCAAGGTCTCTGTCCAAGTGGTGGTTGTATGGCCCTTGAATGCTCTCCACCATTCATGAGCAGTTCCCAGGTTGCCAATCTACTTTCCGCATAGTGCTGCCTTTGACCTCCACAACCCTCATTTGAGATGAACTTTCCCAACTGAGTGCCTGAGGAGTCTTTCTGACATCAGACTTGGCCATGATCACCCCTTGTCCCCAACTTCTGACCTCCAGTGGGCCTAGAATCAAGGTCAGGTGACCAAGCACCCAGTTCCCTTCTCCTCTTCCCTTAAGAACCGGTACAGATGATTCCACCTTGTGAAGCCCCTCAGGTTCAGGTCAGGTCACTTTTTCTTGTTAAAACTCAATTTTTTGCCTGCCAGAGAGGCAGAATGGGGAGTAGGGGGGTAGGAAGGAAGTTGGGGACATTGGTGAAGGGACTGGTACTCAAACATTGTACCCCAATTGTAAGCTTGTAATTTGTGGTGATTCAGTGAATCAGTTAAAAACACTCAACTTTGAGGGATGTGGGAGTGGTTCCCGTGATAGAATATATACCTAGTTATGTATGAGGCCCTCAGTGACCCCTGGAGTGTGGCCTCTCTGAGCATCACCTGGGTAGTCCTGGTGAATCCCCGTCCTGCCAAGTACCTCATACTCTCAGCCTCATTGCAACAGCCCCTCTGATCCTATGCTTGTGTCTAGGATGTGCAGCCAAGCATCTTCAAACCTCTGCTTGTTCTGTCTTCTGCCAGGACAGCCTCTGTCTACTTCCTGTGAGAGTTTCATCTCCACTTTGTCTAAGTGTCTCTGGTTTTGTCCTCAATGGGGCTGGCTCAACAATCTTATTGGACTCAGCAGGTGCCTGGTCTGAGGACCAACCTGACCCTTCCTAAACTGGGTGGACTCTTCTCCCTTGGTCCATGGCAGTCACAGCAGCTGGTTCTTGGGCCAGAAGTGGTTTGGAGGACAAATTGACAAAAGGTGGTACTGAGTCTCAACCTCTCAGCCTTCCAGGCTGGTGACCAGCTGGACTTGGGGGCTATACCTGATGATTCTCTGGGCTTACTCCTGGCTTTGCACTCAGGGATCATATGGGAGCCTGCCTGGGCTTGGGGTACCAGGTGGGATGCCAGGGATTCAACCTGAGTCAGCCTACCTGCTGTACTATTGCTCCAGCCAAGAGCTGGATTCTTAGGAGGGTCCAGTACATATTACAACCGGTAAGGTTGCTTTCCTTGCATGCACCTGACCTGGGTTGGATCCCCAGCACCACATATGGTTCCTTATTCCACCAGGAGAAATCCCTGAGTGTAGAGCCAAGAGTAAGCTCTGGGCGTCACTAGTTGTATTTTAGCAGCCCTAAAACTAAACAAGTGTCCAGGGTCTGGCTCCTTGGCATGACCCTGACTGGACCCCTAGTGGCCTGAAGTTGCTATTACAGATAGACTGATGGGATTATTCTTTGGCTTTTTTGCCGGGGGGAGGTGGGGGGCTTGTCACACCAGGCAATACTCAGAGGTTACTCCTGGCTCTGTGCTCAGAAATTACTCTTGGCAGCGCTTGGGGGACCATATGGGATGCCAGGGATTGAGCCTGGGTCAGATGCGTGCAAGGCAAATGCTCTAGCCGCTGTCCTATTGTGCTGGCTCCCTGATTAAGATTATTCTTAACATACTTAGCCAACCCCAACTTCTTTTTTTTGTCAGCAAAGAGTTGAAATTCACAAGCTGCGCCAAGGTGAGAACTTGATCCTGGGCTTCAGCATTGGAGGTGGAATTGACCAGGATCCTTCCCAGAATCCTTTCTCAGAAGACAAGACGGACAAGGTGAGGTGGGGGGCGGGGGGGGGGCAGTCTCCTGAGATCTCCCCGAGATCTGCTTCCTGGTCTACCTGCTGTACTCCAGCGCTCTACCTGCTGTACTATCTGCTGGATCCTCTAAAGAATCCAGCGCTGGACTGGAGCAGTAGTATAGCAGGTGGGGCTGACTCAGGTTGAATCCCTGGCATTCCATCTCTCTCAATCCTAAAGTCCAAGGAACAATCTGGTGGGATGATTAGGGTTAGGGGTGGCAGTAGGGTGGGGGGTCTTAGCCTTGGGAAGGCCTGCTCACACTGAACCCAGGTGGCAACTGGAGCAAGGTTCGCCATATTTCCTTGGCCCTCTTGGCACTGCCTGTGCTAGGGGGAGGCAGGTGTAGGGAAGGACAGGTGACCGGGCTTTACTTTGTGCTTAAGTCTGGTCTTGTGTCTCCAGGGCTTGAGTGACGTGGGCCGTCTCTTTCCAGGGCATTTATGTCACACGGGTGTCTGAAGGAGGCCCAGCTGAAATTGCAGGGCTGCAGATAGGAGACAAGATCATGCAGGTAATATACCCCAGAGGGGATAAGGAGGCTTGGGTCTTGCCTCCTGGGGTCCCTGGGAGACTTACCACAGGGCTGACTTGGCCTGCAGAGGGAGCGGATTCTCTCCTTTGGATATCTCATCTGTGGTGTTTCCAGCCCCCCACTGGGACATCAGCCTGGGCAGGATGGGGGAGGGGGACCGGGGGCCCGCAGCTCTTCAGATGACTTGGGTCCCCAAAGTCTCACCTGCTTGCAGATCATAGAGGTGGAGTGCTGAGGTGGGCTGTGTTCTCTTTCTGGGCCAGGTGAACGGCTGGGACATGACCATGGTCACACACGATCAGGCCCGGAAGCGGCTCACCAAGCGCTCGGAGGAGGTGGTGCGCCTGCTGGTGACGCGGCAGTCACTACAGAAGGCCGTGCAGCAGTCCATGCAGCAGTCCATGCTCTCCTAGCAGCCTGCTGGCCCGGTCCCAGTGTGCCTGCCACCTCTGTGTGCAGTCACCCCACTTCCATGGGCTCTGCGCCTCGTCCTGACTTCTGCTGACTGCGGGTCCCAGCACAGAAGGTCCAGCGTTTATCCCCAGGCCTGACCAGCTCTTCTTCCTTTCTTGTACCTACTGGCCCTAGGCTCCGGGGCCAGCTCTCTCCCTTAAACACCGAGTGGAAACTAGCACCTGCAGCTGAGTTCTAGTCAGTTTGTAGTGACTACAGGCTCACAACCTTCCCAACCCCCGGCAGTGCCCACCCAGGCAAGCAGGAAGCCCCACAAGCCTAGATCTGCTGTGGAGCTGGGCAAGGGCAGTGAACTGGCCTCACCCACACTGTGTCCAGGTGCCCCAGTTCTGCACGCCCTGTGTTTCTCGACATTGCCCAGAGGAGACTCGACACACTACCAAAAGCTTGCCTGGATGGACACCAGGCAGGCACACAGTTCTCTCCATCACATCCACACTCCCTCAAGGGGCGCTGGTCTCCCCAAGATTCACCGCTTCCAGCATTAGACGAGGCTGGAGGCTGCCATGTCAGGGTGGTCTTAGGATTGCCCCGTTTTCCTCTAAGCCTGTTGGTTTAACTTTTGTATTTTTGTAATCACAACTTTGATACAAAGTGTTTTTATTCGACTGTTTGGAGATGCCAGTTCTGTTTTTGAATATCTCTTATTTCACAAGCAAATGGACAAGCCTTATTTTAGAGCCCATGGAGATGGAGCTGTGGAGCCCCACACCTAAAATCTTGCATTGAATAAATAGTGCTGGAATTCACAAGGGGTTTGTGGTAGGCCCGGGGTAGGGATATTTGGGGGGAGGGGGGCTGCAGAGAGCATTGGTATGACTGGCTGATGTGGCCCCTGCCACTCTGGGACAAAGACGGCTGTTTCTAGGTCAGCCTGATACTGCTTGGCTACAGCCACATCTTAGGAACGTCCAGCTTCACTGGAACTGGGTCCGGGAGCCTCTGTCTTCAGTGTAACCAAGTATAGCTTGCAACAGAATGAGCTTCATGGACCCTAATGGGCTCATGGGGAATACCCACTCCCTATACTCTTAAGAACAGGGTTAAGGCACTTGTTTTGCACATGTCCTACCCTGGTTAGATCTCCAGGACTCATGGTCACCCTGAGCATAGAGCCAAGAGTAAACCTTGAGCACCACAGGGTGTGGCCCTACCCTCAGGCTCCTCAAAAATAGGTCAGTGGGCTTAGGCTGAAGTTCCTGTTTCAGAAAAATAATAGCCTAAGCTTTTTGTCCATCAATTGCGAACAAACAAACAAAAAAAATCAATTGCAACTGGATGAAAAATCTGGAAATTAAGATATTCTTCCCTGCTCCCCAGGGATGGCGTGCCCTTAAAGGCCACCTAATCCGTGTGCACAGCCACAGTGGGTGCCCTCGGAAGTACTGAGATGTGACCTGTGGGGCCTCCCTGGTCTTGAGCATCTTGTACAACCTAAGAAGGCTCCTTGTCAAAGTGCTGGGGCAGCTGGCATCAGTGGGCTTCACAGCCCCTTGCATCTGCTCACGTGTCTCATGTTCCCAAGCTCTTGCTGCTATGTCCTGTAGCCCACAAATGCTCAGAGTGTGAAGAAGGGAAGGAAATCCAGGTTTAAAACCCAGTGGCCCTGGGACCAGAGTGGTTTTAAACAGCATGTGGTTGACCTGGGCTTGAGCCCTGGCACCCCAGATGGTCCCCTGATCCCTGCTAGGAATGATCCCTGAGTGTAGAGCCAGGAGAAACCCCTGAGCACTGCTGGATGTGAGCAGAAAACAAAAAGACCGAGTGCCCCCTCACACTGATCTCATACAAACTGTTGGGGACCCACTCAATCGAGGCTGGTTCAAGGCACATCCTGGGATCCATTCCTGCCCCTGCAAGGATGACTGGGTGGGAGGGAAGGACTAGGGATCCAGGTTCAGCCCAAGAGAACTCTGCAAGGTGGTCTCAAGTCCTTATTTAAGCCTCCTGATCTGACAGGTGAGTTTCATGCAGGGGTTCTGGGGAAGTGAGAGATGGGCCTGCAACTCCAGGGGAGCTTCTTGCCAGCGGCAGGACAGGCCTTTAAGGCATGGATGGGGCATGTTTGCATGTCCTATACCGGAGCACAGTGGAAGGAACATCTGGAGAGGTTCACATAGTATCCTGGATTCTGGGTAAGTGAAGGGACACAGAAGGCAGAAAATGAGGCACTCACAGGTTGGGGAGATCCGGTAGCTCAAAGGGCTGAAGTGCATCCTGTGCTCCTGGGAGCCCTGGGTTCCATCCTTGTCTCCCAGCACTGCTGGGTATGGCCAAAAAACAAGAAACAAACAAAAACACCCCAAAACAGAAAAAACAAACTATACCAAACCAAACCAATTCCAGAAAATCCATAAAGGGTTAGTGTGCTAAAGGTCCAGAGGGTGCTGGGCATGAGTATAGTTCAAAATCCATCCATTGAGTACCTCTAGTCTCAATACTGCTTATATCGTGCCCTGCACTGCCCACCTGGGCTTGCAGTCATGGAAGCTGTTAGGTAGTGAGTGTCAGGAGTGAGCCGATAGCTCAGGGAATGTGGGTTGCAGAGGCAGGAGTCCAAGGTCTAACCCCCATATCCTAGTACCCCGCCACCAGCACCAGCACCTCCGAGTCTATCAGTCACAGCACCTGGCTGCTTGGTCTCTGGGAATACAGCAGTAACAGTAGCAAACACCTTTGACTCTCCCAGCTTCAGGGTCAGTCTCTCAGGTTGCTGCCAGGAGCAGTGGTCACTTAGGGCAAGGCCTTTGGCTCCAAACTCAGCTTCCAGTCCTGCCTGGGATGGCTGGCAACTTGTGCGTGCTTTCTGATGCCTTAAAGAAGACAGAGATGAGGCATCAAGATGCAGGAGGGCCCAGAAGCCTGAGCAGTGAGGGCCAGCAAGGGCTCAGACGTCTGGGGAGGTTGGGAGGGACTGCGGCCATCTGGCTTTATCTTGGAGCAACGGTGTTAGCTGTCTGTCCCGGAGGGAGGCTCCTCCCTGGCCGGGAGTGTCCTGGAGGAAGACAGGCTGATGTGTGTTTAAGGCCTTGGCTCTGAGGAATAGGGTGCTACTCCAGTGTCCGCACCCTAGCCAGCCCAGGGCTCCGGACCACTTCTTCCGCCTTCCTACTACAGCCTTACCCACCAGGGCACAGGACTGGACACAGGACTGGACACAGGGTCTCTGGGTGCTAGTTCAACTGCTCATACCCTGGTTTCTTTCTGTACAAGCAGAAGTGCTGGACGAAGAAGACAACGTCGAAGAAGATGGAGAAGACTCCGAGTCCGAACTTGGTTGGGTCTCCAAAGATCAGTGTCCACTGGTCTGTGAACAGGCAGAGGGAATTGAACTGGGCTTTAAAGTGGCTGCTCCTGGGGCTGGAGTGAGAGCACAGCAGGTAGGGCGTTTGCCTTGCATGCAGTCAACCCGGATTTGATTCCCAGCATCCCATATGATCCCTTGAGCACCGCCAGGAGTAATACCTGAGTGCATGAACCAGGAGTAACCCCTGTGCATCGCCAGGTATGACCCAAAAAGCAAACAAAAAATTGGCTGCTCCCTCAGCAGTTGGAGCAGGGGTAGGGGGGGTCCTGGGGGTCTGGTCCCTAGGAAACCACAGAGCCTCAGTGGGTCTCATCTGGGGTGGGACTCCGGACCACTTCTTCCGCCTCAGTGGGGAGGGAGAGGCTGGGATGACTGTGAATTTCCAGGCGCAGGGCTGGAAGCCTAGCCCTGCCCTGTCCCTCCCACCCTGCTGGGCGGCAGCGGCTAGCTGGCTGACTCACCATTGTTGTAGGACTGGAGGAACATCTGGAGGAGGCTGAAGCTGCCCCCGGTGAAGTCCAGAAGCACATTGCCAATGCTCCAGCCCTCAGTGCTTTTGAGGCTAAAGTTCATGTAGGCCTGGGACAGAGGGACAGAGGGAGGCAGTGAGGGGGCTGAGGCTGCTATTCTGTACGAGAGCAGCCAGGGGCGTGGGTCTCAGTGCCAAGGAACTCTGTGTCCTTTGGACTCTGACAGGCCACTGAGCAAAGAGCAATTTGGCTGGGTTCTGGGATCTCATCTGCAGGCTCAGCCCACAGGGTCACCCCTGCCCCCTCTCGCAGTGAGATGTGGCTCCTTCGTCTGCAGCCCGCCCTGCTTGGGGATGAAGTCTTTCCTGGATGGCTGGCCCACAACAAGGATGTTTCTTCTCCAGTGAAGCCTCTCCCCAAACTGCCTAGAATCCAGGAGCTTTAGTGCGCTGACTGGTCATCTGGCAGCCTGGCTTGGAATCCCAGTCACGAGTTAGTGAGTTCTCGGGCCTCAGTGGGCTCAACAGGGCTCTGGAGCCTCCTCAACCTCCTGGGGCTGGCCCTAGTCAGCAGGATCTCCTGCACCTTTCCGCCTGGCCCTACACAGACTTCCCCCACTCTGGTACCCCCACCCCTCCTGAGACAGGATGAGGTGCTCTTCATCCTCTGATTGGCCTGCATCTGGGGGGGGGGGGGGAACACCAGGAGCCTGGGAACACCAGGTTCCCTGTGCCAGGGACATAGCAGAGGGGACTTTCTTGGCCTTCTTCACCAAGGCCAAAGACAGTTGATGAGGCTCTAGGTTCCCGGGGGAGTCTGTGAGTGACAGAACTTTCATCCCTGCTCCTGCCCTGGTTGCCCATTCTGGGTTTGGGGGAGGATGTTTGACTCAGCTCCTGGATCTGAATCAGAGCATTTGAGCACCAGAGCAGAGTGCCAAGGGCCTCCCACGGGAGGACCCCACAAAACACCTCTAGACAGGCAGTGGAGGCTACGGAGGGGGGCTCCCTCCTCTCAATGGAAACAGAGGCTGGGGGCAGGGCCTGAGCTGACATCACTAGGAAGGAGTGGGACAGCGACAGGGTGGTTGCTGCTGGGTCGCTGACCTAGCTCAGTGGGCTGTGAGCCGCCTCTGCCCACCATGCTGTGAACCCGGCTCCTGGAGGGCAGGCCTGGCTGGTAGCTGATGTGCAGTCTGGCTCTGCTCCCTTCGGCTTCTGACTTCTGCTCGGCTCTCCAGCCATCTCTCCTCGCACCAGCCCTTAGGGGAGCAGCACCCAGGGACTATATCCCAACCCCCTCATGCCGACATGCACGTAATAGGCAGGCCAACCCTGGAAGTACCTGTGGAAAATACTTGATCAGTGTCACGGCAAGCTTGATGTAGGAGAAGCAGAAGAGAAACTGCAGCCAGGTGGTGACCCCAACTGCTGCCAAAATCAAGGTGATGAGTGTGAAGAGGCATGAGAGCACCAGGAAGCAGATGGCAGGCCGGGACACGCGCTGCTGGCCCCGCTGAGGAGGAAGTGGGGAGAGGCAAAGGAGGGGAGATGGGCTGGGAGCAAGGGCTCTCAGCACCCACCACACTCTTCACTCTTAGGGTCTCTAGCTCATGAGCAAAGGGTCACACCCAGGCCAGAGGCCCGTGCCTCCTCTCAGGCCAGGCTGCTCCTGGAACCCACTGGTGGCCCATAACCTCTGGATTTGGCTTTTCACCTCCTCCTGTTCCCTGGAGCAAGCCTCCTGCATCCATGCCTCACAGTGGAAGTGAAGAAAAACCAGCAAGGGGCACCTAGCGATTCCCCTCTCCTGATGAGTCACCAATGAACCTCCTGCAACAGACTCATAAACTGGGCACTCCAGCCCCTACCAGCCTATTATACCCAGACCCTAAGCCTCCAACCCCTCCTGTTGACTAATCTTCTCCAGTGCCCCCTCTACTGCCGCTGTCACTATGAGGCCCCTCCCTGGTCTCTTCTCCCTTGCCCTAGGAACTTCACTTTGCTTTTTTATATGTTTGTTTGTTTTTGATTTTTTATTGGGTCACACCTGGCAACTCTCAGGGGTTACTCCTGGCTCTGCACTCAGGAAGTTTGTTTTTGATTTTTTATTGGGTCACACCTGGCGACTCTCAGGGGTTACTCCTGGCGGTGCTCAGGGGACCATATGGGATGCTGGGAATTGAACCCAGGTTGGCCATGTGCAAGGCGTACGCCCTACCCGCTTTGCTATAGCTCGAGCCCCGGAATTTCACTATTCTGACCACAGCTGTCCCGTTTCCTTCATGCCCTCATGCCTGCAGCTGGGGCCTGGGTGTCCCTGTGCCTAGCACAGGGCATGACCCATGAGGCTGCCCCACATGAGGCTGGCTAATGAGTGAGCACACGTCCCTCTGAGGCTTTCTGGTTTCTGTGCAACAGCAGGTGTGGGTGGTGTGTGGTGGTGAGTGTGGGCCTGGGCATGTACAGCGGGGTGGGTGCCAGGTGCTGTCTCACCTCATATATGAAGCACTGCACCAGCACCACCAGCGTGAGGACCATGGCATGCAGGCTGAAGAAGACATCATTGTTGTCAACGGGGTTCACTCCGTTGGGGTGCTGGAGGAGAAACTGCTCCTATGGGGGTGGGGTGGGGGGGAGAAGCTGAGGGCTGAGGGGTGGCCGGCCAGGCCACGGAACAGCTTGTGATAGGTGGGCAGTGCCATACCTGGATGTAGGGCACCCAGAGAAGGCCGATATTGAACACACTGTACGCCACGAAGCCCATTAGGTTCAGGGCCACAAAATCGAAGCTCAGGCCAATGACGCTGGGGAGCAGCAGGACAGAGAAGCAAAATAGAGGGCCAGAGAGATGGTACAGTGGGTAAGGTTCTTGCCTTGCATGTGCCCGACCCAGGTTCAATCCCCAGCATCCCATATGGTTGCCCGAGTCCACCAGGAGTGATTCCTGAGTTCAGACTGCCAGGAATCACCCCTGACTGAGTACAGCCGGGCATGGTTTAAAACCAAACCCAAACAAAAAAGTAGAGCAGAGGGTGAAAGCAGCCACTGTGGTGATAGGAGGCTAGGGAGCCCAGGAGGGACGGTCTGCATTCCCCAAGGGCAGCGCTGGCTTCTGGCTCTTTCTCCCCCACAACTGGTGCCAACAAGTCCAGCAATTAAAAACCTCTTATGAACTGGTTTTCCCCTTCCTCCCTCTGGAGACTTATGCCTCCTTGGGGTCTGGAGGGATGAAGCAGAGTAGCTTCCAAGAGGGTGACTACAGGGGTTTTGTGTCCTTGCTGGGCCAGGACACAACCTCAGATCTGCTTATCTTTACAGTGCGGGCAAGCAGAGCCGAAGGTCCCAGGCTGAGGGCTCCATCTCTCTGGCCCCATCCCATGTCTGGACACGGACTCCCCATGGCTGGATGGACCAAGAGTGAGGCAGATTTGGTGGAGTCTCCTCTGGTGTCCCAGCTTATTCTGCACACCTCAGAGAAGCCCCATCTTTTTGCTTTCACAGGGAGTTGCTGAGCTGGGCAAGAGACAAAATGCCCAGCAATCCAAGTCCCACAGAGGTGTAGAGGGACTTTCACACAGGACATCTTTCTAGCAAGGGCCCAAAGAGAGAGATACAGAGGGGGAAGCGTTTGTACCCAGTCCCTCTCCAGCCTGCTGGGCGCCCACCTCAGCCACCCTCGGGTGAATCCCACCATCCCACCCGTAGCCTCGCAGGTTACCTCTTCCGCCTCCAGTTTTTGATCACCTGAGGGTAGAAGGAGACAGACCAGGCGACAAAGTAGATCCAGCCAATCACCTGGTTGATGATGCTCACAGTGTGACTGTGGATCACCAAGAAGATTATCCTAGTGCTGGAAGGAATTTGGGACAGGGATGAGTTGGGCTTTGGCAGGCATCCAGCTCTCCTTCTTTCTTGTCACTGAACATCCATGTGGATGATGTCAGCTTACCTGGTCTGGTTGGAATGGTTTCCATGTAGATAAATGGTAACCTGTCCAACATTTTCAGATGTCACTTGGAAAGAGGAGTGTGTCACTCCGGGAGGCACCACCACCTGTTAGGAAAAGCCTGTAGTTAACTCGTACCTCACTGGGTGCCCTAGCTCTTCAAGCCTTGACTCCAGCAACCCAGAGACACGGCAACTCTCCATCCCAGCCTCCCAGAAGCTTGGAGTGAGAGACGTTGGACCAATCCACCAGCAATGGCCCTGCCCTGAGGCCCTGACAGGCTTATCTCCCTGAGAAGGCAGGCTGGGCTTTCTTCCTCCCACCAGCTCTGCCTGTCAAGGCAAGTCATTCAAGCTCAGTCGCAGCCTGCTTACATATAAAATGGGGTCAAGAAAATATCTACCCTCGCAGGCTGCTACGAATGACATAATGCTCACAAAGCTTAAGGTTGTTCTAAACCTGGCACAGAGTGAGCTGTGAAGCATTTACCATCAACTACATGCCGATGACTTCAACTTATGCTAGTACAAAGACCTGTCTTTTTTTGGTTCATGACTTTTTTAAGCGGATTTTTCTGGCCATGTCTTTATATCTCTAAGTGGCTGCTAAGTTCCCTCTGAACTACGTAGGAAAACTGATTAATCTGAAATGAACTACAAGGCAAATGAAAATATGGGTATCACAATCTTTTGATTAGTGATTATTTTAAGGGATCATATTTTAGCTCAGCAAAATTTATCATTATATTTTACTGAGTACTTGGTATAGTCCTACTTTTAAATTTTTTTTTTTTTTTTTTTTTGCTTTTTGGATCACACCTGGCTATGCTAAGGGATTACTCCTGGCTCTGGACTCAGGAATTACTCCTGGTGATGCTCCCCCATATGGGATGTTGGGGATCAAACCTGGGTAAGTAAGGTGCAAGGCAAGCACCTTATCTGCTGTGCGACTGCTCCTACCCCAGCCTTACACATTTCAAACTTCCTATTGCTTTTAATCCTTACAACTCCATCAAATGGACATTTCATGGTCACATGAAAAAAGTGTGATGTATTAGGGTGAAGTACCTTGACCAAAGATTACAGGTCAGGTTGATGGACTGATTGGCCCCCAATTTATTTATTTTTTTGTTTTTGCTTTTTTTGGGTCACACTCTATGATGCTCAGGGGTTACTCCTGGCAGTGCTGGGGGACCATATGGGATGCTGGGGATCAAACCCGGGCTGACTGCATGCAAGGCAAAACACCCTACCCGTTGTACTATCACTCAGGCTTCTGACCCCAATTTCTAAAAATGGTTTTCAAAGGCACAGCTGAAGTAGGAAGGTTAGACTGGGTGGGGCCAATGGAATAAATCTCTCACCATTAAAAAACAAGCAAAATCTACAGTGCAGACAAGCACCCCCAGCACCAAGGTCATTTCAGTTCCTCCAAAACTATTTCCAAAGAAGACATATGCATAGATAATGGGCATATGAAAAAGTGCTCTTTGTAACTTATGATTAGAAAAATGCAAATCAAAACAACACTGAGATATATCTCACATCAGTGAGAATGGCACATATCAAAAAGTTTGGAAACAGCCAGGGATTGGCAGGGATGTTGTGAGAAAGGAGCCCTCATCCAGCGTTGGTGGGAATGTTGAGTTCTGCCTCTATGAAAAGAAATATGGATATTTCTTTAAAAAAACAAAAGTTCAGGGCCCATTATAGGGGCAGGCTTGAGGGGTGGCTGGGAAAATTGGAAATAAGGATGGTGGGAAGGTGCAATGGTGGTGGGATTGATGTTGGAATATTGGGTGTAAAAAATCATCATGAATAACTTTGTAAAAAGTAAATAGGCAAAAAAAAAAAGTAAAACAGAACTTCCATATGACTTAACAATACCACTTTTGGGCATCTACTTCTGAAACATAAAAACATTACTTTGAAAGAATATATGCACAATTATGTTCCTCAGAGTGCCTGGTAAAATAGCCAAATATGGAAACAACCCAAGTGTGCAACTACAAATGAATGAATTAAGAAGTTATGATATATATATATGATGGAACATGTGTGTGTCTATATATATATATATATATATATGATGGAATACAATGCAGCTCTAAGGAAGAACAAGTTCATGCAATTTGTTGCTACATGGAGAGACCTAGAGGCTGTCATGATAGTGAAGTCAGTGGGATAAAAGGGATAGACACAGAATCATCTCTGTCATATATGGGACTTCAAGTTTCCATATAAAGTAAGGTAAGGTAGCAGCAATAGGAGACTTGATCCATAGAACTGAGTTTTGGGGTGGTGGGTTGAAAGGGGGGAGCACTGGGGATGCTGGGGGAGAGAGGTGATGGGTATGGTGCTGGAATTAAGTGCATGAGAAACAGGTGATGGGTGTGGTGCTGGAAGCTATCATTAACAGCACTGAAAACCACAGTACCTAAATCAATGAAAAAAAAGCTAAAAGCAAAAATAAGCTCTGTTCTGCTCCCTCTGAGCCTGAGGGAAATTGCTTCCCTGACCAGCGTGGTAGATTCAGGCACAGTGAACAAACAGCTTAGGCTCAACATTCCACCTGACTTTCACCTATTCCAAGAAGGCTACTTTGAGTCTGATGCAGGCCCTAAGCTCATTCCTGCCGATCTGTGGGTTAGGTCAGACCTCAGAGAGCTGAATGCCATAACTTGCCGTTAGAACCCAGCGCTTTTCTTATACCTGAGGCAGAAATGGAGAGGCCATTCACGAGTAATGAGGTGTGCACTCCCGCAGGGGACGAAGCTCCCCTCTCACAGAGTTTCTGTTATGGAGACACTCTCTGGTTATGCTTCCTCTGCTTGCTAGGTGCTCACAGTCTGTTTGTAGCCCACTGAAACTACTTTTTCATTTGTTTGTTTTTTGGGCCACATCCGGTGATGAGGGGTTACTCTGGGCTCTGCACTCTGGGATTACTCCTGATAGTGCTCAGGGAACCATATGAGATGCTGGGGATAGAACTCAGGTTGGCTGAGTGCTACGTGAATGTCCTATAGCTGTACTATCATTTCAGCCCAGTAGTGCATTACAATTACATTACTATTAATTCTACTTATTTGATTGGTCATTTAGGCTACCCATGGCAGTGCTCCAGGGACCAGCTAGTGCTGGGGTTCCAACATGTAAAGCATATACTCCTAACCTTTGAGCCATCTCCCCAATCCTTGTTTGTTTGATTTTAAACCCTGTTTACTCTACTCTATTACTGCCTCCTCTGTTGATGTTTTAAAGCTGAGTTGATCTAGCAATTGGTTCAAATCTTTGGAAGATGTAAGCAAAGATATATTAATAGATAAATGTATAGAGGTGATGAGCAGTTAGGGCTCTTAGACCAGATAGCCTCTGTCCCTGGGTTTTGCAAATAACAAAGAAATGCTTCAGAAATTTCAAATCATCTGGGATCTTGCTCACGTAGGGACCCTGATTCAGGGGTGTGGGACCCTGGATTATGTCTTTCTCAAAGGAACAAATGGGGCTTATTCCATGGCTGTTCTTGGGATAGCCAGGTGTTAGCAAACCATCTGAAGAATTTCTTTTACAGTCTCAGTTCTAGCTTTGCCTCAGATTTCTTATCATCACCTTCCTAATTCACTGACAATGCAGAAAACATCCATCTCAAATATTTGATAAACATTCATCCATCAAAGCCAAACCCAAGAATTTCTAGGATGATAGCAGGTGTCAGGGGGTGGAAGGTATTCCAAAGTATAAAAACCAGGGGGCAAGAGACCCATTTCCACAAGTTCTTCACAAAAAACTGTTACCCAGCAGTTCTCCAGCCACCAGTGATTATTACTTACTTCATTGGGGAGTGTAAGGATAGTAACATTTTTGGAACAAAATGTGATTTCAAGAGTGATCACCAAGGTTTCATTTAACGGGTGCCTGTTGGAAAGAAGAGTCTGATTAACTCCTGAGAAGCTGGACCCTCAGATTTTGACATCCTGGCTCCCATCCCCCTTCTCCCCATCCCTCCATGTCCCATACAGGCATAGTCATTTCCCAAGCAATAAGGACTTGGAAGTAGCTAGAGAGGAGGGCCCCTGTTCCTTCATGCTTCTGTCTCTTTAGCCTGGGCTAAGACTTCCTGTCTTAGAACATGAAAAGTGGGCAATGGACGGGGAAGGCAGGTGAGGAGTCTGGAGGCCAACGGCACCTTGGCTTCTGCTCTGGCTTCCCACAGGGCTCAGGATTGACCAGGTTCCAGGAAAGCTAGGCGAGGTGTCTGGCAGCCCAGGTGACCTCAAGGTCTTGGTCATATCAAGTCAATGCAGAAACCCTCAAGGATTCTGAGGAGTGGGGAGCTGAGAGGGGATAATAGGGCAGGAACAGGAAATGGAACAAAGGTCTGCCCAGGAGCGTTGGTATCAAAGCTTAGACCAGAGATCAGATTTCCCAGAAGTGAAGAAAGAAACGTAAACAGAAAAGGACTTGGACCAGAGGGTTTAATACCCGGAATCACATAGGGTTCCCTGAGCCTGCCAGGAGCAATCCCTTAGTGCAGAGCCAGGGGTCAGCTCTGAGCACAGGTGGGTGTGCCCCCAAAACAAAACTGAAAAGAGCAAAGACTCGGATTGCAGCTCTTCATTAGGGGAATCTGCATGGCTGACAGGGAGAAGCAAGCAGCCGAGGAGCCAGGCAGGTGTTCTTGTGTGGCCTGTTCTAGGGCTGCACCCTCACAGCCAAACCAGCAGTCAGCATAAGCAGACAAGGCCGAGGATGAAGGCCACAGGAAGGGGACCCATGGGGACCCGTCTACTGCAACTGGATCTGCTCTCAGAACTGGTGATTTCCTCAGTATCTTGCTCTCTGACTTTCAGGGCTCACCTCAAATATTCAGTACTTTGAGAAGGACCACTCTGAAATCTGACATCAAACTGCTGGTTACTTAAGGACCTTTATCATAAGATGGAGAAAAGACTCCTCTCTCTTAGGAACCTGTCCCCAATGCCTGAGTTCCTCCTGCCCAAACTAAGGATTCAGAGGTTGGAGGGAGAGAGACTGAGATCTGCTGGTAGCTGAGGGCCAGTGCCTCTGTTCCCGAGCATCACACTGGAAATACCTATTGGTAAGCCACAGATCAGCCCGGAGCCCACAATGGGGAGGAGCGGGCGGGCCTGAGAACTTACTGAAGATCAATGCTGACATTGGCTGATCTTCTTTCTTCCAGCGTCACGGTGGAAGGAGCAGTGAAGCTGACTGTGGACCCTAGAAAAACCCAAAACAACAGTGTGAGTCACTAGGTCAGAAAACTCAGGACCATGGGGAGATACAGGGACAAGGAAGTGTTCCATCTCAGCTTAGCCCTGACTCATGCCAAGCGCGGTTTTCTAGGGGTGCACAAGGCAGTGCGGAAAGGCTCAGGGCACGGAGCCCTCCTTCCACTCATTTCCGTCCTGTTGCCATAGGCTAAGCCCGAGCAGAAACTCTGATGCTTCCTCCTCTCCCATACCAGCAGCCTCTGACCATCTGGGATCGAGTAGCACAGCAAAGCTTTTACGACCAACAAGCTCAAAAGGTGCCATGAAGGAATGTAAGCCACATCTGGGACTCACATAAAGGAACTTGAAATAGCAGTTCTGTTTCTTGGTTCTTGTTTTTTGGTTTGGGGCCATACACGGTGATGTGATCAGAGGTTACTGGTGGGGCTTTAGGGGCCATATGGGATGCTGGGGATTGAAGCTGGGTCAGTGGCAAGGCAAGTGCCCTATCCACTATACTGTCTCTCTGGCTCTGAAGCAGCATTTCTGATGAAAAGTGCAGGTGTCCTCTGTTTGTGGAGCTGAAATGGTCCTGCAGAGTCTGTTCAGTCCTGTTTTGAACTCTGGGAAAATACCTGGGGCCCAGCTCACCTTTAAAAAACCTTTGGGCTTCTGAGCTAACCCAGCACAGACCATTCTCTGGGCCCTTTCCTGAGCTGAGTGTGCTGGAGACTGGGGATCCGGTTGAGAAGCGCACATACTGGGTGCTGGGAATTTCTTAGAAGCATCAGGTGGTAACTTGGGCGAAGACAAAGAGGCCTCTGGAGTGAGGGAGGAAGGCAGCTTGGGAGACCAAATACCTGCAAGCGTCAGCCTCTCTCTGACCTCTTCTGTGTCCTGTGGGCAGCTCACGCTGTCTCCACTCCTGCTCCCAGGTGTGCTCAGAGGCCCACACACCTGTCCACCTTCCTCCCTTCACTTCCTGGCCTTCAGGGTTCCACACACCTGCAGCACACTCAGGATGTTAGTATGAAGTAGGCAGGGGACCCGTGGGGGAGAATTGGCCCAGGACTTGATGCAGACGGTCTTGGGTCGGGGGCGGCCATGGGCCTGCCCAGGTCTCTCTCTCCAAGACCCTCCCTCCTCCCCTGAAGCAGAAGCAGTAGAACTGAAATCCACCGTCAGGTGCTCCTTGGCCCTTCTTTTCCTCTGTCCAGCCCCTGCCAAGGAGCGCAGGCTCAGGAATTGTGCTCTTGGGCTGGTTGGGCTGGCAGAAGCCTCCCACACCCTACCTGCCACCTCCTCATGTGCAGACACAGGCTGACTGTGCTGCATCTGCAAGTCTTCAATCAATCTAGGTCTCTCTGAGGGGCATGGTCCCAGCTGGCTCAGTGCAAAGTAGATTGTGTGGTTGGTCTCAGGCCTTGCCGACATCTTGGATAATGCATTGCCCTCCCTGCACACCTCCTCCCACTCTCCCACCCCCTTATTCCCGTTTTCAGATGTACCATTCTGAGACTCTGCTAAGAGTAAGCACAGCTCAGGGTCCCTACAGCTGCTCTTGACCTAGAACTGAACAAAGGGCTCACCAGGGAAGCAAGCATGACCCTATTACAACAAAGGTCGGACAGGGAAAATGAAAGTGCAGCCAGTGGCCACCTGCACCTCGGGATCCCCAGGTCCTGCTGAAGCTGTAGTTGGGACAGTGCACCATCCATGTGCCCTTTGCTTTCCCATTCTTTTTTTTTGCTTTTTGGGTCACACCCAGCAATGCACAGGGGTTACTCCTGGCAGTGCTCAGGGGACCATATGGGATGCTGGAAATCGAACCCGGGTCAGCTGTGTGCAAGGCAAACACCCTACCCGCTGTGCTATCTCTCCAGCCCCGGCTTTCCCATTCTTTTTATATACATCTATATATGTCATCTTTATATTTATCTATATATTTCTGTCTATAGCTATATAAATTTTGATGGGGGCATACCCAGTGGAGGTCAGCTCTCTGCTACTCCTGGTTCTATGTTCAGGAGCTACTCCCCTGGTTTTCTTTTTTCCTCCAGGGCACAATGTTCTTCATTGATGCTATATGACAAGACAGGACACCCTAAGTGCCACCCCTCTGTCCCCCGCCCCAACCCCTTCTTCATGGAGTCTGGGATGGAAACGACTGAGGTCAGGAGACTCTGTTGGGTGAGTGCTCTCAGGGGGACTGCTGGGCCTCTGGCTGCTCACTCTTGTTAGATGGATGGTGCAGCACCCTCGGGTTTGGCTGGAGTAAACTTATTGTCCTACCAGGAAATGAGCTTGTCAACACTGTATTTGCATCTTGAAAGAAAGGAAGTTGGGGGCTGCAGAGATAGTATAGCAGGTAGGGTGCTTGCCTTGCAATGTGACAGACCCAGGAGACCCAGCACTGTTAGGAGTGGTCCCTAATTGCAAAGCCAAGAGTAAGTCCTGAGTATTGCTGGGTGTGGCCTAAAAAAAAACATGTAAAAAACAAACAAAAAAATACAACAAAAATGAAAACAAAAACCAAAAAATCCAAAAAAAAAAAAAAAAAAGAGAGAGAAAAAGAAGCTGGGTCTCTTCACACAACAACCTAACTCTGGTAACCATTCTTTCAGGGTGTGAAACTGCCAGCCACTGTTTAGCCCACAATGGGAGGCAATCAGGAAGCTGCCATTATACCCTGGAAAAGTTTAAACTATATATTTAAAGTTCCCTTTGTGTGGAAACAGAGATAAACAAATGGGACTATCTTAAACTAAGTGACCTCATGGTGTTTCACTAACAAAAATTAAAAAAAAAAGGATACAGTGATCAAAATGCAAAGACAATCAACAGAATGGGAAAGGATATTCATCCAATACCCATTAGACATGCGGTTGATATCAAGAATATATAAGGCACTGGTCAACCCCATCAGAAAATGGGGTGATTAAATGAACAGAAACTTTTTCAATGGCAAAAAGGCACATGAAAAAATGCTCTTCATCACTAATCATCAGGGAGATGCAGATCAAAACAACTATGAGATACCACCTCACACCACAGAGACTGGAACACATCCAAAAGAACAAGCAACTGGTGTTGGCATGGATGTGGGGAAAAAGGGACCCTCTTACACTGCAGGTGGAAATGCAGACTGGTTCAACCCTTTTGGAAAACTGTATGTACACTTGTCAAAAAATTAGAAATTGAGCTCCCATTTGACCCAGCAATACCACTCCTGTGATTATATCCCAGAGATGCAAAAAAGTATAGTTGAAGTGACATCTGCACTTGTTTGTTCATTGCAGCACTCTTTACAATAGCCAGAATCTGGAAAAAACCTGAGTGCCCAAGAACAGATGACTGGTTAAAGAAACATTGGTACATCTACACAATGGAATACTATGCAGCTGTTAGAAAAAGATGAAGTCATGAAATTTACACACAAGTGGTTTGGAAAGTATCATGCTAAGTGAAATGAGTCAGAAAGAGAGGGACAGACATAGAAAGACTGCATTCATCTGTGGAATATAAAGTAACAGAATAGGAGACTAACACCCAAGAATAGTTGAGATAAGTACCAGGAAGTTTGCTCCATGGCTTCGAGGCCAGCTGCACATCCTGGGGGAAAAGGCAGCTCAGATAGAGAAGGGAACACCAAGTAAAGGGTGTTAGGAGGATCTGCCCAGGATGGGAGATGCATGCTGAAAGTAGACTATAGACCGAACATGATTGCCACTCAATACCTCTATTGCAAACCACAACACCCAAAAGGAGAGAGAGAACAAAAGGGAATGTCCTACCACAGAGGCGGGGTGGGATGGGGGGGATGGGGGTGGGGAAGGGATACTGGGATCATTGGTGGTGGACAATGGGCACTGGTGGAGGGATGGGTGCTCGATCATTGTATAATTGAAACCCAAGTACAAAAATTTGTAAGTCTACAACTGTACCTTGGATTCCCCTGGTCCGCACCAGTTCTAAGTCGGCTGCTAGGCGCCGGCTGAGGTGAGGCTGCTGGGCTATATCTTCACCACCCGCCTCTCCCCCCACCCACCCCAACAAATTCTAATGAGAACCACCTCCAGTTTTTCTTCAGGGAAGTCTGGTTTTTCATTTACTACTTATTGGCACCTTCCACTCTGTGCCATCTTGATCTTTGCACTCAACTGCCAAGTCCCATTCTTTGATTGTCACAGTTGTGAGAAGTGGGTCTTACGATTCCTATTTCAGATATTTCAAATAGAATTTCAAATATTTCAAATAGAATTTCAAATAGAATTCTAAGAGGAAAGTGTCTTGCACACACAGCTTAGACACAATGGTGGCAGAATTCAAACCTCAGCTTGCCTGTTCTGAAAGTTTCACCCAAAGAAGACAGGACAAGATTCTGAAAGTGGGAACCAGGGACGTGGCCCAGGGACACAGCACATGCCTTGCAAGCAGGAGGCATGGCTTCCTCTCCCCGCACCCCAAAGCACCCAAACAAAGGCTCTGGAGGCCTATCACCAGAGCCACAGTCCTTGCAGATCACGACCCAGAAGACAGGGAGAGTGGAAACTGAGTGACTTCACTGGCATTTCCTCTTCCTCTTCAATAAGGACAGGAGGTCAAGCAGGGAACTGAGCAGCACTTAGGCCTCATCTTTTACTTTCTAGCCTGGTGATTTTGGGGCTTTTATTTATTTATTTATTTTTATTTTTGGGTCACACCCTGCAATGCACAGGGGTTACTCCTGGCTCTGAACTCAGGAATTACTCCTGGTGGTACTCAAAGGACCATATGGGATGCTGGGAATTGAACCCAGGTCGGCTGCGTGCAAGGCAAAAGCCCTTCCCGCTGTGCTATCACTCCAGCCCCTTGGGGGCAGATTTTGACCTTAATAATTGAGTTAGTGGTGGCTGGATCTGTTCTTCTCTAGAACTAAACATTAGTGTTACTAAGGAAGGTTGTTGTTTTGTTTTGTGGCCTCACCCAGGCGGTGCTCAAGGCTTGCACCTGGCCTTGCACTCAGGGATCGCTACTGTGGAGATGTCAGGAACTGAACCCAGGCCAGCTGTGTGCAAAGCAGAACTCTAAACTCTAAACTCTCACTAAACTCTCTGGTTCCAGCTTTTTAAAAAATCTGCCAATGTATGTTTGCGATCCTTGCACACTTATACCTTGGTCCCAAAATTCAACACGGCGAGTTTGCGTGGGATCTGTCTTCTGTATTGGCAAACACAGGGGTTCACATCCCAGAGTACCTTTCCTTTCTCAGAAATCACTTCCAGGTGTGGTGTAAAGCAAACAGTGACTGCTTCACAAGCTTGGAGGGACCCATCCAATGACCACTGCTCTCTCAAGAGAGTGCCTATAACTGACCCCAGGCAGCATTGTGTATATGGCTCTTGGGCCACTTTCACAGGACCTGTTTGTCATTTTATAGACAGAGCCAAGTGAAACACTGAGAAAGGGATTTCAAGGTGTGGTTGATTTTTGACAAGGGCAAGCCAATGATCAAAATCCCAGTTGTCCTAGAGTGTGAGGCAGAGAAGCATTTTGTGGAAGGAATTTGAGCAATGTTTTGGGTAGGGGGAGAACAGCTGGAATGACCCAGGCCTTGGCGGGCTCTGCTCTGAAGGTCAGGTCTCACAAGGATGCAGAAGCCCTGAGGCACTTTCTGACAACTTGTGTGTGTGAGGCCCCTAAGTCCTGTTTAGGCTGCCGCACCCTATTCCTTCATCCCTCTCTGAGGAAGGGGTCTGGGCCTGGCAGAACAGCCAGAAGGTGCCACCTCCCCTCCCCAGAAGGGACTCCCAGGACTCAGAGCTCATCTGTGGGTTCCAGGGCTGGGACACTTCTCTTCTTTATTGCTACAATCCCAGACCATCGGAGCTCCTCAGGCAGATACACTCAAGGTGGTGATATAGGGCTGGAGAGAAAGCTTCTAGCCCCCACACCCTCAGGTCCCCCAACAGGCAGGTACATGTGGTTTGGACAATTCCCAACTTTTGGTTTTTTTGGCTACACCCTGTAGTGCTCAAGGATCACTCCTGGCAAGGTTCAAGGAACCATGGGGTGTCAGGGATTGAACCAGGGCAGGCTGCATGTAAGGCAAATGCCTTGTTTGCTGCACTATCTCTGGCCCCAGGCATAAACTCTTTTTTTTTTTTTTTTTTTTGGTGGTGGTGGTGTTGGGAGTAGGGGTTATGCCTGGAGATACCCAGGAGTTACTCCTGGCTCTGCACTCAGGAATTACTCCTGGTGGTGATACTGGGGATCAAATCCAGTTCAGTCACAGGTAAGGCAAGTGCCCTACTTGTTGTACTATCTCTCTGGCCCCCAAAAGTTCTTTTTTTAATTTTTATTTTTGGCTCTACCTGGCTATACTCAGGGTTTACTCTTGGCTCTGTGCTCAGGGATCACTCCCAGGGGGCTCGGGACCATATGAAGTGCTGGGGATTGAACTTAGTTCAGCTAAGTGTGTGCATGGTTAATGCTGTACCAGTTGCACAAGAGACAAGAACTCTTTTTTTTTTTAATGTAGGAGTACTGCCCTGGCAGCTCGGTGGCCGTCATCCTCCAGAGGCCACTGGATAGTCAGGTTTGGTCCCGCAGTGACAAGACATTTTGGGTCTCATGGGATGGGGGTGAAGCCAGTCCTGTCCTCACCACCCCAACGAGACCCCAAGTCATCACCCACGAACGGCCTTTCTGGCTCCTGATTAAGCAGCTTAACAGCCATGATCCCAGAGACTCAGGAGCAAATCTCGGAACCCAGCAGGTTTTGGCAGAAATCCCTCCAGATTTAAGTGCTAAAATTTTGGAATTTCAAAATCACGTGGCCACTACTGCAGCCACATGACATCATATGTTATTCATAACCAGCAATAGAAAACAAATTGTCTACTGTTGCCTTTTCAGAAAATCTGAGTGTTGTGGGGTAAAATCTCAAATAATAATGGTGGGTCTGGAGAGACAAGAACTCTTGAGTGCCAAGAGGTCAGACTGACCATTGATTTTACGGTAGCTCATTGCTCAACAAGAATGACTCTCTACTTCTGCTTCTTTTGATTTTTCTTTTCATTTTTTTGGGTCCTATTTAATAGTGCTCAGGGGCTATTCCTGCTGGTACCTTGGGGGGAACCAGGAGGTGTCAGGCATCAAACCTCCTGCAAGCAGAGATGCACGCCAGTCCATTGAGCCATCTTTCTGGCTCTGATAACTCATTTCAAAAACTTACCACATTTCTCTATGAGCATCAGGGGAAAAAGGATGAAAATAATCAGCCAACTCCTTATCATGTTCTCAACTTCAAAGAACTAGGAAGAAAAGAAAACAGCAAGCAAAGTTTAGGTTGAACCATCTGTGGGGAGGGCACTACATTTCATAAAGCATTTCCTTGTCACCTGTGACCTCATGGGCTCTGCATCACCAGCCTAGAGAGGGGTCCTAGGGAGCACTCATCTGCCTTGGCAACATGGGGAAATGGGATCAGAGAAGCTAAGTGGGTTGTGTAAGCTGTCCACTTCCATACTAAAGAAGTGGACAAATACTGTTTTTTCTCTTTTCAACTGCTCCTTGATCCCTAGTTAAGAGAAAGAAGGAATGCAGTTTGATTAGCTAGGGTCTCGTTTTGGACAAAGAGAGTTAGTAAAACTCTAATCAGTTTTTTCCCCCTTTGTGGCACCACTCATTGAATCCAGGGCCTCACAGAGACAAGGTAAGTGTTCAGCAAGAGTTACATCCTTGGTCCTGCGATCGAATATTTGACTTTGCAAACCTACAAGCCTTTAGGAAAGTTAGTTTGGGCCAACAAACTAGCTCGCCAGGCTGGAGTGTGTGCTGGAGGCTGGGTTTCATGAGAACTACCATAAGCAGAGCCGGAGCACTGGTGAATGGTGTGGACCAAAACCTCTCCCAAAAGAAAACAAATTTCATTTCCTGAGCTGGGATGAGTCTAACAGTTAAAATCAACAACTGAACCTTAATTGTTTTTTGTTTGTTTTGAGGCCAAACTCTGGGTATGCTCAGGACTCAGGGATCACTCCTGGTAGTGCTGGGGGACCATATATGGTGCTGGGGATTTGGGGATTGAATCAGGATAGGCTATGTATAAGGTTATTGCCCTACCCGCTGTGTGGTCTCTCTGACCCAAGGCTTTTTTTTTTCTCCTTTTTTTTTTTGCCATACCTGATGGTACTCAGGGCTTCCTCCTGGCTCTGAATTCAGGGATCAGTCCTGGCAAGCTTGGGGGACCATATGGGGTGCCAGGATTGAACCCAGGCCAGCCATGTGAAAAGCAACATACCTGCTGTACTATCTCTCCAGGCCCTCAAGACTTTTTCTTTCGACAAGTGTCACCTCTTCAGGACTGGCAAAGAGGTGATAAAAGGACAAGAGGGGATCCAGTAAAAGACAAGGCCCAGTCATCCAAGGCTTAGCTTATTGCGTTAGTCAGGAAGGCTGACTGCTGCCTATCTCTAACCCCCACACACAGTAGGTGACCTGTGGAGCCAGAGCGGGCAGTGAGCATTCTGTAACTTGTTCTGCAGATATTACAGTGCTCAGAGCCGCCCAGGCCTACCAGCCCTTGAGGATTCCTATGAGCTCAAGGAGAGCTAAGAAAGCTCTATGTAAAACACCCCTGCTCCCACTCTGCTTTTATTTTATTTTTGTCCTCACCTGGCGATACTTCTGACTCTGCACTTTGCAACCACTCCTAGTAGTGTTCAGGGATTGAACACTGGGAGCCCGGGGATTGAACAGGGTCATCCACGTACAAGGCAAGTGCCTTTCCTGCTGTACTATCACTCCAGCTCCTTCCACTTCATTTTCTCAAAAGGCCTGAGAGGGTGGTTGGAGAGATAGAACATTGGGTAGGTTGTTTTCCTTGCATGCGGCTGACCTGGGTTTGATCTTCAGCATCACCTATGGTTGCCAAAGTACCACTAGGAATAATTCCTGAGTGCAGAGTCAGGAGTGACCCCTAAACATTGATGGGTGTGGCTCCAAAACTAACTTCCTCAAAAAAAAAAACTAAACTAAAAATAAAGTGAGGGGGCTGGAGTGATAGCACAGTGGGTAGGGTGTTTGCCTTGCACGTGGCCGACCGGGTTCAATTCTCAGCATCCCATATGGTCTCCTGAGCACTGCCAGGAATAATTCCTGAGTGGATGAGCCAGGAGTAACCCCTGTGCATCGCTGGGTGTGACCCCAAAAGAAAAAAAAAACAAAATAAAGTCAGAAAGACTTCTAACATTCTCCTCCCTCAGAGAAATCTCCTCAAAACACTCCAGCTGCCCCCCTTCTCCAACAGTTAGTCTTCCTGCATGCTGGTCTGTCAGGTCTCTTCCTACTCTCTGCTGGCACTGACCTCCCCACTCTCTGGCTTCCTCTGGGGGTGTGTCCCTCATGCTGTATTTCCAAGGCTTTGCCCTACCAGAACTGTTCTGTATCTATGTAAAGACTCCTTTTCACTCTTGCCACTCCTACTTCTCACACATGCCTGAGTCAGGGGGTTTGTTTTTCCCCCCTGGGGCAGAATATGCAGAAATGTCCTTGAAAAATCAGATGTAGAATGAGACCTAATCATCTCCTCTCTCATTCCATAGGATGAGCAATCTAGTCTGAGGAGTGAAAATATGAGGTCAACAAAATGCCCTAAAAAATGAAAACATCGGGGCTGGAGCAATAGCACAGCAGGTAGGGCATTTACCTTGCACACGGCCAACCTGGGTTCGATTCCCAGCATCCCATATGGTCCCCCGAGCACCGCCAGGAGTGATTTCTAAGTGTATGAACCAGGAGTAACTCCTGTGCATTGCCGGGTGTGACCCAAAAAAGAAAAAAAAAATCTTGGAGGAAAGTTGTTAGGGCAGATCCAGAGTCTGAGAGTCCAGTAAAATGAAAAGATCATTCTGGGGGCCAGAGAGATGGTACAGCAGGAAAGATGCTTGCACACAGCCCACCTGGGTTAGATCCCTGGCATTCCATACACTCTCCTGAGCACAGCCAGGGGTGATTCTTTTTTTTTTTTTTTTTGCCAGGAGTGATTCTTGATTTCAGAGCCAGGAGTAATCTCTGAGCACTGCAGAGTGTTTCCCCCCTCCCCCACCTTCAAAAAATATCAGTCTGGGATAGAGAGAACCTAAAGTGGTTGAGCACATGCACAGCCTGTTCGAGGCTGTGAGTTTGACCCCTGCATTGCACGCTTCCCTTCCCCAAATTCCTGAACACTACTAGGAGTGGTCCAGGGCCCCGAATATAGTGGGGTGTGGCTCCATATAAAATAGAAAGGGAAAGATAACAAAGATAACATGGAGAATTATAGACTGCAACTAGTATCTCATGAAAGCTACAAGACAGAAAGGGAGAATTTTGTGATGAACAGTGGAACAGGGAACAATTCTGTGAGGACAGTGCTACAGAACACACACTTTAGGAAGAGTGGCCCATTCCTGTTCCCTCCTAGGAGCAAGCTGGGGCCAGGCGTCTATTGCAGCAGTTCCTTTGTCAGGAAGCCCAATTAATTATGTTAACTGTCCCATAACTTGGAACTCCCTGCAACTCTTTCTTTTGAGGAAGTGATACAAAGAGTGGCAAGTGATGAGTGTCCCAGGCAGAAGCAGTAGTACAGCTCCTTGCACTTGCCTTGCACACGGCCCCACCCGGTTAGATCCTGGCACCCCATATGGTTTCCTGACCCTGCCAGGAGTGATCCTTGAGTGCAGAGCCAAGAGTTATTCCTGGGCAATACTGCGTGTGGCAACAAGCCAAAACAAAAAATAACCCTCCTCCAAACAAAAACACCCAAAACGTTATCACTATCACCCTGTTGTTCATCGATTTGCTTGAGCGGGTGCCAGTAGTGTCTCCATTAGTCCCTGTCACGTGTTAGTCTAGCCCGATGGCATACTGGGGGCTCTTTCAGGGCCAGGGGAATGAGGACCATCACTGTTACTGTTTTTGGCATATTGAGTACACCACAGGTAGCTTGCCAGGCCCTGCTGTGTGGGCAGGATACTCTCGGTAGCGGGGCTCTCCGAGAGGGATGGAGGCTTTGGGGGCAGCCTCTAACCACTTTACAGGCGTTCCTAGTCAAGCATATATGCGGGCGGGATACTCTCGGTAGCCTGCCAGGTTCTCTGAGAGTGAGAATTAGAGAACAAGCGGTCCAGCAGCTGCGCACTTCCAGGAGCTTGGTTTTATAGTCTCTGGATCCTGGCTGTTGATGGGATTACACGGCAGTTACCCAAAAAGCAAACCTGCCAACCCCCCAAAAGAAATATGTGTGCCTATGACTTGCTACAGAAGATTAAGCCCGGAATCCTCATTTTTTAGTTGAGTGATTCCTCGTGCTATTTACTCTGCCTTGTGCTTCAAATGTCCAATGTGCAAAGAGGAATAGTAAAACACCCCCTGATCTCAAGGATCTGAAATGCAACAGAATGGGATACAGGAGTCTATCAAAATTTCACGGTTGTGGTGGTGATGATGAGGTGATAAAAAGGTTGAGAAATAACGCAAATTGAGGGGCCAGGGATGGAGCTCCGTGGTGGAATGCCTTGCTCCCCAGTTCGATGGCCTGGGTTGGCTGATCCTACCCCCACAACCCTTACAGAGTCAGGACTCACGTCGAACTATCTTAAGTTTTTTATTTTTTAAAGAAGCTTATTTTTCTCAACACCCTGAAGGAAAGCAGGGTGCAGTAGTCTTTTCTACCTCGGGTCAGAAAATCGAGGGCGGCAAGGCGGGGTCTTAAGACTGTCGAGTCTCCTGAAAACCAACAGGAGTCCTGGTTCCTAGAACAGTCCTCTCGCAACCGTCCTCCCGCCCCAAAGCAAACTGCAAACTCCGTGACCCAGCCTAGACTCGGCAGCAACTGCAGCGCCAGAGGGGCTCCGACACGGATGCAAGCTACGCAACAACCACATCGCCTCTCGGGATCCCAGTGTCCCAGTCCCGGATCCGTCAACCCGTCGGGCTGTCAGGAGGGGGCTGGTGGCAGGGGCTGGGACCTAGCGCGGCTACAGAGGCGTCAAGAGCGGCAGCTTTCCCGGTCCATTGGCTGGACCCGTCTCTCGGCCTCACAGGCGACCGCGAAAGGGGGCAGGAGGAAGCTGTCGCGTCCGCGTCGTCTCCGACCTACCTCGAAAGCTCTCGAGCTCAGCCGCTCTCGGTCGCCCCGGGTCTCGCCGAAGGTGCCGCTGTGGCAGGCAGATTTGAGGGAGGGCGGGCCGGGAGCCACCTGACCTGAGCACCTGATTCGCCCAGCGGAGACCGCGGCGCGATGCACTGTGGGAGTTGTAGTTTTCACGGGTCTTGCGGTACAATTTGGTTGAGGCTGTCGGACACAGGAGCCTTGGCAAGGAAGAGGGCACTCGGGAGTGTGCTGGGACTAGGTCACTTTTAAGGACACGGAGGCTCTGGGACATCCTAGGACCTGTGCGCAGGTGTCCTTGCTCGACTTAATGATCTACGGGGCGGGATCTCCAGGACCCGCCTTCCCCGGCCTCTCACGGGGCGGGACTCTGCTTCCCTCCACCAATGCAAAGACGAGAGCCGCCATATTGAGTGTGGCTGACGGCGAGTCCGACGAGGCCCCGCCTCCGGCCCGGTGAAGGACGCGGGAGTGGGCGTTTCGGTCTCAGAGGCAAGCTGCGAGGGTCCCCGCTGTCATGACTTCGCGTTCTGTCACTCTCGGCATCGACCTGGGCACTACGTCTGTGAAGGCGGCGCTGGTGGAGGCCGCGCCGGATGACCCATCCGGGTTCGTGGTACTGGCGAGCTGCACTCGAGCAGCGCGGGCCGAGACGGCAGCCCAGAGCGCGGCGGCCGGGCCCCAGGTGAGGCAGCGCCCCAGAGCCGCGCCGCCTCCAGGAGCCCCCCCGGTCCCCCTTAGAGAAGCTCCCGGCCTGCAGCTGCCTGCTGCGGTCTGCTGCAGCTTCCCCTTCCACCCAGGAGCTAGCTTACTCCCTGACACCCATCACCCCACTTTCAGGCCTCTTCGGGGACCTTGATCGCGGCGCTGTGTGCCAGAACTCTGCCCTTGGGTTTCTGTACCCTGGTCTGCAGGACCTGCGGCCCGTGTACACGCACATTCAGGCCACCCGGCTCCTCACACCTGGCCTCAAAGTTAGGGTTCAGTTTCTTCTCAGGAAGAGTCTGGGTTTTCCCCGGGAAAGCCCCGCCAGAATTGGGCTTCAGCTGCTTTTCCCTTTGTTTTCTTTGCTCCATAGCATGCCCAGAAAGTTCTGAATTTGCTCTGTTCTCGGGGCAGGGTGGAAATTAAAAGGCAGAACCAGGTCTAACTGCTCCACTCTCATTCTCTAGGGGCCAGAATATGGACTGGGGATCTTAAACACTTGGGGAGCGTTGTCCCCCTGCCCCAAAGGCTAAGAAGCTGCAGAATAAAGACACCAGGACAGACAGTCTTTGGGAGAGAAAGGCAATTGACATGTTAGAAAAGAGATGAAAGAATCATTTTGTGTCTTGTGAGTGCTGGGAATGGAGAGTTACACCACAGTGGGTTCTTTTGTGACAAGTGCTTTTTGAAAAGGTTATTGATCCTGTGAACTGGAGTCTGTTACACATTTCCTGAAAAAAGGCAGCTCTATGCTCAGTTAATTGAAAACAGAAATTATGGGGTGGCGGGGACAGAGCTCAAAGGATTGGGGTACATGCTTCTGAGCCTTAATTTGTTATAGGTGAAGTAGGTGGTCCTCTAAGGCCCTTTCAGCCACAGACCTTGATGTTCTGAGGTGAGCTCCACTCTCCAGAACTTTGTTGTTTACAAGTCAACATAATCTGGATTCAGTGCTTTAGGGTTTAGAGTCCTTGCATTGCAGGGGATAAGGATTTCTGGAGGGGCTGGAGTAATACACAGTGGGCAGGGCGTTTGCCTTGCACATGGCCAACCTGGGTTCAATTCCCAACGTCCCATATGGTCCCCTGAACACTGCCAGGAGTAATTCCTGAGTGCCTGAGCCAGGAGTAACCCCTGTGCATCACCGGCTGTGACACAGAAAGCAAAAAAAAAAAGATTTCTGGAGCGTCGAAGCGTCGAATTTTCCAGAGGATTTTAGTACTCGATTGGGGCATAAGGGTACATGAGAATGATTATTTCATGTTGTTGTGGATGAAATGAAGGTGGAATGAAGGCGAAGTCGGGTCTGACTTTGGGGTGAGGGAGAGGCAGAAACAGAGATGGATGACTCAATTTTTCATGCTAATTTGGCATTATAAAAGTAACCTAGGCCAATTTCTCTTTCTTCTTTGGAGGATTGGGCCACACTGAGCAGTGCTCAAGGCTTATTGCTGGCTCTGTGCTCAGGATTCACGCTTGGCAGTGCTCAGGGCATCATGTGGGGTGCTGAGGATCGAACCTGGGTCGGCCGCATGAAGGCAAGCGCCATACCTGCTGTACTCTTTCTAATCCCCCAACTTGTCTTAAACGTACAAATTTACTTAAATTACCAAATATCTCCAAATTACTTAGGGACAAATATTACTTACACTGGGGCAGGGGAGATGATTCAAAGGGCTGGAGGGTACCCTTCACATGTTAAACACTATCTGTTTTTGGGGTCTCATATCTGCCACTGCATAATCCCCCAGCACCACCAGGTGCGCCACCCCCCCCCCTTGCACTAATTAAAACCAAATCAAATAAATATTACACAAGGATGACTCTTTTAGAAATACATGCACTGTAGCACTGTCCTCCCATTGTTCATCGATTTACTCGAGCAGGCACCAGAAACGTCTCCATTGTGAGACTTGTTGTTACTGTTTTTGGCGTACCTAACACACCATGAGGAGTTTGCCAGCCCCCGCTGTGTGGGTGGAATACTCTTGGTAGCTTGCCAGGCTCTCCTAGAGGGACAGAGGAATTGAACCCGGGTCGGCTGCAGGCAAGGCAAATGCCCGACCCACTGTGCTATTATCTTTCCGCTTTAAAATTCACTTTCCATCAAGAAAACAGTGATGTCTTTTGGGTTACTTCTCAGTTTCTGTTTTTGGTACTGATTTTGTCAGGGTACCAAACTTAGAGACATCCACTGGGATAGGATGTGATTTGGGCATCATATTCCGAGTCTCTTACAGGAATTTCATAGATCTAAAGAGGTGGTTATCAAACCTGAATTTCTATTTTAAAAACTATTTTCTCCCCCTTCCCTTCCTTTGTTATTACTCTCATAATGTGCATGTGTGGGTGCGTCGAACACCCATGTGACTGTGGTGCTCACATGTTTAGTTGTGGAGCTCAGTGACTGGGGGATGAGGAGAATCGCACATGTGCCCACCAGGTTTGGCAATCTCTGTATTGTGCTCTTTCAGTACAGCAATCATACATGTGTTTGCCAAGGGCCTCATTCCTGACCTTAGTGCTCTAACCTGCCCACTAGGGGGCGCATTGTGCTGCTTGAACATCCCATGAGTATGGTGTTCATTCCCATCTCAGGGTGCTCGAGAGCTACTAGGACTAAGCTCAGTGCACCTAGAGCTCACTGGGGGAGTGGGGGGGCGGCGGGGGGTGGGTGTCTCACAGTCCCAGGCTTAAAAAAATCAAACACTTAAAAATTATTAAAAATTTAAAAAATTTGGCATTGTGATTTGTAATATTGTTCATGAAAGGGTGTCTTGCACACAATCTTCCAACACCACACCCTCCACCAGTGTTCCTCCAAGACAGATGCTTTAGCAACTGCTGGATTGATTCCTTGGCCCCAAGTTGAAAAGTTTTTGTTTGCCTCCTGCTGAAGTTACTGACGGTTCGTGAGGTCACAGGTGATAGTTTTCTCAGCTCATGCAGTAGGGGGCAGAGCCTGGGCCATCCCTGCAGCATCAACCTGGAGAGTGGGATGTGCTGCCACATCCCCTCCTCTGGTCCTGCTGGGAGTAGGGAAGAATCCTCAATGCTGTTTCTGTCCAGGTCAGCCAGCAGGTCCCAGAAAGTGGCTGGGGGTGGAGGAAGATTTGGTTGCTTGGCTAGCACCCAGAAAATCCCTTGATGCCTCTCGGCTCCCCCGATTGTATGCCCCTGCTAATGTGTCTTTTTCTGGTTCCAGGGCCGGGAGCAGGATGTGAGTCGAATCATCCAAGCCCTAAATGAATGCCTGCATGCCCTTCCCCGGAAGCAGCTCCAGAAAGTCTGTGGCATCGGTGTGTCAGGCCAGATGCATGGAATCATGTTTTGGAAAACAGGACAAGGTATGTTGGGCTCTGAGATGATCACATGACGTTTCTTGTCACTGTGGAACTAGAATAGTGCTGCCGGACCCTGGGGAGGGTCACATTGTCCTGTGGGAGAACAGAAGGGCCTGTCTGCCTCTTGTATTGCATGCATGACTTGTGCCTCATGGGATGATTTTACTCACATGTTTTTGGGAAAGAGTGAGTGGTTTTTGATTCTCTGTGGTATTCAGTTTTTTCAGTTTTTGTGGCTTTACCAGTTTTCTCTTTATCAGGTCAGTAACTCAGAGCAGCAATACCAGTGACCACCAAGAGATTAGTGTAGCTGAAGGAGATACCAGGAAACTTGAATTTGAGCAGCAACTATGTGTTTAAGATCATCACAGATGTTTGTATTAATTTTTTTTGGCGGGGAGGGCACACCTGGCAATGCTCTGGGGTTATTCCTGGCTCTGTGCTCAGAAATTACTCCTAGTGGTGCTTAGGGAACTTTATGGGATGCCAGGAATTGGACCCGGGTTGGCTGAGTGTAAGTAAATGCCCTACCTACCTGCTATACTATTGCTTCAGCCACAAATGTTTGCAATTTTTAAACTCCAAGGCATCGTTTTCTCATGGGATCTGGTGCTCAGCACCATTTGCTGAGCTTCTGTCAGTTCACAGGTGACCTGCTTTGTTTGGGCTCCAGGTGGAGAATGCAGCCAGGAAAAGAGCAATGAACACTTTAATATGCCAGATGCTGGGCCAGGGACATTACCTGTGTGAGCTCATCAGAACTTTCCCAACAGCTTTATGATGTAGGTTACATAGCTGTCCCCACAGTGCAGAGAAGTGGAGGTTCAGAGAGGTTGGAATAATATGCTCAGGGAAGATGGCAGGAAGTGGTAACTCCAGTTTTGAACCACAGGGTTGTCTGACTTCAGATTCTGAGCTTTCAGAGGCCTCTGGGCAGGCCAGTGCTGCAAGAGGACATAATGACTCTCTGAAAGGAGCAACTTGCTCACGGTATCCAAAGAACGATTGGGTTCCTGTGCAGAATTGTGAGTTCCCTGTGATGATGAGCATTACAACTTTTTTTTTCTTTTTGGGTCACACCCAGCCAATGCTCAGGGGTTACTCCTGGCTCTACACTCAGGAATCACTCCTGGCGGTGCTTGGGGGACCATATGGGATGCTGGGAATCGAACCCGGGTCGGCCGCGTGCAAGGCAAATGCCCTACCTGCTGTGCTATTGCTCTAGCCCTGAGCATTACAACTTTTAAAAAATTATGAAATCTCTATAGTAGGTGGGGCTCTTGTCTTGCATGCTAACCCTGGTTCAGTTCCCAGAACTGTATGTGTCCTCCTTCCAGGTGTGAAATCCCTATACACAGAGTCTTGAGTAAGTCCCGAGCATGGCATAAATCAAAATTAAACCAATGGAACGACCATCTCCGAATGCAACAGCTATGTGTACCTAGGTCGAGAGGTCAACATGACAAATGACCTGGCACCCGAGCTGCGCAGGAGGAAGAGAGCGGCTTGGAACGCCTTCAAGAACGTCGAAGCAATAGCTAAGAGGACGAAGAACCTCCGGCTCCGGGCACATCTCTTTGATTCCACTGTTCTTCCTGCATTAACATATGCCTCAGAGACCTGGGCCCTACGCAAACAAGATGAGAACGCTATTCAGGTCTCCCAAAGAAGAATAGAAAGAGCTATGCTTGGAATATCACGTTTCACTCAAATGAGAGAACGAATCCGGAGTTCTGACATCGGTCGAAGATCAAGGATCAGGGACGCTGTCTCATTTGCCAAGGTGTCGAAAATCAGATGGGCTGGTCACGTAATGAGATTTAAAGACGACCGCTGGACTAGAGCTGTTACTGATTGGATTCCACGGGATGTCAAGAGACCGCGTGGCCGCCCACCTACCAGATGGTCAGACTTCTTCGTCAAGATCATGAACGATCGGTTTGAAGCCCTTCATGTTCCCGGAGCGAACAGATGCCATTGGGCTACACTAGCACGCGACAGGGACAAATGGAGACGTTACTGGCGCCCGCTTGAGCAAATCGACGACTAACGGGAAGTTAAGTGATAAGTGATATAAACCAAACCAACCCCCACCCCCCCAACACGAGCAAAACTATAGACATAAAAGTAGGGAGTCTTATGAACCAGCATAAACCCATGTTCCAGCTTTAGTAATATCAGCATTTGACTGCAGTTTTTTAAATTATTATATTTCTTATTTTTCCTTTGGAGAACCTGGCAAAAGTATTCTGCCTGCACGGCAGAGTCTGGCAAACTTCCCGTGTCGTACTCAATATGCCAAATACCAGTAACAATGATGGGTCGCTTTCTCCTAATCCTGAAAGAGCATTGAAATGGCTCTTTTAAAATCTCAGGGCTAGGAAGAAGGAGACGTTACTGGTGCCTGCTTGAGGAAATCGACGAACAACAGGGTTATCGTGATCATGATCGTGATTATTATATTTAGGGCTGGAGTGATAGCATAGTGGTTAGGGCATTTGCCTTGCATGTGGCCAGCATGGCTGACCTGAGTTTGATTCCTCTGCCCCTCTCGGAGAGCCTGGCAAGCTACCTTTGATGTATTCAATATGCCAAACACAGTAACAACTAGTCTCAAAATGGAGCTGTTACTGGGCCCGCTCAAGCAAATCAATGCACAATGGGAGGACAGTGTTTGTTTGTTTGTTTTAGTTTAGGGCTACACCTTGGAGGTGCTCAGGGCTTATTCCTGGCTCTGCTCAGGGATCATTCCTGGAGAGGCTTGGGGGACCATATGGAGTGCTGAAGATTGAACCCATATAGAATGCTTGTGAGGCAGATGCCCTACTCACTGTTCTCCAGCCTCCCTCGGTGTTTTAAGCCGAAATTGGATGATTTCCTAGGAGGGTGGAGGCTTCCAGTTAGAAGATCTGAACATTAGATTTACCCCTTTTTTTCTGGAAACTCAATGCTTTTGAATCCCTGGTGCCAGTTGAGTGGTGATTTGCCTCTAAGTATTGGGGCAAGGACTAGTGCTGAATTCTTTGATTCTCCCTAGGATGGACCTGGACAACTGTAGAAACAGGCTGTCTTTAATCCTAAGCATTGCCAGGAGTGATTGTTGGATGCAGAGCTAGGAGTAAGCCCTGAGCACCCAAACAAACAAACAAACAACAAAACAAAATGCAAAGGGAAAAAACTCCAAATACAAGTATCATTTGGTTGCCAGGGAGACATTATAGAAGGAAGGCACTTTCCTGCCTTCCATGTACCTGATTCAACTTTGATACCTGGTACCACATATGGTCCCTCAAGCACTGCCAGGAGTAGCCCCAGATACAGTTAGGTGTGACCTGAACCTTACAACTACCAAAAAATATATTAAAAATATAGTGTGTAAGGTGCTTGCCTTACATGCAGCTGACCTGGGTTCAATCCCTGGCACCACATATGGTCCCTCGAATACCACCAGGAGTTATCCCTAAGAACAGAGCCAGGAGTAAGTCCTAAGCACTGCTGGGTGTGACCCAAGAACAAACAAAAAAAAATTTTTTTAAATAGCCTCTCTGTCTGTCTCTGTCTTTCTGTTTGTCTCTCTCAGTGTTTCTCTCTGTGTCTCTGTGTGTCTCTTTTTGTCTCTCTCTGTATTTCTTTCTCTATCTCTCTCTTTCTGTGTCTCTCAGTGTGTCTGTCTCTCTCAGTGGGGATTGAGCCCAGGCACTTCACTCATGCAAGGCCAGTGCTCTTCTGCTCAGCCACATCCTGGCATGGTCTTTCCTCTTGTCTGTCTGTTATCAGGCTGATTGGGACCTCAGGAGCCACTTGACTCCAAGCAGCTGGAGCAGAAGGTCAGTTGGAGTGTTAGAGTTGACCTGTTGGCAGAGTCTAGGTTGTTATATGCTTTTTAAACTTCTTAATTTTGCTTTAATGAGAATAAATGTCCTTTTAATACTAAAACCTTTCCCAGAGAGGACAGCAGAGATCTAATGATTGTGGTTTGGTTGAATGCCTTCCTATCTGCCTGTCTCCTGGACCTTGTAGCAACCACACAAACCATCTCTACATCATTGGAGAGAGCTGCTTAATATTTCATTGTGTCAGCCCGTCTGCTGTCTTTTTTCGTTTTCTGTTTCTGGGAATGGAAGGAAGCCATCGTTTGATGATGATGATACCAGCCTAGCAGAGTCGAGTAAAGTCATCTTCGAGATCAAGTTGTTCTGATTTTTAATGGTGGTCTTAATTCAGTTTGGTTTCAGTATTTACAAAGATGCAAGGCTGTGCTGTGCCCCATGGGAGACATAGAGACTAGCAGATGAATCCCCCATTTTCCAGGACATACTTATGGCAGTTGGCATGACCAGGCACCAGTAACCGGAGTGGAGAGCTAAGTGCTTCAGCGAGTGTTCAGGGGAGCCAATTGGAGGAGAGGTGGAGGAGTGACTAGTGTCTTTTGAGAGGCCTGTGGTCACTCTTGTTTCCATATTCCATTTTCAGGCTCAGTATTAGCAGGAGAGCAGTGGGGATCATAAAGCAAGCTAAAAGGCCAGCAGTAGATGAGCGAAAAGGCTTTTGTAGTGTGCAGTAGACAAAGGATGAACTTGGGTACAAATAAAGACCCAATAACAAAGAAAGGGCAAATGGCCCTGTGGGAAAAATCGGCTTGGAGAGGCAGACAGTTCCTAGAGGAGGAAATATAAATGACTAATAAGAATATGAGAAGATGCTCAGTGGCATTAAGGATTAGGGAAATGCAGATGAAAACAAGGAGAAGCAATTTTCTCATCACTAGATTCTAAGAAATCAGCTTTGATGATGTCAAGACTTGGCAAAGGGGACAGAAAAATTGATTATTTTTAATGTTGCTGCTGCTAGCATGAATTAGCATAGCCAATTTGGAGAGCAATTTGTTGGGTCTTATTAAAAATAAGTTTGCTGCTATGACTCGGCAGCTCTACTACTTGGAATCTGTTTAGGAAAAATACTTTGACATGTGTGTTTAAGAAGGCATACTCCTTTACGGCTGC